TATAAAGGGGAGGACCAGGGTTTTAACTGTAATAATCGTGAATAATATGATTTATATTTTGTATTAAAAGTAACCTGACAATTTTTACTATTTGGGAAATTGTACCTTTTCTTAGACAAACTTTATTGATCCGCAAGAGAAATTTCTTTGACATTTGTCCAAGCCAAATTTATATTTTAAATGTATGAATCATAAACTGTTCTTAATATGATTCACATATTGTCTAATATGATTATATCTCTTAAAATCACTGAATTCATGTGACTGATCTTGAAAGGTTTAATAAATAGACATGATTACTGTCTGTGTATATTGTTCTTTACTTTAGAAATGCTTTAAAAATGGCCTGTTTGTGTGTCTCTTGAGCCAGATTCACACAGAGAGTGCGGCTATAACTGTCCAAACAAGCAGAGCATTCACACAGAGCACACTCACTTCACCACCTGCTACTGGACACAAGGGGAAACTTCTGCAAATCAACAGCATTTCCACTCACTGAGATTCCAAAATGCACTGGTTATACCCAGCTTTAGCTTTTCCATGTCCATTGAAGTTATTTGATACTCAAGCGGTCCTGTTATTCTTTTATTCATGATATTTGTTGGGCACTTGATGAATAATTTAACATGCAAACTTGTGGCCTATTTGAACCCTCCTTAGATTTAGCAGTAAGATTTTGTACAATGCTCCACCCACAATTCTACATCATCTATAACAATTCTCCAGAGATACACAAAACATCAACCAAAACTGTACACAGCAACTTGACGAACCTGATCTCAAATAGTTTCATTAGCGAGATGTCCTTTGTGGATTTCACTCTGAAGGGGGAGTGGCTTAGCACGGTGAGCAAAGGGTGAATATAACATTTTCAAATCAATAAAAGGTGACATGCTGGTCTAAATATGTTATGTGGTAGCTGTTAATATTCCCCTTCCCTCTTTAAGCACTGATTTTCTTCATTTTAGGGCTTGGGTTCTTCCAGGTCCAATAGAATAGGTCAAACCCCATTTGCTAAAATTGCACATTGGTTTTGATAATGAATTAATCCTTTTCAGACATGCATGATGAAATAAATCTGTAATTTTTATTGCAAATTGTTTCTGTTCCCCACTCAATCTGAAGATTCAGAAAAAGTCCTTACTTCTGGACCTCATCTTGTCGACAATGTGATGTCATGTCTTGCTGAAACTGAAATTTGTATATTCATTCAAATTTCCTTAATGTCCCATGAAGGAATGCAGCTCCTGTCTAGTGGACCTTAACGTTAGACTACATTTGTATTGGAATTGATACAAAGCAAGTTTATATGTTTAAGTGATAGCCAAACTGATCAAAATGGCCTGATATTACTAGTAATTGTACTGCATGCATACAAGCAGTACTGCATTGACCAATAAGTATAACACATGCCTGAGAAATGACAACTTTGTGTCTACAATAGAAATTTGGGGGTCCGGGGCAAGAAGAAGGTCCAATTCTGGGGCCCCAAGACCCTGGGGCCCAGAACAACAGACCCCTTTGTCCCCCCGTCTACTGCCCTGTGTCTACAACCATGTAACTCTTTGAAATAATTGTTATTTAAGTGAGGCATGACAGTAGAATAATAATTTTACTGTATATTAAAAGTTAGTAGTACATATCCTTGCCAAAAGCACAAAGGCATAGTCCAACTTAAATAAATTAGCGTTTAAACAAGTATGATGACTGCACTTGCTCTTATGTCAAACTGGCTTTCATCATACAAAGTCAATATCATTTGGCAATTTCTCTGTGGCTTTTGGCGACTTCTGATTGCGTTTCCCATGTCGTAAGGGAAGCATTTGAAGTGGGCTGAGTACCAAATGACCATCAGTCATCACTATGGCAGCCAGAACCACTTTTCAGATCCAACTCCATAGCCAACCACAATATGTTTATATCCAATGTCTTTTTGTTGTCTCTCATACACCGCTTGTTTTTCATTTACATCTTTCATCTTTTGGCTAAACTGTAATTTTCTGCCCAGGTTTATGTTGAGGGCAGGTACTATGGCACAACCACCCCCTGTTTTTTCTCTCAGGGTCATTTATTAACATAGATGGGCAATTTGGTCAGGACTTTGTAATCATACGTACCTTTAGTTAACATAGCCTAGCTTATTCATTTAATTTCACAAAGAGGACATTCCAGCCTCACGTCTTTGAGATGGCAGAGAGCTGCTGCAGTAGAGCATAAACAGGGGCAATAACAGATAATAAGGAGCAGCATGCACCCGGAAATGCCAGAGCAGTGGTTGTTGTCATCACTTAAGACTTAATAAGAGGAGACAATGATTCTCTATGGAATGACTCCTCTCTACCAGACATTTTGTAATCTATTACTTATAACTCAGCATGATATTGTAAAAGGTCAAGGCATGCTAATAGGAGCATTAATGGGTTCAGGTCTCTGCAGTTTAATCCTTACACATCTTTAAATATCATTATTTTGGTCAAGAATTGCTACTTTTTTGACCAGTACTATGATTGCAATGTTTTAAATGAAGTTATTGTGTTCAGAGTCCGGACTGTAAACGACTCTGGGAGCTGGGGACTAATAATCTAATACAAAGATCCCATCAATTTCAGATCATGATTTAAAATCTAAAGATGCAGATGTTTTTTTAATTAAAAAGGTTGGATATTTCATTGATTACAGTGGAAATTCTATTATCTAAATAATTGCATTCTTTAAATTTTCATTTCAGTATTGATAAATATGCACAGTATTTACAGTATAATTTGTGTGTTTTTCACCATTTTAGTGGAATTGTGCCTATTGTTAATCAATGACAGTTGATCAGTGATGTAGTAGGACTGTATTGATCTTTATGTATATTGCTGTTTCCGGTTTACACTGTGTGTTGAGCTTTTACCTCGACACATTTATATTGCTTTGTGGAAAGTGTGGCAGGCCTCATATTTTACACCTTAGTTTTAGAAAGTGTACTGTACCCAAAACTGATGCTGGGGCAAGTTGCATTGGTTACAGAATGTTCTGAACCTTGCCATAAAAACTTGCAAATATCTAACAGAGATACACCATAAAAGAAACAAAGCAAACCAATACAGGCGACAGCATCTGTATTTAGTATGCTCTCATGCAGTCACAGCACAACAACATTTTGCATTTACTTTTGTGTATTTACTGATGTGCTGTGCCACGTTTGTTGTTGGACTGAGTATTTGTGGTCTGGTGGTTTTCAGTTTGCACCATGTCACTAGTGTTGGGTCAATGTTACTGATCAGTTCCCCTGGGCAGTGGGTGGCAGTGCAGTTGGAAGGTCACTGTGTCCTCTGAACTATGAGTATAAAAACACTGGAGCCCATGTAGTGGGCTTCCTGCTGCTTTGGGCACGAGGCGGACTGCATGACGAGGCAAAGGGCTGATAGGACTTTTTGGTGAAGGTTGTACAGGTGAGACTCTGCTTAAGGTGAGGAGGATTATATGGGAAGACATTCAAGTTGTGGTTGATAAAACATGTCACTGATATTGAAAGAAAATATGAGGGCAGTGTAACACTAAAATTGCTATTTGTTAATTTGTTAATGTTGTTGCTTATATTTTTGTTAAATCTTGATATATTCTTCCACAGAAAATCCATTATGTTAAATATTGATCTTTTAAAGCTTTAGTTGTGCCAAAAGAAAACAGGTCACTGGCTTCCTAAACCTAAAAAATGGGTCAAGCTTTTCTTGATGTTTTTTGCACTCAGTATTCTTGCTGATTCTACTTTTTGTATGTAGATAATGCAATTTATTCTTGGACAGATGGGGCCTTGAGTGTTTTCCGGTTAGAGTATGAGCTATGCATAAGTCCTGGGGACTGAACCATCAAAATCCTTTAATGTGCCAGTTTTCTTTTCTAATCATTTTCATCTTCTTCCACCTTTGTCTATCCTGACAATCCTTATACCCATGGTCTTTTGTCCCCCACCTTAAATTGGCACCAGTTTGTGGTGGCTGGAGATGGAGGAGTACCCGGTACCCCCCAGTGCCATGGAGGAGAGTGACCATGAGCTTCACTCTTCATCAGATGAGAGAGATTCATGTTACATTCCCCCTCATAATCATCAGAGGGATCATGATGACCTACAGGTACCTGTCAGATCCATACAGGGATACTGTCCGCTTTACAGTTTCTCTCATGCTCACTTTAAAGCATTTTATTAGTATTATATTAGTAACAGTAAAATCTTTCAAGCACTTGTGATTGCACTATTATTATCTTATTTAATGTTCAGAAAGACAATACATAAAGGCTACAGATTTTCTGATTCAAATACAAACCATCTGACCTTCACTCCTTCTCCCTTTCCCTTGCTATGACCCAATGTTTCTATATTTATTCCCCCTCATATCCATACGTCCCTTTGACTTCTGTACCTCCAGCACTATAGCCATTCTGATGATTCTGAGGTGGAAAACATTATGCAGGAGCCTCTGCACCAGCAGCGCCCCCTACAGGTCCCTGAGTCTCCTAAGTTGTGCCGGCATGTGGGGGGTGGGGAATGCCCCCCAAGCCCATCGCTGCTGAGGCCCCCTGTGGCGGGTAGCACTCACTCAGACTCCAGCTCAGAGGCTGCTGGCTCACGGTGCAGGAGTGTGGAGTTTGACCTGCCCTCCCCTCTCAGCCCATCCAGGCCTAAGAGTCCCTGGGGCCTGTTTGACCCCTATGAAAATTCAGAGGTAAAATAGGAGTGTGTAGGCATGGGTTTAGTGTTTCCAATAGGCTGTTGTCTCTTCCACCTCACATAACGTCATTTCTTTGTGTGTTTGTACTAAGTGTGTTGACACATCAGGGTCATTGCATTTTATGGTCATTTCTGATGATGACAAAACGTCTGCTGTTTTAATTGTATACACTAATTTGACCCTACTGTATGCTTTGTTGAAAAAGTGTCAATAAACATCTGGATTTGGGTAAGACTTTAAATAAACGTAAATGCATAAATACCAGCTTTGTCCCTTGGTGGAGTACAAATTTTGCTCCATGGAATTGTTAGTAAATTGTAAATGATTACTTGTATCATCATGTACACTTCATTAATTGTAATTATTTGCTCTTTTTTAGGATCAAGACAAAGAATATGTTGGTTTTGCCACTTTGCCAAACCAGGTTCACAGAAAGTCAGTCAAGAAGGGATTTGACTTCACTCTTATGGTGGCAGGTAAATGAGAGTTCTTCATATCTGTTCTGCGTCTATAAAGGAGCCTAATATGTTTTCATTTTCAGGTGAATCTGGGTTGGGGAAGTCCACTCTGGTCAATAGCCTATTTCTCACAGACCTGTACAAAGATAGGAAACTGCTAAATGCTGAAGGTGAATGAATGAAGATGAATCAGGATTTCCCCCCTTAATACAACAGAATGCAATGATGTTTATTTTTTAACTAGAGAGGATCACACAGACAGTGGAGATCACCAAACATACAGTGGACATCGAGGAGAAAGGTGTCAAACTTAAGCTCACCATTGTGGACACTCCTGGCTTTGGGGATGCTGTAAATAATACTGAATGGTATGAGTACAAATTAAGCATACACTTTTGTTTTATTTACTGGGAGAATGTGATGGCTGATACTGTGTGTTTGTGCTCTAGTTGGAAGTCAGTGGCAGACTATATCGACCAGCAGTTTGAGCAATACTTCAGGGACGAGAGCGGACTCAACCGCAAAAACATCCAGGACAACCGCGTGCACTGCTGCCTCTACTTTATCTCACCGTTTGGGCATGGGTACAGGATAGTTGATTAAAATATATGACTCACTAGATACAAATGTATTTATCACAGAATTCTATAATGTGTTTAATCAGTGTTCTAGAAATTGCACTGCAGAGATCTCATGGCCAGAGTTATTGTAGCTGTTGTCGGGTAGATTTACATGGGCTGCAGTACTACTCTCATCAGCACAATTCATTATCTACTGAAGAAGTGGTTTTGTGTTAAGTAATGCATATAGTGTGATCAGACAGCTCCCTCTGTTGGCGAGCATCAGACATTTGTTGTTAGGGTGGTGTGGAGAAGTCATTATTGTGTGAAGCTGCTTACATTGTCAATCCTGCACCCAAAGGTCTGTAACTTATCTGTTTTTGTTGTTCCAGTCTTCGGCCTCTTGATGTGGAGTTTATGAAGGCTCTTCATGAAAAGGTTAATATTGTGCCAGTTTTAGCAAAAGCAGACACACTCACCCCCATTGAGGTCAGGAAAAAGAAAATAAAGGTAGAACATTTGTTTTCTGTTTTTATTCATATCAATGAATCATCATTCATATCACTTGTATTACTAAATTCTACTCCCATGTCACAGATCAGAGAAGAAATTGAACAGTATGGGATCAAAATCTACCAGTTCCCAGACTGTGACTCTGATGAGGATGAGGACTTTAAGCAGCAGGACCTTGAACTAAAGGTGAGACTCAGGAATGTCTTGAGAGTGCCTTAACAGTGTTGATGCTCCATCTTACAGTTTCAATGTTCACACAGGAGAGCATTCCTTTTGCTGTAATTGGCAGCAACACTGTGGTAGAGGCCAAAGGCAAGAGAGTCAGAGGTCGTCTGTACCCTTGGGGTATTGTTGAAGGTGAGGTGAAATTTGAATCAAAGTCTTTAATTTGAAATGAATTTGCCTCAACATAAATTGTTGTTTTTTTACAGTTGAGAACTCTGCACACTGTGATTTTGTGAAGCTGCGAAACATGCTTGTTCGTACACACATGCAGGACCTCAAAGATGTGACCCGGGAGACGCACTATGAAAACTACAGGGCCCAGTGCATCCAGAGCATGACCCGCCGAGTGGTGAAGGAGCGCAACCGCAAGTATGTGTGCCTTTGTGCACAAGAATAGGTTTCACATATTGTCTAAGAAAATGATTCTAAAATAAAGCTCCATCATTGGTATATCTTCACAGCAAGCTTACCAGGGAGAGTGGCACAGACTTCCCCATCCCTGCAGTGTCAGGGGTGGCCGACAATGACACAGAAAAACTCATCCGAGAGAAAGATGAAGAGGTACCACAAGCTGACCTCGAAACAGAATCTGAGCTACACCATGACCCAGGATCTGAACATGATCCTGAGCTACATGAGGCCCCAGACCTCCAGACTCAGCCGAACACACAGTCAGACCACAGCACAGACCAGTCATAGATTTTTTATAATGACTAAACAATATTTATTTATTTATTTATTTGTATAATTCATTTATACTGCCATTATCCCCCCCAGAATTTTCATTCCCAATTTATTATTTATATGTAAGATTCATAAAAAAGATTATGTGCACAAGAGTAATGAAAGGGTCTATATTGACATATAGAGTTTGAATTTGTTGAATGAGTCAGATTAGTAGATGTATAGATAGATGCATGTATGAAACTGTTGTCCCAATTGAACATTTCATAGATACAAGCAAATCTTTCTATTCAAATCTAAATCTAAGTACCCCAACTAATCCCCTAATGTTTTGTTCATTCACTCAATAAAAAAATATTTTTTATTTAAGTTGTTTTTTTCCCTCACTTTGAGAAAAATGTTCAATATCTTGCATAATAAATACATTTTTAAATATGGATCCAATATTAAAACCAACAAATACATAAACACCCAACACTCCTATTGTTTTCATGTTCAGAAAACATTATTCATTCCCAAGGAAAATTAAATGGCAGCTCTCCAGACATATGTTCAACCTACCACATGACAATCCATACATTTAAATTTACTAACTAATATGACTTTACATTTGCAATGCATTTCTTATAAGGAAGGGTTTTATTTGCCTTTTGAAATTGTTAAACGAAATGACATAAAATATATCTGTACTAATATTAGTGTTTTTTTACAGTTGCGACGGATGCAGGAGATGTTACAGAAGATTCAGGACCAAATGCACACACAAAACTATTGACCCAAGACTTTGTAAATGAGTTTAAACTGGGAAGAACTCCCCAGTAACCTCCATCTTTCACAAAACTGTCACATGGCCAGTGCACCACCTCACATACTGCACCAGACTGAGCAGGGAGCAGGTGGTACGGTGATTTCACACATTCTTCATGCAGCAATATTATCCCAACATGTACAAAAATGTGATGGTAGTTGAAAATGGTTGTCTAATATGGTCTTGCTTGGCGTTGAAGTTGAAATAGACAAAGAATTTATTTGTTCATAAATTGACCTATTGCCACTGCTCACTTCCACTTTAAAAGGTAAACAAAATAATTTAAATAACTGGGATAGAATAAAAATGAGACAGATGAATCATTATTAAAGGGGGACTAAAATCTTGAAGCATGCTGTGAAGATTTTGTTATTACATACCTGAAATACTGTTGGACTGCAGATGGCGCTCCAGGTAGAAAGATGAGGCCAAAGCCATATTAATTTAGCTCTCTTCATGAAGAAGACCTTCTAAGGACATGAACAGTGGAAATATGTCAAGAAAACAAACCAAGTAATAATAAATATTTTAGATAATATAAAGTGATGGGGCAGTTATTCCACATTTACAGATTATTGTTACATGACTCTTTTCTTTTGGGCATCATATCTAATACGGTTTACATGTATGTACTGTTAACTAATTCACTTGAGCTAAAAGCACACTTTTCTTGTGCAACAATTTTTTTTTTAATAACTATGCATTGAATGCAACATTTAGGAATCAATTTTGGTTGCATGTTCATATTTTCCACTTTTTACTCTACCTGTTATTTAAGCACTATATTTGTAGATTTGGTATTTGAAATATCTTCCAATTATCTTTATTTTTTTATTACGCAAGGTTGTTTTTTGTTTCTTAACAGTTAACAGCCAAACTGTTAGTATATTTGATTTCCATTTCAACCGGACTGATATAAAATACTGATTAACACTGCGCATAAAAAAAGAGATTAATGACAATACCCTTAATTGGTATAAAACTCCTAGGTTGAAATATGTATGTGTTTTTCCATTTTCTTCTTTTTAAAGGATGTCATTTTGAAATTTAGATGAGTACTAATGTGTATGCACTAGTCTCATTGCCTGAACTTGTTTTAATTTTCTGACAGTTCTTGAAAGTATAATTTGTACAAAATGGCCAGTGTATAGCCAGTGCAAACTCAGATGATAATGTACGTATGTATGATGTTTAGTCTGAGTACATTCCTTAAATATTGTTTGCAGAATACATATTTTGTTTGTTTTATATTAAATGTGGCTTTTGTTATGCAATGGTATATTTATGAGCAAAATATAATTTAGATATGAACTGTGAGAAAAATGTACAACCTTTAATATTGTAATAAAGCTCAAGCTTTACTGAAAAAAGTATTAAACTGATTCATATCCTTGATGCTGTCCAGACTTCTTCATAATACAAGGAAGCAGATCCTTTTGATAAAAGGTCAGGTAAACACTAAGCCGCACATTTTGCATGACTCTTTACTCAAGGAGTCTATCACGCAGTTGTGAACGTAATACAATTTATTTATTTTTTTAATACAAAGTGTTTTTCATTATCGTACAGCATGTCATGATCTTTAGAGAATACAATTAGATCTAAATGCAGCTCAACACTTAAAAAGTACTAACTTAAACTTTCACCATAGGGAAAACATATATTGTTGCCATTTCAAGTATCACAATTCCTTGTTTCATACATCAACTTTTACACATAAAAATCTTCATACTAAATTGTATATAATTTTTGGACAAGGTCTGTCTAAATCATCACCAAGATGTCCAGCAGTTGATGTGGTCCCAAAAATGTGCAATGTCAAATATACAAGGTAAAGCTGTAGATGAAACAAGCAACAATGTAATATACAAAATATCTGTTATAAATCTTAATGTCACGTGTGATAATTTATTCAAGAATCTATTACTTTTTTTTGCAAAAAAACAAAAACTCCTCCATACAAATGTGCTAACAATGGAACAATACATTCCAATTAAATTTGTAGATTAACTAGCAAAGGCAATTGCTAAATGTTCAGGTTTGCTGCTTAATTATACTAAATACATTTCACAGTGCATCCTGAATCTAGCTATTAGTTTGTACAAGTGTTCATCCCAGAGCCATTAACCACAGCAGAGGTATTCCTAAATATGTTGCACTGAGTAAGTTCATAAGATAAGACATACTCATGTGACCTGGTTTCAAATACTCAACAAATAACACAGATGTGGCATGCTCTGAATGCAGGCACATACTCTACAACCTACATGACAGCACAGACACAGCACAAGGCAAGGCTTTTGGATCTACTGACATTCAGTACCCTCTCACCAGAAAACAATCTGATGATCTGCAGATCTAGTGTTAAGAGCTTTCAAACTTCACGGTAATTTTAACATGAGATCAGACTGTAGGGTACAATCACAATCTAATAGCTCTATAGCAGCATAAACAAACATTAATTTCACCCTTAGCTCAATGCACAATGGCAAATGCCAATGACAAAAAGTCAATTGATTGTCAGTATTGTCACTTGATAATAGTACATATTAAATGATGTCACATTGCCACTTTCACAGAGGCACAAGTTCTTCAGTATTTTTAAGAATATAACTAGACAGCAGGAGGCGCCATTTCTATGTGCACAGTCCAAGAGTCTAAATCCTGTGTAAAGTTTACCCCATGATTTCCTGACATCTCCGCTTGAGGGGAAGAGCTCTGCTAAATCACATCACACAGGAGAAGAAGTTGGGTATTCTAGGTTCTTAATGCTGTTGCTATTTCACAAGTAGGAAGACAGAGCTGTAAAAGGATCAAGCAAGGTTTTTTGGTTTCTGCCATCTCTAATGCTTTTGGGAAACTTTGCACAGTAAAGACTGCTCTCCTGCATTATATTGGGTCTAGTGTATGTCCTGTGTATCAAGCCAGTTTCAGAGTGCTTATAGGGAATGAGGGCATGGTCACCATTGTTACTGGATTGAGCACTGTCTGACCCACAAGCTGCGTGTGATGAGTGACCATTTGCGTGCCCACAGTCTGTTTCCCCACTAATGCGGCAGTAGACGGTTGGCTAGCCGCTGTGCCATTGAGCTGGGGATGGGCATGGTTCAATGTATGGGTGATGTGACCCACAATACCGGGTTGTGTGACAGCTACAGGCTGAGAGTACAAAGCAGGTAGGTGGGTGACTGGGTGTACCGTTATATGGCCGATGGGCGGTTGAGCTGGAGTCAAATGCATCGGACCACTGCTTGTTGAGGGGGCCAAATGAGTTATGTGCTTAGGAGTCTGAATGACGTGGTTTAGTGTCTGGATGACTGAGGGGTGGGAGACGGAGGAGTGGGCTATAACTGTGGGATGCAGAGCAGGGGTGGGTCCCATGGGTTTGAGGACCGAAGAGTTGGTGCTGGAGGAGATTGTGGGCGTCACTGTCTGGGTGGGTGTGGGTTTGAGCAGCGGCCGTGGGGGTGGCAGAGGGGGCGGTGGTGCTTTATGCTGGGTGATGCATGGATTGAAGTTCTGGGACTTCTCTGAAGGGGGGACCACTTTCTGCAGCTCTGGTTTTGTCACTTGAGAAGCAGGAGAAGTTGGACTCTGCTCAAGCTCCATCTCATCATCAAGATCATCATCTAAAATATCTTCACCTTCTGCAAGAGTACATCAAGGATTACATTTATTAGAAAAAAACAACAACAACAAAAAAAACAAGAATATACTTTCTTTGTTGTTTTTTGGATTCCATACCTGATGCCGTGGAAGTTGAAGCCTGGTCTTCCTCAGGCTGCACAGTTTGTCTGAGGACACGGTCAATCTCCACCACATCCATCCATTGGCTCAAGTCGTTCTTGAGCTCTGCCAGGCGCTGCTGTGTGGCAATTTTTTCCCTAGCCAGGCGCTCCATGTCATGCTCATATTCTTTCTCCTTGCGTTTTAATGTCTAAAACAAACAAACATTAGAACAGTTCATTTGTGTATCGGAAGAAGTTGGAACTTAGGCTTTATTATTATCTATTAAAACCAAATGATCACAGTTCAGGTAAATCATTGGTGTATCTTAAATGACAACAGAAAGTGAAGAGACATACGCTGGAAGGAAGAGGGGCAGTGGGAGGCAGTAGAGTATAGAAAATGGGAGGGGCATACTGCAGTAGCTTTCTGTGACCCAATTTCCCTTAACCAGTCAGCTGACACAGTACATGACTAAACAGACTTCCATGGAAAGCCTGACAAAGTGTCATAGCAAACTAAAGATTGTACAGCAAGAATGATTAGAGCGTAGATCAAGCAATGACAATGAACACATTTGTACATAAGTTACATCAACACAGCCAAGCCCAAGTTGTTAAAAGCAAAACATATATGCAAAATGGCACAAACAGACAACTCATGAACCATAAAAAAATAACACAAGAGTGAAGTTCATCATACTCATTTGATTTTACAAAGTTAGAGCATGTCACTTTATTGTTCTTTACTTTGCTCTTACAGTACGGAGGTACTAAAATAACCAAAGGCAGACAAAAGGCAGACCTTGTGTCATTCGGCACCTGTCTCTACTTCTTAGCCAGGATTAAAACAGCACAGGCCAATCATCTGGCCCTCTTCCCCACAAGTGCAAACTGGGGAGGCAGACTGAGGCTACACTTGTGACCATCACAAAATACTTCATGAGCACAAATATGAAATATTCATTTAAAAACACTGAAACATTATTTTGTTCAGCAGTCTGCAATGTGATATCAGCAAAACTAAGGGCAGACACATTTTCCATCAACAAAATACTGGCTGAATCAGGACACATGTTCTGAAATGCCCCATCTTTGGTCTCCATGGAAACATGTCAAACTCTCTCAAAGGCTGTCTACAGTCAAACACTGCACAGGTGATTGTCAATATCTAAACATTTGTTTTGGGGGCAAAATGAATGGGATGAAGGCAAATAAGTAGTAAGTAACAGTAAGATAATGTATTTTTGCTCTTGCATTACAAAGCTGGTTTGTGGTATTATGACTATATGTTATAAAGGTTTATACTAGTAGTACAAACTACTTGATCCAATGCCACGAGGAAGAATGAATGAGAAAAACGAAATATATTTCCTCATAACTTACACACAGGTCTCAGTAGAGACAAGAGCAAGCAGCTTAACAAAAAAGAGGTGAAGAGGCACAAGGAAGTGAGGGATAAATTGCAGATGGATACCATGTGACTGAAGCATTTAAATTATGTCGCCAGGTTGGTAGGACAAAGCTCATGTACATGAGGCCGCACCTCTAAGCCTTTGAACCTCCTCCTCAAAGAGAGCCAAGGTCCCGCCTCAGCCTTGTTTGTGCGAAAATCTAGATCAGTGCAGGTAGAGGGTGCATTATGTGTGTGTATGTGTATAAAGTAAACACTGCTCCAGAGTTGTCACCAGCAATGCGAGTGGCGAGCACATGGCCTCAGTGAGAACAGGGGAGGGAGGGTGCAGAGAGCGGGGGATTGAACAGCAATACAAGCTGTACTCCCTGACTCACTTTTGCAGCAGAAACACAAGGCTGGGCTTCTTAAAGAGCCAGGAGCTCTAGGGCCACGTTGCAGGCATGCTCTTTAGTTGCCCTGACTGATTAGGTCTTGTGACAACGCAGTAACCATAAACCCTTGTCTTAATGTGCCTTTAAGCTGAAACTAAAAATTTCACGTGGTGCCTGACTTCAAGAAAACAGCCTTTCTTTGAAACTAGTTTTGTGTAGTGTTGCCCAGGTCAAACTAGTCAAAATATTGCTCAATGTATTAAGAACATCATGCAGAAATCAGCCCCAGTAAAATTCCTTATTGACAAAGACTGGTTAAAAAAATACAGAACTGAGTCAGTCATGTATGCTCCTACTGATTCATATTATGTAGGTCTTTTAGTTGTTGTAGCAAACAGATGGAATGGCCTTCATTTGGAGACAAGAGAAATTAGTCCAGTGCTCTGAGAGGAAGTGAAGCGCAAGCAGAGTAAACCGAGCCTTGTGTTTACTGCTCCATGTTCCCTCCCCGCTGCTGCCGCTAAGCCTTGTGGTACGACTAGTCCTGCCTGTTGTAGCGTGGGGTGGGGGCGCAGCACGGGGGTGACGTCACGCGGCTCAGGCTAGCCATGTGCTTGCTGCTCATGCGGCTCAGAGAGGGAAGGAGATGGGTGGGGTAAAGGATGGCTGAGGAGAGAGGAGGAGCTCCACCGACTGACTCACATAGAAAGGTTTTGAAACAAAGCCAATTGTTGATTAACCAATATCTAATAAAAGACACCATCATGCGGAAAACTGTTCAAAATTTTTCTGCACATAGTGCACCTAAGACAAGAAAGCAAAAGGGAATTTCTCCTTCAAGCGTACACAACAAAGAGAACATGTTCTTACTTACTGAAAGTAACACAAATAAGTAAGTGCTGAGGGCCAGGTAAGAGAACACCTCTCATCAGAGGTGTATGTCTAATGTCTATGCAGGATAAGAGAAATTAATTTACAAAAAGTCTATAGTGTTCTTTTTGTGCTGATGTCCATTTGTATCTTACAAAATAAAAGCTTTTACTGCCAGAGAGGTAAGAGAGCCAGGTCAGTCTGCCAGCAGAACACAACACACTGAACACCATGTTGCTTAATCACGCAGAGCGGGCAGAGGGAGGGAGGGGGGCTGGGTGACAGGCTGCACCCACGCTGTCCTAGTTTTTCCCTTCATATCCACACACAGAACAGCAGTCGCTTCATGTTGGTTCACAAGACTTTATAGTCATAAGTTTTTAAAAGAAAAATGTCAATATTACATTTTTTTTTTATATTTTTTCATACTGTACCTCAATCACATTTAATCCCCAACAGAATAAAATAAAAAAAACACAAAGTTTAAACTAGGCCATTAGAAGACCTTTGAACTGGCTGGATCTAAAGGATCTTCTGAAAACAGCCTGACTGGCACAACATATCAAGTACTGTCATTATATCATCAGGATGTTTGTTCTCCACTGGACCACACATCAAGCATCGACTAGAACTGCCAACGTGCATATACTGATGTGGTGCATAGCTCCAGACAAAACAAAGCAATACGAAATTGCCAACCTACCTGAATGTATCTTAGAGCACTTCTTAGCACACTCAGATTTGAGGTCTTCTTTTCATCAACATTAGGAATATTCTTTCTCAGTGTTTCAAAACACTCCTTCAAGTGAGCCCGTCTAACAAAGCATAGAAATACAGTAAGGAATTATATGGTTAAACTACAATATAGCATCAAGCTGATAAAAATGTAATATACAAACCTGTTTTTCTCAAGCTTGTTATGGGACTCTCTTGTGCCTGCCCTATATGAGCAAAAATAAAAAAAAATAAAAAATGTTGTGGCTATAAACTTTATGTATACATACAAATTCAAGACTTTGTTATCAACTCACCCGCCAGGGCGCTTTTTACTGTCCAGAAGCCGTGAGTCCTCAAGGGGGCTGCTTCTGCTGACGGACCCGTTGAGGATGGGGCCATGCTGCAGTAGTGTGCCTGACTGAGGAAGTACTGCTTGAGATGGAGAGGGGGAAACGATAGAACCGGTGTAGTGGTGAATAGAGTGCTGAGGGGTCTGCTGCTGAACACTGGTGTTAGCAGTTTGACCTATGAAGTGATGCTGGTGGTTGTGCAGGGGCTGTTTGTGATTTGTACCAGGGGCAGAGGTGGGGTGCTGATCTACTCTGGGCTGCGGGGAGCGGGGTATCCCAGAAGGATTCTGGTCCTGGTTAAAAAGAGTCTCTCTTTTTGTAGAGGGCAGGGGTGCAACAGGTAAACTTGGAGAGACGCTGTGACTGGGACTGACCACAGGTATTGGGATGACTGTAATGGGAACAGAGGCTGGAGGCATTGGGGGCTGTATTAAAGCTGGACGATATCCCTGGGGTTTTGTCACATTACTACAGTGGATTGTTGAATTTGGGATCACTCCCGGGGTCTTCTGCTCCTGTAGCAGCTTTTCCTTAAATTCATCTTCTGTGGGAAAACAAACAAAACAACCACTCATCAATGTTTTAGTACATGGATTTAAGAAAGTGGAAAATCATTTGTAGCAGCTTTATCAAACTCTTTACATTATTTGTTCTGCTGGGTCAGTCATTTAATTCTAGATCTGGAAAAGTACAAAGTGTTCTTTGACCTTTTGTTATTTTGAAATGGCTATGATGTTTTTTAATTGGGGGATGTGTTCACCAAACTGATTAGAAGAGGAAAACTAAGGGAATTCATAAAACAAAGGAGTTTTCTGTGCCCATTATATAACTGCCAATGTAAATGCATAAAGAAACACTGCCCTACTTTCGTCCAAAGTGGCTTGCTCTACAGGCTCAAGAAGGGAGGAGGACTACAGTCTACACTCCCAATGCTCCCAATGCAGAGGCAGACCATAGACAGTCTATGAGGCAGACTGGGAGATTAGATTAGTGTGCCAAGAGAGATCTCACGCGGAGCTTTTTTTTAGATAACGCAGGATTGTTACATAGTACAAACATTCCTGTCCGTGCAATGTAAACAGATCACAGTAGTCTGGACTCCTTTTGATCTCGCATAATAATAAGGTCAACAGTAATGAAGGGTAGTGAGCCTTCGTCTTTACAAACAGTCTTTGTGAGGGGTTGCCCGGCATGCACCATGGGCATGCACGTGGTGAAAGGGGCGGTCCTCGAGCTGGGGGCGTGCCCGGTATGCCCACGTCACACACAGATACCGAGCAACACCAGCGACCATTATGGACAACTTTAATCTTTACTAACTACACAATCACTTACAAAACGTACGACCAGTCTTAACTTCTACAATAGTGTTCTTAACCCTTCTGCCAGATACACGCGGAAAACACCCAGATTAAATATATCTACCGCCTGAGCCGCGGTCTCTAAATTGTTACTTGATTCCTAGCGGACCGTGTCAGGTCATTATGTAAAACGACATTGGCATTCCCCGCGCCACCGCCCTTGTCATCATGCTTACTATTATATTCTGTGTTTTGCTGCAAAGCAAAGGCTACCATTATGTCCGTTTAATTCAAGTTTTGTTCGCGTAAGGATCCATAAAGCCCGTTTGTGCAACAGCTTAAGATTTTATGCACGACTGCAGTGTCTTATATTAGAATAAATTAGAAAAAAACACTTCACACCCAGCGCAGGAATAAACCTACATGAAAGGAGGGAGAGACACAGAAAATCCATGTGCCAAACTGACACATATTCAGTAAAGTGTTCAGAGAGGTTTTTTTTTTTTTTGGTGCCATCTATTTATGCTCAGGTAAAACATATACGGCGAGCGTTTAGTAAAATTATCATTATTTTTTGGCCACAAAGGCCTGTATTAAAATATGAGTATCTGAGCAATAGCGCAATTTTATTATGACAAATGTCCCACTTACCACGTGCTTTCTGTTGTTGCAGAGCTAGCAATTCTAAAAACTTGGCAGCCTCCAGAAGCGTTTCGATGCTCATTCCGAACACTGTGTATATTAAAGATGAGTGGAAAAGCAAGCAACAACGCAAATTGCGCCCAAGTACTTCAGGGAGAGGTTCCCAGTCTAAAACTGGCCAGGGGTAATTGGACACCCCCTCAGTAAAAACTCCACCACTTACGTTGCAGAGTTACAAACAAGATGGCGCTCAAAGTAGTAGGAACAAATAAGGTTTGTGAATCATGCAGCGTTTGAGACCGCCCACTGACCAGGGCCACTCCCTCTCAAATACAATAAACAGGGACCATATAAAATACGGCACTGGATTTGCAAAACATACTTTGTGCTTTGGATCATGACTTTTATTAGAATAATACAAATACAGATGCAAAGACATTCATTATAATGTAGGTTAATGTAAATTTGGTATGAGGAACAGCCTGATGTGAACATTTAGCTTGTTTCTCTTGTGGTTGATTGGACAAGTCATGGAACCAGTTAGATGCATACAAAGTGTCCAAGAAAGCAATATAGATTACTTTCTTAACTAAAACTAATAACCGACCGTTAAACACTTAATAAAAAATACCAAGAGAGGCAAATAAAAGGAAATGTTTTGCCCTCTTGTGGCTTTACAGTGCATTGCAACTCACTGGAACAAATAACCAATATTTTGAATCATTATTTGCTATAAATATCAGGCAGTATAATTAAAAGGGAAAAAAATCCCAAGAGATCCAAATACTAACATCTGTGCACACCTGAACTACACATTTACCTCGCCACAGACCTCAACAGTGTGTTCTTGAGGTACGTGCAAAGTTGGTTCATTAGGTCTTTGTTCTGACCCTCCACCCAATGCAACTCCACCAGTACATCTTTCTCCTCAAGCATCACATTCAGCAAACATTTAAAGAGGAAGTGTTCGATTGCACTGGGGCTGCGGGGCGGATGTAATGCTGAACAGTTTTCTGTAGTGAGTCCTTCCTTTAGACTTGTGTTCAATACAGTGTCAGAGCTGGTGGTGGTCATGTGGTCAGAGCCAGCCTCTGTTTGTTCCTTTGGTTCTTCACTTGTCACTGCAGGTTCAGTCTGGCAACACTGTTCTGGGCTACAGGAAGCTTGTATATTTTCTTGGGTGTTACACTCAGTTGTGGAGGGCTGTGGTGCTGTAGCAGCAGTGTTTTGGAGAGTAGCACCTTGTGGGGCTCTTGGAAGCTCTCTCAACTGTCGTTTCTGCTCACGCCGTCTCTGACGTCCATGTATCCATGTGTTCTCCACAGCGGTCAAAAAGAGACTCTGTTCTTGCTTTCTGCATGGGACATGTTTAAACAGCACCTGATAATCAGAATAATGTGGATGTTTGAAATGGACTTGTCAATACAATATACAATATATTGATTCATTTGATGACAAAGTTGTGTCTTTGCTATAGCTTACTCGTAGCTCAGTTAATGATTTCTCTAGAAGAGCAGTGACACCCTCCACAGGGCAACTACCAGTGCATCCCAAAGCAGAGGCTTTCATCTGCAGCTCCTTCAGCCCTGCCTCTGGAAGTGTGAATGACAATGGTTTCCGTGCCTTCTCCAGTTTACGTTTCTTACAGGGAGGAGACTAAAAAGGGAGATCCAATTTCGTTAAGAACATACTTAAAAATGTACAAATTTACAGGCTTTTAAAGCATAGAATTTCCCAGCATCCCCTTTATCCATTCAGGCAGCCCTCATGGCTTTATCACAACAGTCTGAAGCCATCAATTTGCAAAATTCATACACCTCTGGAGAGTGACAATCCATAAATACTTAAATGAGAAACTTTCTATTCTGAACCAGAAGATGGAGCTATAGACCAATTTTAACCAGCTAAACATATAGGGCAGACTTCTTATAAATCAACACAGATGACATTCTACCATGGCAGTGGAGGTTGTTAAACCATACTATTATGGTTACTGCAGAAATTATGTCAGACAGTAGCTATGTGTCCTTGGCACTGCAGCCTGATGCTAAACAAACATGGGTAGACAGTGGGGGGTCTGCTGCAGCACTGAGCTGTCAGAGCAGACAGAATGGCCGACTGACCTACAATTAAAGGGAAGGAGCATACTGACCTCCGCACTGTTGTAGCACTGTACGTAGTGCAAAAACTTGGTTTAAACACTCCATTGTGTCCTGGGAGTGTCTTGTTTTATTACCAATTCATTTTCATGTTTTTATTTATTACTTGTCAGCAATATTGTAGTTTAATTTCCCTCTTGGTTACTATGTTTTGGTGTTTTCAGTTGTCTGATCAGTGGAAACTCAAGGTGGGGTTGGGCTGCAACACTGGGAGTTAGAGCATATGTCCATAAGTTAGAGGGGGAATCTGGAACATATCTTAATTTTAGAGACAATTTTTTTACTACATGTGAAAATTAGGTTTTCAAACAAGTAATTCAAAAGTTAAAATCTTGTTTGTTTGTTTTAATAAATATATGATATTTTAATATAAATGAGTTTTTTAATCTTATGTATCATGGTCAATCATGATTAATTGAATCATAGCTCCTGCATCGTGAATTGAACCAAATCTTGAGAATTCTGAATCGTCACATCCCTAATTAAGTTTTTTTTTCCAACTACCGTCTTCTTGTACAGTGTGCATGGAGATAGACTTCTGTAGCTGTAAAGACTACAATTATTACCCTCAGGCTGTCCAACTCCTTAACTCAAAGTAGCAGACCTTTATGATGCAATATGCTATATGTAATACCTGTGCCATCTCTTTCACCTTTACATTGGACATACTTATGTTGGTGTGTATATGGAACAAGTAAGATGACAGGTTCTTCTCATCCAAACACGTTATTCTGTTGTGGATTGATTAATCTAAATCTAATCTGAGTAATCCTCCCTCATGACTGGCATTGCCTGAAATATTCAGCTCTACATTGTACTGTGCAAAATACAACTAGCAGTAAAGCTCACTATAATTACTGGCTCTTTCAGTTAATGTGTTAAAGGACAAGAAATCAACAAAGAGGAGGACCACTTAAATCTATACAAACAAGTCTCTTCCAGTCTGCATAAAATATTATATTAATATTCTCAAAACTGCAGTAATTCAGCATTACTGTGCTTTCACTCAAGCATATGTAATAAATAATTTTAGTTTATACGTAAACAAATTTAGTAGTTCAGCAGACATACAAAATGTGTACTGCAAAATTTGAAATGGACCTTTATCTGGTCATACAGGTTAAGTAGGTCACAGCTGCTGTCCATGTCACATAAGTTATCATTCAAATGTTGCATTCAAGACCACTGTATAGACATCACATACACACCAATGGAAGGAACTGTTCAGCCATGCATAGAAGAGTACACACAGAAGCCACTGCAGTGTAAGCATGTGTACACACACATGCTCCGGGGTCTGCTTGATAATGATGCTGAGCAGCTCCCAAGTGAAAATGATGGTGAATGTGTGTGTTAACGGAGGGGGGTGGTTAGGGCTGGGGAAAATATAGGCCAATTCTTCTGCACAACTGCTTTTAGGTTGGAAAGCCAACTGGGAGATATTCAGAAAGTATTGCATGTATGTATTGTATCTGCTTTGATGTGATGAGTGAAAAAAACATTACAAATCTAATGATAATTTCTTACTCCTACTGTATCCACACACATAGACGTACAGCCATTTAACAGCACTGATACAGATTTTAAACTGTATGTTATACACTACAACATTTGTTAGAGGATGAAGTAAGTAAGAGGAGACTTACTGGAACAATCACATCATCATAGAAACTCCAGGCCAATGCCCAACGCATTGTGCGCCCCTGGCAGAACTCTGTGTATGTCACTTTGGGTACCTGAGATAGAACAAAAGTTAACAAATTTTACTTAAGTTAATAAATTAATTTTAATTAATAAGGTTGGGACAATGTCAGCTAATTACTAAGAGCTAATCACTCAAAGAAAGTGTTTACTTCATGAGTTGATTAAAAAAAAAAAAAATTTAATTAATAAATAAAATAATAAATTAATGAATTAAATTACATTCAGTATTGATTATATATGTAAAAGGTGTTTTTATAATACATTTATTTGTAAAGCAGTTTTCAAAAATGACCATCAGGATTTCTCATATAAAAAATCAATTGCCGTCTAGTAAGAGTTGACTAAGTTTTGCTTTTAAAATAATGGAAATAGATTTTAAGTAAGTTAAACTACAAACCCCTTGTTTTCTCAGTTCCTCTTTCAATGGTGCCAAGCTACATTTTTTCCCCAACATGCAGCTGTACCATCTGAAGACAAAATTAAAATTAAATTAAAATAAACAATTGTAATATAAACTTCAGAGTGACAACAGCTTTAATTTCTATACAATTCATTGGATGCTTGCCTGGTCAAGAATGTCCCCTAGTCTGCACTGAAACAATCTGGAGCCTCTTCGGTAAAAATGGCCCATATATAGCAACACACAGCTAGCTAAACCCAGAACATGGCTATAGGCAGTTAGAAGATAAAAGAGCTAAAAAGAGACAACAATGCATTGCACAGCAGACAATAGGCCATATTCATTTATATTTCAAAATGTGTCATACACATGTTTAATGCACACAGCTGTACAATACAAACTTCATATACAAGCGTGTTTGGTCACTTCTATATGTGCTCTCATGCTAAAGTGTTATACAGTGATGCACATGGCTCTTTAATTGTATAACATTTTACCTGGAATAAAGGCCAACAGAAAGCATCATTTGGATGTAGTCACATATATGTTATGATACAATCTATGGAACAAAAACTGCATTTTGTCATTTACAAGAATACCGTCTACAGCTATCTGACGTTTAAACTATAACTACTTATAATGGTACAAATCTTTCCAAATACTATCAATATTTTTTTCACTGGTGAAGGCCATAGGTTATTTGTGTTAAACTTATATCACGTTGACATCTCTGCAATGTCTATTTTAAGTCAACAAATGGTGGTCTGTGTAGAACTGCTTTTGTATGGTATTCATACAGTTCTTATTTACCGCAAGCGTTTCTTTAACTGCAGACTGTCATGAATGATCCTCTTGACAAACTCGAGTTCTCCACCCTCCGCCATGATCTCTGTCACCCCACCTGTGTTCACTGAGCTGGGGGGAGGCCGTCTAGAGTTTCTGGAGTTGACCCCCTGGAGAGAGACAAAAAGTCAGACACAGATTAAGCGGAGATCCTATTATCATCTCTAACCATATACAAACACTTGCTCTGGCTACTATAGGAATTAGAGCCCGACCGATATGGATTTTGCTGTAGCCGATATGAAACCGATATAATGGGAGTTGGCGCTGCCGATAGCCGATATAATCGCCGATATATTTTTAGTGATGTAAAAATTCACTGTAAATGTTGAATTGTTTAAAAAACTTAGGTTTGGCTCTGATGGATTTTAAACTGGGTTTATTTAGGCAACATTTATTGTTATTCTGCCTCTTTACGTCATATTTACAGACAGTAGGTTGGCTTAATGGCATTTTTGCATCACATTCTAGACACTAGTGATGGGTATTCCAGTTCTTTTTAGAGAACCGGCTCTTTTGGCTCGGCTCACTAAAAGCTGCTGATTCTTTTGGCTCCCAAGCGGCTCTTCAGATTGTTTTGTTGCAAGCAGGACTAAAGCACGTCTAAAGCAGGACTGAATCAGGACTGAACCAGGTCTAAACCAGGACTTATTTATTTTATGCTAAACTACAGCCAAATATGCTCGTTTTTTTTTTTTTTTTATCCTATGTACACGCAAATTTGTCAAAGTTTCGTTTTTAGCCGCTGCCGCTGTCAAACCACGAGTCTGCACGCGGCGTGAACAGGAAAAAAGTGAGAGAAAGAGAAAACACGGCTCCCAATAAGGATCAGGCTCCCGTCGTTCCCTTTAAAGAGCCGGTTCTAAGAGTCATTTCGTTCGCGACGGACCCATAACTAGTAAAGAAACTAGCGCTATTAGCCTTTAGCCGTAAATGCTGCGCGCCGCGGTAATTAATTATATGCGCAAATGTCATAATTCACACGTCTGTTCACAGCTCATTTCCATATCAGTGCTGGTCCAGTAACAAATATACGGCCAATGTAGTCACTTTACAATAGACCAATAGAAAACAGCCTGTTTATGTGCGGGAGCTACAGCAGCTAACCCATAACGAATGACTAAAACTAGCTTCAAAGTCGACATATTTCCAACACTCACCGCTCATACAGGCTCCTCTCACATCACAAGTCTGCACTAATAAATGTCCTTTTAATTCAGATTCAAACCGATTGTCCGTAAAAAGAATACAACCTCAATGTTTGGATCTGTGTCTGCAGGTGTAAACAAACACACGTGAGTGACGCGACTTTATGGTGTGTTCAGGGACAAGGACACACGCACGGATAAATGACTCCGTAGATAAATACTGATGTGGAGCCACATATTAGGACATTTATCTGTCTGTAAATTGGATTAAATGAACATAATGTAGAGAGTCTAAGATTTTTAACGACGTATCACATGCCCATGTGAAATATCGGCCCCTATCAGCAAGCATATCGGCCGATAGCCGATATGCCTCGAGGTGCCCATATCAGCCGATAATATCGGCCAACCGATATATCGGCCGGGCTCTAGGAATGTAGTAAGAAGATGGCAGATGAGGATGACATAGAAAATGTTTTGTTTAGTAATAAAAAACAAATAGGAAACTGGTACCTTTGCTTCCAGCTGATTTGCAAAAAATGGCGGGTTGCACATACAGAAGTCATAAACAATCTCTGTCTCCTCTTTCAAGGCATCCATGAGTAAAGTCTTCTGTGGGACCTTCACAACTGATTACACAAACTAGAGTGAGAATTGTTTATAAATAGTATTCTGGTAAAAAATAAACAAAACAAAAACACCACTCACCTTTAATAAGGTCTGACATATTGTTTTGCTCCACATTTTTCTTGGCATAGTTAAAACAAATGTCATCTACCTCTGTAGCTAGAAAGTACCAACCATTCATTGTGGCTCCCAATAAAGGGTATATGCAAGATGCTCCAGTGCCTAAGGAAAAGATTTGTATTAACCATTTTTCAATGCTGAAGAGCAGAATTGCTGGAGACTATAGACTATAAGATGTTATGTATATGCAATTTTGTGTACCAATATCAATGCCACGGCGTGGCTGCTTTTGTCCATCAATAAGGTCCTCCACCCAGTGAATGTAGTTGAGACGTAGAGGAACTGTGGGTATGAGACGCTCCAGAGGAATTTCAATAGTCAAACCAAAGTCTTCTTTAAGCAAGGTGCAAGTCAATGCCCGGACTGCTTCTGGCTCTTTGAAATTCACGCTAGATAGAAATAAATAACATTGAAACGTACTACTAGTACTAGATTACAAAATACTTTTTCCATGATACATATATGTATGCAGATAAAATATCTACCATAATAGATACAGAAGGACATTTTACTATAAGTTTTAGTATGAAAGGATTGGTTTTAGGGGTAAATTTGTTGCTGTTTAAAGGGGAACTATTTGGTGTACTACTGATGGTCTCTAACTACATGCTGTGGACAGCAACAACTAATGACCCATGTCAAGCAGGTGTTGGACTTGAACATGTGAGCAACTATTTACCTATCCAGACACTCATCAATCTTACAAATGCATCTATATCTGATGAAGACATTAGCTTAATGGGCCACATTTATCAGCAGTTAAGACCAGTGACCTCCTGAAGGAGGGCTCACACCTGGCCCATTTGGGAAAAGTGCAGCAGTGAGAACCTACCTGGCTAAAGCAGTATTTCAAAAGCAAAATGTGCAAAAACTAATCTATCCCCATTATTCTTATGTTTAACTCCACAGTAAAGCTCCTATCCCTTTCATCTGTCCACCAAATATCCCATGGCCTCTCCCAGTTGTCCTCTGAGGCATCATTAGGATCAATATTCAGAGAGACTGTGGCCAAATTCTATTTTTAGACCTAGTGTGTATGCTCGCAGACGCATCCATTCTATCAGCAGTCCTGACACATCTCCATGGCAACCCCACCTACTGAAGAGATGAGAGCACGCAAATCCGGCCACGCTGGAGCAATGGCTGAAGCTGGAGCGAGCGTGAGAGTGCCCGCGGTTCTACGCATGTGGTGTCACGTAGGTGCGGCTCTACGCAATACATAATTGTGTTTGGTGATGCTTGACATACAAGCACAAAATATAATTTTATAAATATTAATGTATTAAATTATAATCAGCATTCCGAAATAGAAAAAAAATAAAAATTTTTTAAAAGTGAAATGCATTAGTGCAAGGTTATTATGATGGAAAAAAATGGTCAGTGGCCAGTTTACTGCTGAAGTAAACAGCTCTGTCTCACCTCTATCACACACCATCAGCATGAAAGAATACATGCAGTGTACACAGAACCTGTGTCCACAGAGGGATGACCTTCTAACGATTTTACCTGGTGTATTATGTGCTGACCACAGTAAACTTGTTTTCCTCTTGTCAGGTTTTTAAACCACTAAAAAAGACATTTTCAATCCTTGGAGTTAATATCATACCACACACCCAAATCTAATTAACAGTCGGCCATATAATAAAAATGACTCAGTTTTCTAAAATGATTAAATTTGTTTAAAAAGGAATTGAAAAGTGTTTCTTGTTGAAAGTGATATTTTCAAACCATTTCTTAAAAGCTTTGGAAAATATTTTAATTTCACTACAAATGTATATGCAGCTTTTATGCAAATCCTGCACAGTTGCTTTAGCTGCATATGCATGAAGAGTAAATCAAAAGGGGATATTTCTTCATAATTACATAACAAATTAGTGTGATTGTATTAAATAAAAAAAGTATGATCATGCAAATCTAAGCAATGTATTAATATAATTACTTTAATAGAAGGTATCAATTACAGCAATTTCATAGTGCTTATATTGCACAGGAGCAGATGTTATAATCAGAAGTGAACTATGGTTCATCCTGTATGTGTGAAGATGGCTCCCTAAAATACATAATGATATCTATTCATAACAATCATTGATTTCAAGCAATTGGGATCTCTGAGATCCCTGGGGTCCTACCAACATTCTTAAACATGTGTGTGATTATTGCTCTTTCATCTCCAGAGTTATTATTTTTGATGCCCTGAAATTAACCACACAAAACTCTGAGGAGCCCCTGTCCTGTTCAGAGACCCAAGGGGTCTTAAGCATAATTCAAACCATACCCTTCTTCCGCACAGAAAAATACAAGCATTTGAAATAGTAGGCCCATTTACGATTCCAGATTTAATTTATACAATTAAATGTCTGCTACTTTTTAAACTGTATTGCTGTCGGTGCTAACAATATTACCCCTATCCCATCACTTTGATAACAAAATTTTACATTCATCTCACTTTAGGAGCTCTCTATCTAGTTTGAGAGTTTACTTACACCGGTCGTCCCACCAGGCTGGTCTGCACATGCTGCTGGAACTCTGGATACTTGGAAGCTAAATAAGCAAAGTCAGGAGGTTTATCTTTGTAGCGGTTCCGGGGATGCATTGACTTGTTCAGAGCCATGACTGAAACACACGTTAAACACTACTGTGTTATTAAACTCTTACTGTATCCGAGTTCAAATTAAAGTGCATTAAATCAATTGTCCCTGAACATAGTTGCAGAGGAAACATGCTAAGATGAAGCTAACGCCTTTCGCCATGTGTGCCCTACCTCGAGCGTCGTGAAATCCAAAAATTATACCAGATGGTCTATTTAGATTCACAAGTTCTTCATTTATGTACGAGTCGACAAACTGCTCTCTGTTAACAAAAGTTGTGCTAACCCACGTTGTACATACGTTTTGATTTTCTGTAAAGCGTTTCCTGTTTTCCCATGACGTCACATCAACGCACATCTCAGCGTGATGACGTAGAATCTCAGAAAAAAATGACACATAATAGTTTTCATTTCTTTTATTGCAAACAATTATGACAAACAGGGTAAAGCCTGACTGTTTGCTGAAGAGTGAAGCCGGACACGGAAAACAAGCTCCCTAAAGAGTTTGTTTGGTCTTGGGTCCCTTGGAACATAGAAAGAATTATGCTGTCTATGCTGTGGGGGAGTTTGGACGCCAATAAAAACTGTCTATAACTTTAATTCCAACTAATTTAAGCAGCACAAAACACAGCAAAACCGGCATCCTCCACGAATCATTTCCTTGTTTTAAATTTTCCATTTTATATTAACTTGGAATGTAGCGTATACCTACAGTCTTGAAAGCTGCTCCTATTTGACAACAAAAACGACCGTCAAATAGTTGATTGTCTCTTTTGTCTTGTCTGCCCCTGCCACTTGGGCCACTACCAAAACAATCTTACATTAAACTCGCATTTCTCTTTATTGTCATCATTTTTGGATGGAGCAGCAGTAACAGACGTCTCCGTGGTGACTAGATCTGTTACACAAGTGGGTGCACAGCTTTGCTTCTATGGTCATTTACATGCAGCAATGCAACATTACACTCACAGGACTAGCCAATATCAACTTGGAGCAGCATCACCATATCCAGTACACAGTATGAATAAAGCTGCAATAACACAAATTACAATCCTCCTTCATTAATTCAAAGAAAGACATTTTAAGGAAAATGCTCATCGGGAAAAATGTAGTTTGTTACTTTGCAATAGATTAAGGATCAAAAGTAAATTATTAGAAGATCTTTCACCTTTTAAATTGCACTTTGAAAAGGAGTTCATGCTTGCCTTCAGAAAGAATTGGCTGGTTTCATGTCATATCCAATACATACACATTAAGACTTTGTCAGAGATCGAAGCTTACTTCTCACAGTATGCTCTCACTGGAGCAGAGGACATTGCTGATTGGGTCTTTATGTGCCTACCCCTCCTTTCCAATTGAACATTGGGTTGCAAGTCCATAGCAAAAGACTGGTTTCCATTTAACTTAATATAAATTTTATATTTTCACAGAAAACTTACTACTTAAGCCAAAACAGTACACAAGTTATCATATTGTTCACCTTCATATTGGAACTGTATGGACTTCACATATTCCATCCAGGAACAATGACGCATTCATTAAATAAAATTTAGCTTTGCTTCCAACTGTCAGACGGGTGGACCAGGCTAAGCAATTACATTTCTAAATTGATCTTTAAAAAGGGAAATACACATTAAGCGCTACTAGACTGCATTCATACCCAAGTCTCATTTAAGCAGAATCAAAATGTTAAAATGTAACATTTGACACTACAAGGAAATTTTATCTCAAGTATGGCATAGCCACAGCTCTAGTTAGATGTGGCACACTGACAAAAGTAAAGCTGCTTTTCATCACCAGTCTGAAGGGGGGGGAAAAGAAAAAAAAAAAAAAAAAAAAAGTATGACAAGTCTTGTTCAAGGAACAACGGTTTGCTCATTTAAGAATTAATAATATATTATTTCAAAGCCCATTCACAGCGTTCCTATAATATGCTAGGCACCAACCGGCTTGGGGGGAAAACAGTATCAGAAAAAAAAATCTAAATAAAAAAAGACAAAAATAAATCTCATATAAAGATACAGTAATATCTTAAATTATAGATTTAGTGCCCTACATTTTACGCCTTCTAAAACCCTGCTTTTCAGTTGCTCTGTATGACAGATAGGCAGCAACCTTATGTTTTTCTACACAAATTCAATGTTATTTAAAGTTGTATTATACAATTTGGGATTACCATGCAAGAATACTTTTTGTGTAACATTTAATAGCTCTTCTACATCCAGGAATATTTTACACAGAAAGACAAAAGTTACTGGACCAGAGAGCACGATGGGTAAATGACCATGGTGGTTAAGTGCAGCTGCAGAGATGTGCAGGAGTTTGGGTTACATGGACAGGTAGGGTGGAGTTTATCAGTATCTAGTGGAACATCTGCAGGAGATGGTCCAACCCTCCAAGGTCCATATCAACGACATTCCCACACTTTTACCGTTTGATCTACGCTGCCTGTGGCAACATACGGAGCAGCCTTGTGGAAATCTGTAGAAAAAAACAATAGAAATCTTAGAATAAAAAACAAAACAAAACTGACCTACATTTGTCAAAGTTTTGACATTTTCAACAGCAGCCATGCTTACCCATAGAGGTAACAAAGTGTTCGTGAGCACCCAAGGTTTTCATGCAGCGCTTGTTTTTGTAGTCCCAAATCCTCAAAGTTTTGTCATCTGCACAACTCACTATAAATTTGCCACCTGGATGGAAAAGGACTCCACGTACCCAATTGTCATGGCCAACCTAAGGCAACAGTTTACAAATTCAACCTTAGACTGTACTTTTATCTGTTGATCATCAGACATGATCAGTCCTTACCAGAGTCATAAGGCACATACTGGTGCTAATATCCCACATCTTAATAGTTTTATCTCTGGAGCCAGACAATAGGAAAGGACCTGGCTTCCCACTTTTCTTATTCTAAAGAGACAGTTAAACACATTCACAATCAAAAACAATATTTTAAAACAGGGGTTGCAATTAGGACAACTGCTACGAGGATAACAGTGTAAATCCGACAAGAATTCATGTGGATCACAAGGCATGGGGTGAGTGTCCATGTTGCTTAAGGCTATTTTGATATTCTAGTTAATTCTGCAAGCTCTTTATATCCATTTCACAGATGTTTACTTCACATGAGCAGTGACGTGTGAGGCTCAAGTACGGCTTTACATGCTTTTTTTTTTCCGAGCGAGTGTACTACTTTACTTCAAGTGTACTATGTTGTATTATAGCTTGAAAATAATCATACCTCTGACCCGGTGGCATCTTGGATATTGGGATAAGCGCTTTCTGGAGCCCATGAAATGCACTCCACTACATGCTCATGTTCCCGCAGCTCTGCTTTGCACTCTTTAGTGGCCACAACCCACACGCGCACTGTCTGGTCATTGGAGCAGCTGGCAATTAATGTGCCATCCTGGTTTGGTCGCACCATACGAACCCACTCCCTGTGGCCTGTGAAGGTCTTTACAGAATAACTACAAGACAAACAAAGAGTCAGACTACACACAGAAGGGTTCAAAATTTTAAATGCAGGTCTGTTTTTATAAAAGGAGCAACTCGTAGTTTCGTACCCAGTGGCGACTTCCCACATTTTTATAGTTTTGTCCCTTGAAGCTGAGACAATGTGATCTCCATTGGGCATGATGGCAACTGATGAAACATTGTGATCATGCCCTGGAAACAAAAAACAATTACAAAAAACTATTTGCCAGTGGTCGTGTACCTTACAAAAAGGAAAACGTGTAAAGACTTTTACTCAAGTAACTGCCTCTTTCAGTTCAGTTTAAGGAAAATGATTGCTCTATTTGTCTTATGAAATTGAGATTTAACTCAGTTGAACTGAAACCAGAGATAAATGAAGCATAACATGTGATTACTGATAAACAACCATAATGAGCAGCACAAAGCATAAGATAACCTATTTTTATAAACAAAAATGTATAGGCCAGCCACATTAAACTTGTTAAATACATACCATGCATAGTTCTTATGCACTCAAAGACTTGGAAATCCCACAGCTTGATAGTCATATCAGCAGAGCAGGAGGCGAGCAGTTTGCCAGTTTGGTCAAAAGAGATGTCCTGTACAGAGTCTGTATGACCCTTCAAAGTGCGTTCAAAGTCTCCTGTCTCATAGTCCCAAACCTAGATTAGAATTTATTACAACACAAAGTTAGTACCAAATATATTGAGTAAACATTATAGCATACAATGTAAAATACTAAGACAATATGTTCTTGGACATAGCACAGGAGTTATTTAGAGCTTCTGGGCAGACAGAAGGATAAACCCTGGGTTCTTGGGCAGCTCCTTACCAGGGAAGAAGGGGGGAAGGGGGTCAGAGCAGGCATACATGAAGTGACAAACCCCTCCCTCCCCCCAGCACCAGACAAAGCAGATGGCAGCAGGTGCACAGAGGGTTGTCCAGTTGAAGATAAATGCTGTAATGTGTCTGACACGATCTAATGCTCTGTTAAATGTCTGTTCTATAACAATTTCACTTGGACATCCATCAGAGTAAAAAAGGGTTTTCATCAATCCTATAGATACTAATGGTATAGCATGGTAAAAAAACTGAAATAACTTTAATAAATACATTCACAAGAGTGAAAAGGTAATTCATGTTGTAAAAAATAAAAAGGGTTATACTTGTGAAAATTCAGATACAGAAATAGTTGAATTACAAGTGCCAACACTCACCTTTATGGTGGCATCCTCAGAGGCTGACACCATGACACTGAAGACTGGATGGAATATGACTCGAGTGACAGGGCTCCTGTGCCCGCTCAGAGAGTACTTCTCTGGAGGTCGGGGGATCCACTCTTTGGGGTCGCGCTTCTGACTGACAGGTCCACCAAAATGTATGTCATCTTTAACATCATTTAACTTTGATTCGAGCTCCATAACCTGTCCATTTATAAAATGTTTCAGTCAAGCATACAACGGGATGAAAAAAAAAAAACACATAAGAAAAAGACAAACCTTTTTCTGTAACCTGATGACAGAGGTCCATTTCTTCTCTAAAAGACCTGCATACTTCTTGTCCAACTCTTCATTCTGTCAATAGAGGAAAAAAGAACAAAACACATCAGTCTTTGATATTTAGTCTACGAATAGGTCAAAGTCAATGTAATACGTTTCAGCCTCTTTTTTGTCATTTTAATAGTTTTAATTATTGGCAATATACAAAATGGTCTAATTTTTCGTATGTCCAGATGAAAAACAATAGCAATATGATCAATATTACAACAAATCTCCTACCTCTACCTAGAATGTTCCACAGCACGACATAAAACAGCATTTTCCATTAATACAGAGAGACTATGGTGGCCCCAGCAATCCAATTTTTTGCCCCATAGTCAAAAACGTGCTGAGCAATATATTATTGCTATTAATAAATATATTTTTGCATATTGTAGGATCATAAATATATAGATGCAACTATATTACTTTTTTTTTAAATTTAATTAGCAGGCAATAATTACATATTTACTTTTTTCAGCAAAAAAAACACCTGAATGTCATAGTATGGAACATTACAGATGAAGCAATAACATCTCAGAGACAAGCAAGTGGAAGGCCCCCAACAGAGCTTCCAAGCTCAATTAACATTTGTAGCATTACACTTCCCATGGACTGGCTAAGAGAGAAGGTAGGAGTTTCTTGGCAATGTTACTCGTAAAGAGTCTGCTCACAAACTCACAACCACATCCGTCAGTCTGCCCCAGGACAGACGAGGCTGCAGAAGTATCTTAAAGGCCCTGTACTTGAGTTATACCAAACATATTCTTCACTTTCGCAAAACATTCCTAGCATCCCAATTATTGATCACAATAAGTTTATAAGCATGTTTCACAATTTTCAGAGGCCAGAGCATAGTTTTGCTGTCACAAGGAATTTTAATGTTAACAACTACCATGCAAACATCACACTGGTTCAGACTATAAAAATGAAGCAAATCAATCAAAAAACAAACAGACCATTAACACCATTACACTTGGATGCAAATATCCAAAGAAGACTGTTCTTTACTCACCACATCTAATTCAGCTTCTTTTTTGAAATTGGAATACGCCTCTTCATATCCATTGGAACGAAGATAATCCGCTATTGCGCGATTTCTGAAACAAATATGACAAAATTAGTATTTATTAATACTATTATAACTAAAAAGGAGAAACAAAAGGGCATGTTCATTTAAAAAGGGACAGACAGAAATGCTAATGTTCATCTTGGCACATTCAGAGGTGTCATCACAACCCTGTAGTAAAACTACTTGGCAGACATATTAGCAGCGCAACAGAAGGGCCCACATCCATTAATGAGAGCAGAGGTATACAACAAAAGAAAACCACTATAATATAAATTCCTGCTATCAAGATAAGTATACATATTTAGAAAAGAGATTGGTATGGGTTTATTCATACAGCATTTTTAATCTAAAGCAGTCGATGACCAAATTATAGAACATGAAATCATAGTTAAGTTAATGTCTACAGTGCACTGCTCTATGATGTTTAGACACAGTGTTGTTTCCATACAAACCAATAGGGCAGTGTAGTCACATTTTATGCAGTCTTCATATACTGCAAGTCCTTTCCTGTGATGAGCCCACAATAAATAACTGGCCTATACTACGTATGCTTCTGCTAATATGTGAAAATATCGCCATCATCTGTAAATAAACTCCTACAGTATTTGCTCTAAACAACAGTACATACAAATGCTAGCCGAAGCCTGACAAGCCACCAGGCGAACTGAACTGGGGGTATCAATAAGAAGGGGCTAAACAACATGATCCTCCACAATCTGTCCAAGCTGTCTGTGCCTACAGGAGGAGAACCAGCCCTCCTCTGTTCACCTCAACTCATGAGACTGGGGATGTCTGTAACCTGACTAGCCCTAGCCTAGCCCTATTCTACTGAGTAGTAGCAGTAGCAGTCAGATGATACAGATTTTCAATGCCAGAATAAAGGAAACATGACAAACTAAATTACATCACAGTGTTGCTTACAGCATAAGAAAAATAGGCAATTACTAATGAGGTTAATGTCAGTTTAAGTGACAGGCATGTAGCATGTTGTTGTGGACCAAAGAACCTCTTAGCCATAAATGTCTTTTCATGTATTCTAGCTTATGCAACTTAAGATATAAACACAGAATGGACAAAAACAACAGACCCAGAGGCAACAGAAATTAAGGGACATTAATGACAAGAACTGCTGTGCGGTCTTGTACACGAAGCATTGTAAGGGGAATTTTCATGTGGATGAGAGTTCAAAGGCAAAGGCTCATCTAAACAAGTGCCTCCAGGTCTTTGAGGAGAGCAGTCAGTTTGTGTCTTAGGTCTATTTATGCAGCAGCCAGCAGGGATAAGTCCCCTGACCCAGGAAAGGAACACAAATGCACTTTTCATGGGGCCGCTATCACAAAATTACACTTGTTGTTAAGTTACTGCACAAACACAGCATCTGACGGCTGTGTTAAAAAAATAACAGATTTGGCACAGTTAGGAAAAGTCAATGCCCACTCATATAGAGCCGCATGTCGAATATTCTTACACCTCAAAAGGCATGCGTGCGCAACCTGGGTTATTATATAAGGCCATACCAAGTCAAGCATAAAGCCTGAAGCATCATTTGGCCTTCTGACACTCCCAGCAACTCTTAAAAGCACAGCTAAATTTCAATATTCCTTACATGTATTAAACATCATTAGACCACAGCCCTGACGATAAAGCAACAGCTTATATGCCTGAAAATGGCAAAACATAAAAAGTTTGGGGGGTACTAGGCTTCAGTGAGTAGTTAAGAGCAGGAAAGATTAGCATTCCAATAGAACTCTCCATACCAACAGACACCGCCCACAACTAATCTAAAAACAGGGAAACATTGTTAAGTATGTTGAGCTTTGCCATGTGAAAGTCGACATGGATCTAAGCCACAGTGCAAGGCCACTGTCAAAAATCAAAACTTTTTAACCTCTGCTATGAAGAAAATCTAAAAGCAGAGCATCCAAAAGAAAAGACAACTTTCTGTTTGTGGCACCGGAGTAATTCAATTTGTCAACTGGACAAAAGTTTATTTAGGTTGAATACAAAGACATATTTGAATTTCTCCTTTGCCATGGATTCTACCTAGACGACTGAGGGTTACAGGAGTTATATTACATAAATTTTGCCAGTTACCATATCAATATTATTTGCTCCTTTCATTACAATCTGCAGATTATTTGATTATTAATTGCACACCCCTAGTCCACACTTGTTAAAGCTGCTATCAAAAAGAAAACACAACTGAACCATTACCATACCATACCAAAATATCAACTGCATGTTTTAGGAAACCAGAGCACCTGGAGCAAACCTCCACAGACGCATGCAGAACATGCAAACTACATACAGAAAGGTGGCACATCTGTCATGGGATTAGAACCAAGACTGTGAAATAGAAGTGCTAACTGTAATGCCACCATGCCGCCCAGTAATGATAAAAATGTAGAACGTTAACACAGACTGATAACAGAGAAATGCACCTGTGTAAGATTTACTATACTTTGTCATCTTATCCATTTCTTCTATCTGCAAATTGTGAATACGTGTGTGAAAAAAAGTGCATGTCATTTGAAGAACAAGACTCTTACAGTTCATCTCTTTGCCGTTGGGACAGCACCATGGCGAAAGGGCGGTTGGGGCGGGGCCAGGGGAGAGTAGGTGACAGAGGTAAATCTTGTGCAGCTACTTTGCTCTTCTCTCTCAGGAGATGAGCTGTGCTGATGATCTGAGCAAGTTGACTGAATGCACACCCTGTACTCCAGTGATGGGCTGTAGAAGTTCACAAATACTCCCCAAAATGTGGCTCACTCCAGTGTCAAGAGAAGCAGAGAACCTGCAGACCAGTCACCAGCTGAGCCTGCACTGCATCTGAGAAGAGAAAAACTACATTTAGTTATGTGGTGATGGATACAAATCATGCCAATGACAAGTTTCAACATCCAAGAGACTTCCGATCTTAATTTTCCATTTATGTATGTCAAAAGTTAACATAGGCTAGGGTCTGTGTGTTCCCAACATTTACAGTAACTAACACATTGTTATGCACAATGTATGGAATAATTGGAATGATAATTCGAGTCAAGCTCTTGAAGTAAGTGATCTTCAGGAGGGAAAACATGGAGCAGTGTCAGCATCGAACATGATCCTTTTCAACAAATGCAATATTGGCAAGTGTCTCCTACTTCCAATTGCATTTTCTGTATAATCCACTACTCAGGCAATTTTGTTTATGGCAACTAAAGGTTTCAAACAGCAGGTTCTGTAATCAAATGTTATCATAGTATTGTAAAAATGTATTTCAGAATTGTCCCTTCGCTCATTTTGCCAAAAATACACGCCCCATCCTGCTCCTGTCAAGGCCCCATTAGGGAAATACACATGTTCCACCATCAACGCACAACTGGAACAGGCATTAACAACAACAGCAACCAACAACAACGTGTTCTGCAGTGTTTTATGTAATAGTACAGACAGCAGTCAAAGTCACTGACAAAAATATATGGATTATGGTAACTGATAGAAGAGCCTATTCTACCACGTCAAACATTCACGCAAATATGTAACGTAACGCCGGGGTTTTGGATATATAGGCAAGCTCCTCTTTTATGGTCAATTCAACAAAGTGTCCGTGGAATATGTTTCATCTGCTGCTCTTCTAACGGTCTAATGTTATTTTTAAAGCTTCCATCGTACATAATTCGCTCTTATTGGATTTTTAGCTTGGCATTATCCTAAGCGAAGTTAGCCTCCACAGTCAGAAAGTCTCACAGCCTTTGTTACAACTTGACGCAGCATGACTTGAAATACAAAACAAAATGAAGGTAACCATCTCCAGGCTTTACACACTCACATTATAGTCAGTCTTAATATGTCCTGTTAGCCCTGTGGACAAGATACCTGCTGCTGCTCCAGTGCAAGGGCCTAGCCGCCATTTTGAGACATAAAAAGGAGATGCAGAAATTGCAGCAACAGAACAGTCATTTCCCTTGTATTAATGCCAGTTTCGTTCAGGACGGCGAGTAACAACAGTACCGAGCATTTAACTCACCCTCTTGTTTTGCCTGCAAATGTCTTCAGTCCTCTCCCGTGGTGATCCAACCCAACAGGGCGTTGAAATTTCCGCTCTCAAATATGATCTTGTGATGTGGAGGTGAAGTGCTGTGCTGGTCTATGGTCTCAGTACACAGGTCTCTGGTCTCGGCTCTGCCTCCTGTTTTCGCACCGCCTTTAAACGCGAGCGCGCTTCAGATCGCGTTCACACACGCGCGAGCGCGCACGTCCCTCATTCAGAAATACGACGCTGCAACTAATAATCCTGATAAATAATCTCAAGGAAAAATGCAAAAACTCAGATACGATGATTTACCTTTTACAGATTTCCCCGTGTTTGTTGATAAATTGTTCCAAATTGTTCTATGGTTCAGACTCGAAATCAAGGTGAAGTGATCTCCAATGTATTTTTTAAGTTTGGTGCGCCCCCTTATGGATGATGAAGCATGTAATAGACAAGCTTGCCTTCACTGTTTGTTTATTAAGGCTCAATTTTCGCAAGTAATTGTAGTTCATTTGTATCTGCCATATATTAACAGAATTTTCTACAAAACCTTTTCACAATATTGCTTTAATCACACATTACAGATGGCAGCAATTAACAGTTTGCCATGAGAGGAACACATTGCATGTATACAAGCACAAACCTATTAGTTTTTGGTACATTGAAACATTGGAGCAGCCCTTTTTGTCTACTTTTAGTTGTGCAATTAATTACCACACAACCAAATAGCACATGAAAGTGCACTGAATACTGCTCAATGAACTGACAATCAGAGATAGTTTTATGTCCATGACATAGAAAAAGACATTACCCAAAAAAATAAAAATAAAAACAAGACAAAGTAAAAATGAATACAATGGAATCAGTTACTACTGCTCAAGTTGAGCACTCAATTTCTAGTACCTTCATGATACATTAATTGAGTTACAAGATCAGCAGGCATTGATTGTTTTAACTCAAGAAACAACAACTATCCCGTAGATGTACTTTTATATAGAAAAATAAAACATCTGGATAGTATACTATTGTTCTTTAGCTTCAACATAAACTACACAGCAGCAGAAGCAGCAACAGCCCAAGCCAAACGTTCTTCTCTTTGACAGCACAAAGAATTAACACACAAGTATACAACATGCCACAGTGTGTAAAAATAGATTACTGCTACTAAATAGATATTCTACTGCTTTTAGACCATGGACGTTTTTTTTTTTTAATTTGCAAATCCATTACAATCAAATATTTGCCTCTTTCTGATAGATTTATACATCTTTCTGCTTCTATACAGGTTCTATAAATTAGACATGGCTTAAATTAATAAATCATCAGGCCCTAAATACCGTCTCCTACACACTGTTACAAAGAAAGTTTCACTCTCACACTATAGCGCAGCTTGTATTGACAGTTATGAATGATTGTGGGCACCTTCATCACAAAATAATTGAGAAAAATCAACCACTACAGACCTAAAATAATGTAGTGGAAATCCTTACAATCTAAAAACCTTTGAACAATGCATTGTTGGCTTAAACAATGTTGTTGCTCTTAGTGCACAGTAGAAATGGCTCCTGAGTTCGAGGAGAGGATTGGTGCCATACCAGCAGAACAGGGCAGGCAAACGACTACATGTCCAAAGATCAAGGGGTTTCAGAGAAATGCATGGTTAAATGAGATTTGGACTAATAGTACTGTGCAAATCTGAAGCAGGACGAGTAAGTACTAGGATACATTTAATAAGGCCCTGGCCTACAATGTCATGGTCATCTTGGTCTCTCTTGCTTGGCTGCATACTTATTTATTCACACCTTGTCATATTGGACCAGGTATATCTGCATTGCTTGTTAACATTGATCTGGCATGTTTATATTCCTCTCATCATTTCCTATAAGATAGGAAATACATTTAAAGGCCTATAAAAAACACACAATTTGTGTGTCACCCCTCCCATACTATTTCAAGTTGATTGAAGTGTCCGGGCTAAATGACTTGACCATTGTGTTATTGCGTATGCCTGTTAAACGTTAATCAATAGGAATTTTGTCCTCCAGTTCCAGTGGGGCCTCTTCCAAGTTCTCCTCAGTCTTTCCCAACTCTTGCAACTGCTGTCGCCTCTGCACCTCAGCCTTCAAGTTCTCCAGATCTTTTTGACTGGAAAAAAAAATCCAAGTTTTGAGATTAGGACCTAACTCAATATCTGGTGTAATTTTATACGCTGCACTGCAGATGGATTATAATAAAAGACTTTACCTGAGAGGTATAAAGATGATCCCATTAATAATGTTGAGCTGTTCTAAGACACTTGCCATGCTGGGGGCAGTAAACTGCAATATACAGAATAAGCATTGGATAAATCTTGAATAAGGAAAACAAACCAAACAAACAAATAAACCTGCATATGACGGTCACCTTTACAGGCATGATGCTGGCATTGGAGCCATTCTTGTAAATTTCATTCATTGTCCTCTGAAGTGCTACAGCTTGTTGCGTAAGGTACTTCAGATACTCTGAGCTTTCCTTTGTTTTTTCATGCACCTCACCCATCTGTTGTAAGAAGAGAAAAGTTAGAGTAAAATTAATGCTATATTTCATGTTACATGAGGTTACACCATGTCACACCTGGTTCTTGTAGATTGTATAACCTTCCTTTTCATGTTGAAGTGCAGAACGAAATTCTGCTTTGCTTTCATAGACTCTGGCTACCAAATGGTGACTGATGAAAACAAAACATTTGAAACAAAAAAAAAAATTCTATCTTAACTCAGACAATACAAACATTTGCAGATTAACACCAATATTAATTTGACAAACCTAAGAGCCACTTTCAGAGATCGAGGTCCGTGATATTTTGTATTGATGGTTAAGGCATTTTCAAGGAAGCGCAGTGATAAGTCATACTCCATTACTCCATGCAGTACCAGACCAATGTTACTCTGTAAATGAAAACATTCAGCATTGAAATGACAAAAAACACAAAAAGTTAAATAAAATGGTTGATCCTCAAGCATAAATAGCTACACACATCAAGAAGAGCCATCTCTGGGTGGTCTTCTCCAGAGACCAACAGCATGAGATAACGAGCGCGGTAAAGCAGCTTCAGGGCAGTTGACAGCTGTCCATTGGCAAAGCAATAGAGAGCCAAGTGCATCTGGAAAGCAAGTGGAAAAAACAATATGTATAAATGCATAAATGGTTTGAAGAACATTACATTTTACTTAAAAAGAACTGCATCAAACTAGAAAAATGCTTACATATTCTTGAATGGTGTTTGGGTGCTCAATGCCCAGCACTCTTTCACTCATCAAAACAGCTTTTTGCTGGTTACTAAGAGCCTGAGAATACGTTATAAAATTTACCAAACCATAACCACAATATAGTAAAAATGTGTTGTTCTAAATAATCTGACATATTTACCTCTGCGTGGTCCCCCATAATATAATTAAGGCGTGCCAAGAGACGTAGACAGGCACAAATCTCAACATGCATGGCTCCATAAACATTGTTAAAAAGGTTGAGAGCCTCATTGATGAGCTCACTTCCCTCCTTCAGAAACCCTACATGCAAAGATGAGAAGTGAACTTAACTATACTTTATACTGAATACTATACTTTAACATTTTTATCAAAAACCTTACCTTGTTGTACTTTGGCCTGACCGCTCTGAAAAAAGTGAAAGGCATCTGAGGCTTTGGGATTCACATGTTTCACAACAGGGAAGATATTCAAGATGTCCTCTTCTGTAAAGGCTGGCTTATGGCGGCTGTCAAAGTTGTACTCTTTAATTAGGATCTAGACAGAAAAACAAATACATTTTTAAAAGAAGTTTGATGAATGTGTTCTTGTGGCTTTGATGTGTGTGTTTTAAAGATCTGGTCAAAACTGATACCTGAATTCCTGTTTTTATTGAAATCTCTCTGAGAAGAGTGATCTTCTGGAGACCATATTTCTCCACAACCTGGTCAACGCTTTCACTGCATATCAAAGTTTGCATTCAATATATCATCCATAACATGTAAACAATTTTGATAGAATATAAATTTCTTACCAATCTACAGTAAAGTGATAGTAAGATTGAGCCTCTGAAATTATGTTTTTCCATAGCTCGCTGGGAGTCAGACTGGCCCACGCTGTATTGTCCCCACTGCCAGGGACTCTGTTGCGGCGCTTGCGACTTTTGCGACGTGACACCAGCTCATCAGGGGGCAAATGGGCCACTGCATCAGGAAAAGAGCTCAAGAAACAATTCAGGAAGTGGCTCACGGCTGCAGATAGGGCTGACAACTCCACACCCTATAAAACACAAATCCACATTCATGAAAGGATGAATTATGATTAAAACTATATCGGTGCATTATTATTCATTACCTGAAGGTATGTCTTGAAGATATGTTTAGCACATCTGGTGATAAGCTCACTTATTCCTATTCTCTAAAAAATAGAGCACATAGTGTCAAAGCCTGTACATCAAAACGGGACTCTTAGTCGGTTCTCTGCTCACATAGACATGTTCCAGCTGCGATTTGGCAGGAGTCTTGTCAATGAAATCCAGAACAGTTCCCAAGTACCGAACATTAATGCCTCGCTGGTGCAGAGCCTCGGTCAATGTGGCTCCATCCATAGGCAGAGCACTGTGATCCAAACAGTCTTTGACCTGAACATTAACACAAAGTTCTTTAAAATATTTACTATATTACAGATACATAGATTAGTAAAATACTGACCAGTGAGGGGATCTGACAAGACAGCAAGAATGCAGCAGCATCTTTTAGGAGCTGCTTTTGTTTTTGGATGTCATCAGTGCTGTCTTCTGGAAATCGCACTCCTGATAATGTGTAATGTACATAAAATAAAATTTGAGAGTCAGGGCAAAACATTGATTGACCAACTTCATCCGAGTTAGCACAGTATAAAAGTACCTCCAATCTTACCTGGAGAGAAAATATCAGGGTTGAAGCGTATATCAAAGGATGTATTGCTGATGGAGCCAACCGCTTTGCATGCATTCAGGACTACCTCTCTGCTTTTGGGGTCTAAATTCAACAGTAAAGAGATAGAAAACGGGACATTTAGGGCATCTAAAAAGTTCACATGTCACAATATCTAAAATTCACACTAGATTTAATAGCCTTAACCATGTGGGTGATAACATTGTTAAAATGTGCAAAATTAAAGTGATAAACATTAGACTGACACCCAACACCAGTTAAGCAAACAAAACAAATAGTGTGTTGATTCAACCATGCAGCAACCAAATAAATAATTAATTAGAAACCTAAATAAAAAATTAATAAATAAATAAAACAATTTTATCAAGAAAGTGAAGGGACAATATCAAAGCAGGACTTAACAGAGAGACCACTCATGGTGGATTTCAAAAGCTATGTAATGTTGTAGCAACTAATTGTGTCTGAGCCGCTGAATAATGCATTTGGTTAATACTTTTAAAATCACTGATAAATTTTTATTGAGTACGTGTGTGTGTGTGAGGAGAGGTGTGGGGGTTTGTGAATGTATCCAGAGTGGCTCTCTTCATGCCGTCCAACTTTGTTTAGGGTTTTCGGGCATTTTGACGTACCAATTCCAGTTCCATCTTCAGTTACTAAGGTCTCCGCAAGCTCTTTGGCCTGAGCTAATCCCGGAATACTATCCTCAAGCTCCTTACCCTCCAGTGGGCTCTTGCATGCTCCGTTCTGGGTAGCTGTGGCAGTGTCTAGAGGACCATTAGTGGTGGGGCTTGAGTCTTTGCCTTCAGTTGTGTTTGATGAGTCAGCAGAAGTACTGATATCTGTAGAAACTGCTAGAGAATTGGAATCAGCATTCACTGTTTGAGTTAGGTCCATTTTGTTCGAGGTTGTTTCTGAGCCTTCTGTAAGAGCAACATTAGTTTTGGTGTCTTTATTAGCTTTCTGTTGCATGAGCTGCAATGCAGCCATTTTCATAAAGAGAAGATATCTGAAATAAAAACAATAAAACAAAAAATGGATGTCATTTTTCTTTAGATGTAATAAATACATAGTTAAGGTTGACAACTACCTGTGTTCAACAAAGGCCTCAATTAACTCCTGGCGTAAACAAGCTAGGCGGTGTCTGTGTGGGCGGGGGAAACCTTGGCGCTGACATTCAGCAGGGAGCTCCACCCCCTCCACAGGCAGGAAGTTTAAATCAGGAGGAAAAGTACGAAGCAAGTCAAGAATATAATGACGGCCATCATTTCCAATAATGCCTTTGCACTCTACAGAAGAGCACAGCTCCACCGTTTCATTCTTCTCATTCAGTACACTGTGCTTTTGGACCTGAGATTAAAATACAGTGAAAAGCCATTTTTGCATTTTTTTTCTTTTTACTTCACCTTGAAAATAGTGATTGTTCTCATGCTAACCTTAAGAGGCCGGCTCGTCTTGTCCAGAAGCTCCAAATATTTGTTGTGTGACACAACAGTCTTTCCAAAGTCAATTGAGCCATAGATGACACTCTGCTCCTGCTCACGCTCCAGAATGCCCGGGATAATTGACTGAGCAGTAACACGGTATCCTCTATAATCTACTACCACTGTCCCCAGCGTATACAAGCCCTCCACATCCACAGCTCCATATGCCCGAACCCCATTTAAGTCATTGGTTGGTGCTGCGTGAGCGGCAGCATCACCTCCTAGCTCCCGATAATGGTCCCTAACATCAAAACCCAGGCTAAAAAATATGTTGTTCCAGATAAACATCTGCATTCGTGTTTCTTCTCCTGGGTTTATGGCCATAACGTTTCCATCAATCACAGCCATTGCACCGCGAGTGGCAGCAGCAGCAAAATCACTATGTACCTAGAAGAAAGTAAGATTTTTTTTTTAGATAGCAGTTGGAATGTGGGTTAAAAAAGGTAAAACGGTGAGAATTGAAAACCTTGAAAATGGCACGTTCCCTCAGTAGACGTTCTGGCAAGTTTTTACGAGGTAGCTCTCTGGTTGTCTGCAGCTCCTCATTCCAGTCTCGGGTCTGAGGAAAAGAAGACAATATGAGGGCATAGACTTGGTACCCATTTGATTAACATCGTATTACCTGTCCAGGTATGTGCTCCTCATAACCAAGACGAGAAGTGTAAGCGTCCTCTGCTCTAACACAATCCATTGCGTGGTCAACTTGTGGGGCTGTCCAACTGTACACCTGAAAAGGAGTGGCGATCCTCTCAAAGGGATGTCGCTGGACTCTAGATCAAAGCCACAGCAAGAAACAATTACATAGAGTCTTAAAACTATAATCATTACCTATAATCTTAAGGCAGCAATATTATTATACTAATTTACAAAAAATTATTATATATTTAGTTTTGTTCCCCCATAAAGTCCCAGACACATTACACTGGACTTTAACTCGCCAGAATGTGAAACTGAGAAAAAATACTTTAAAGTGTTTGTTTTGTCCAGACAAAACTATAATAGATAGGGCTCCCAAAATTTGACAACTAGTTGCTATAATGAAGAAATACTTGTATGGCAAAAGGCCTGACACTTTTGACTTTGCCTGACTCCTTATTTTTGGCACATGAAACAAAGGCAGAGTACAGTAACTGCCAAATAAGGGTCAAAGGTCAATTCTGACCTCAGTATTTTTCACAATATTTATTCACATGATAAAGGAGGTCTCAAATACCAAAATTACATTAACAAATTTTTAACCAAACATGATGTTAATGCATTCTGCCTTTAGACAACTTGATATTTCCTGATCCATGAAAATATATATAGTTCTTGGTTATTTGCTGGCTGAGGCTAGATCAGGTGCTGTACAGTGCTTTTTGTAAACAATGCTTCAAAAATGTAATCCAACTAAAACTCTAAAGAGCAGAATTGTGAAGGGAAACAAATTACTTCTACATCTTTTTAAAACTCAGTTTTACCATCAGAAAGTAACCAAATAGCATCCAAAAAAGAACGTTTTTGCACCACATTTCCATTTTACGAATAAGCTTCTTGTGCATAATCAAGGCCACTAGAATATATCAGTAAGATATTGTTAGAAGTTACCTTTTCTTTTGCAAGGCAGTAAAGTTCTTCTTGAATGCTGGGCTTATCTGGCTTAGCAGTTCTACCAATGAATGGCTCAGAAAACTTGGATTAGCTGGTTTGGGATTAAATGTGTAGGAAGTTGACCTGGCATCAAACAAACATTTATTATTATCATTCGTTTTTTTAAGTTTGAATAAATGTATGGAAGACACTAACTGGTTGAGGTAAAAGCCACGTGTTGAGGCAGTGATGCTAACATGGCGCTCCTCCACAGTCACAATATACAGGTACATAAGATCGCCATGCATCTTTCGGTTTCCTGGAGGGGGATTCCATCCACTCATGGTTAGGACCTTCAAGCACTGCATTGGCTGTTGCAATAAAACAATTAAATTGATTTTACATAGGGCAATCTCAATCTCAATCTCATTATACTTCCAGGATAGAATACCTTCCAGTCCTTGTTCTGAGGCTGAAGGGGTGCTAAGGGATGCTCCTTGCTGCCAGGAAGAATGTGCTCTGGAGGGGTACAGTCAATTTGCTCCAGTTCATTTCCTTTTTTCTTTCTTTTGCCGCTATCTAAACAGAAAGAATTTATTTTACACTCACGTTCCATAGTACAAAAAAAATTATATAATGCAACAAAAAAAGCACAGTGTATTACCTCCAAGATCTCCATCAGTGAAGACACTGAGAAATGATAATGAGTTACAGTCCACACCATTGTACGCATCTGAAGGGTCAAGGCTCTTCAGGAGGTCTCTGATGTGGCGGACATGTATGCGAGCTTCACGAACAGTGTACGGTTCTACAAATTAAAAGAGGAACACATTATTAAAGCCTGAAAGTGGGCAATAATGGAATAATAATGGAATGGGATTAAAATTTTAGGATACTGCTTTAGGAGTGACTCATTTACAGAGCAAACGAAAACTGACCTTCAACCACTTTGAGCATGGATCCTTCCTGTAGCCCTTCAATTGACTTGAGTTCTGCAAAGTTGTCCAAAACATTTCCATCTAGCTGTAATGAGAAACATGTGCGATGGCAGGTGTCTTCTCTGTCCATTAACACCTGATGAATCTCCTGCACCATTTCCTGTGGTGATACCTAATGGTGAGAGCATCAAAAAGAAAATTATTTTTGTGACCAGGGGTGACTTGTAGTGAGTGATATTATTTCTCTTGGATTTTATAGTATGCATACAGTTTTACTGAACATTGATAGTCTGGTGGGCTTATACTTAACACTTACAGATACAAACAAATAAAAGATGGATACCTGCAAGTCAAAGGGCTCCGTTCCTGGTGCTTGGATCTTGACAGTGAACCCTGTGTCCTGAATCACAATGACTTCCTGTTCATTAGAATCTTCACCGTTTCCATTTTGCTGTGCCTCTGTATCATCAGTTTGTTGGTGGTTTTTGCCCCCGTTCATCATAACAGTATCTCCTTTATGCTCTGTAACAAAAGGAAAAGCAAAGTAAGTAGTGGTAAGTACTGGTATATAAATTATTTATGACATCAACACTAGTGCAGCTGCAACAACTTACTGAATACTGAGTACAACAGATTCAGTAACTAAACAGTGGTTCAATAACTAGTGTGCAAGCTTCTTCAGGCAGTACACAAATTAGTTATTACTAAGATTCAGTTTTATTCAAATTTAAAGCAACAGTAACTATTCAAGACCAGGTTTAGCCCTACCTCAGACCTGACTAGTACTTATCAGTAGTCAACAATAAAAAACAAACAAATGAACACAATAATAAATAAATGTATAATTTTGAAATATAATAAGTGGTCTTTTGGGTGTAACTCCTTAACCCATTTAGAACCCACACTGACAATGACAGCAGAATTAAACATGTTGACAGAAAATGGACACATCTGATATGCCTATTTAATATCATCATGAGATAAATAATTGCTGTTTCAGATGACCTCACAACATTCTATGGGCCAATAATATTCAACACAGATGGGGTTAGCTAAAATGAAGATTTTTCAAATGAACTTTTTTGTTGTTAAATAGTGAGTTCTAGGGTCTAGATACTGATAGTAATTATCAGGTTCAATATGTGTGAATTTACATGTTGGATATTTCATGGCAAAGTACAATGTAATCAATAGGGAAATCTGGTTCTTGCCTCCCATCTGGAGGTATGACATAATCGCTTTCTAAAACGTGAAAATAATATAAAAGAATGAGAACTTCGCACATCTGTTACTTGAGACCGGTGCGCTGGAGGAGAGGGAGCAGCCCAAGAACATAGAGAATAATCCCGCACACCGTTTTACTTGCAAAATGTGAGATTTATCAGGACATACAGAACAACTTTTCGGCACTAGGCCAAACAGATGTTTGCCTGATGACATTTTGCAAGTAAGACGATGTGCGAGATTTCTCTCTATAAAATGTGAAAACCATAAATATCTTAAAAGCACTTAAATATTATTCTATCAAGCACATAAGAAGCCAGTCATTTGGTCAGCAACAAATAAAAACCACAAGTAAGATATCTTCCCTCTATGGACCTTGACATGAGGCCATGGCTGCAACATTAACCAACCAGGCCACCCTTGGCAAAAAATAACATTCAAGGTCCTGCAATTGTTTTTTTGCACCACCAGTTGGTATCCTTCTCAAAGGAGAACTTGTACTACATATAAGTTGACATAAAGTTAAACAATTCATAATTATCAGTGCGCAACCCGATCAACTGAGATGAAGTTAAATAACTTGTCAGACCTACCAAAAGTTGTGTAACCTAAACTTAACCGGTTGTCAGCGGAGTGAGTGCAAATTGTATCGACAAGTCCATCTTTCTACAAGATGCTGGCAAGGAATCGTTGACTTACAAATACTCACCGTAAAACCAAATGAGGCCGGTAGTTAGTGTACTGTTAGTGATGTATTGTTAGAGTAACCTTCCTCATAGCTGTGCGCACCATCATGCTTTTTTTTTTTTTACATTGAACTTCCGTTTCCAGGTCGAGCGTGGACCATAACAGTGATGCACATTTGTGTGGGACTCACGGATATGAAAAAGAGATTATATTAAATAACCGGGAAAGTTACAGCTCCAAGTTAGTACCTTTGTTATTCCAAACACATAGTGGTATAGTAACGCGTTGATAACTTAAATTAGAAGAGACATATGTCAACGAAGAACACAAAGTGTGAAATTGGTCCCCCCTCTGTGCGCATAATGTACTGCTCCACTGAAGGTGACCTTCAGTTCATTCGTCTCAGGCGCTGCTCTTGAACATGTGTGTTCTGGACTACACGCAGCACGTTCAATCACAATGATATAGCTTACATTTATATTGTTAGCTGTAACGCAGCATAACACTATGTCTGCAAGATCGAAAATGATATGCGTTTTGATAGGCCCATATGCTAGTCTTGATGGTCTGAATTGCCAACTCAAACTATTTTACGTTAGCCAGCGACTGACATGCTAAGATGCTAACATGTCGGCAAGCATGTTAGATCTGTATATTAAAGAAATAACAGCACAGAGGAGAATTGCGAATTAACAAGAAAAAAACAAGGTAAATATAATGCCTTTTACAAAGATGACACTGTGCGACTGTGCTGCAAACCCAGATTGCTTGTGCATCGCAGTCCAGTGTTCTCTTGGCCAATGGCTCCTCCAAGGAGAAGATAGGAGACGGCACATCACACAAACTGATATGTCACTGAAATATATTACCATCTGACAGCAGGCCACACTCTCCAATGCAAGAAAATCGCCACTCTTCAGACGATTTAAACATCCTAATTGAAATAATGGACAATTTAAGGCAATGCCTCAGTCGATCACCACCTGGAGTTCAGACTTACCACAAGCACAGGAGTCCTTCAGGGAGGTATTGCTGATTCCCTCTTCATTCTGTGCTCCATCTCCAGCTTCACTCGCCAGATCAAGCGGATTACAGTCGGGCACTGACGCCGGGATGTCATCGGTCTTGCTCACCATGGTCGACTGTCAGAGAGGCGACCCCCAGCTGAGTATGCTGATGTGATCAGTCAATGTGCAAACTTTGACCGTTGTCTTAATGTAGGCTTTCTACATGCAAAGGAGAACAGACTTACAAAAACAAGTCTACTGAGGAAGGACAGTGCTGTACATGGTGAGGACACACGTGGTTTTACACCCCTCCTCTTGACCTATTTGCCTTTGCGTTACTGCCCCCACCCATTGCGTGGCACTACGGAAAGCCAGAAGTACCAAGACACATCATGAATTAGATGTTGTAGGCGCGTATGTTGGGGTTTGATTGTAAAAATATCGCTAGTGGACAAAGGTAAAATTATGTTATTGCATGTCAAGCCACACAGAGATAGGTGCATTTGTTGACAATGTTTTATTCAGTTTCAAATATGTGCAACTTTAAAACTTACAGTGTACGCGGCGTAAGAATTAATAATAACAATAATATTAATATTATAAGAATAACATAGAAGTTAGAACAGCCAATAAAGAACATTGACATTTCTTTTATAAAAATAAAAATAAACTAATGGAAGACTCACAGTTTAAATATTGAGAATATCTTGGTGAAATTAAGGCATCACAATGTTCTTCTGTGTATTGATTTTAGTGAACTCTTTGGCTCATTTACACCTGCCTTAAGAAAAGAACCTCAAAGATGTCCAGCAACTAGTACACTAAATTATGTATTCAGGAAAGTGTTACCAGTAAACACTGTTATAAAACAAGTTTTACAAAATGCTGATTAGATTCATATTTCATTTATGTGAGTAGATGACATATACCGTTATACAATTGTGCTGAGTAACAGTCTATATTCAAGTTATCAAACCATTTGATTACATAAAAATGTATTTTCCAAAGTCTATAATTTTACTTTTGATAAATGAAAGTGCACACAGTCATGCAAATGGCTTTAAAGAGGCAAACCCTGGCAGTCTCAACTTGCATAACTATATACTGTTAGTCCTTATGCCACTTCACATGTAACCTTCAGTCTCTTAACCACACTTAACCTATGTAACATTTAGCCTGGTGATATCTAATCATTTTGGTGACATCCATAAATAAGGATATCCACATAAGGAATTCTAGTAAAAATATCCAAATACTAATAATATCTTAATAACATTACACAATGCAAAAAACAAAAAAAAACGAATAGTTGTTTTTATCGTTAAATCACCTGAAATTATCTAGACATCGTATTATATTGCTTAAAGCTAAAATAATGCAATAGCTCTAAAACCCTAATTAGTTAGTTTAAATAAAAAGCTGCGTGTAGTGTATTGTGTATGGGAATAGGAATATTAATATTTAAGGCAATAATAACATATATGTATAGTAATTATCCGTAAAAAAAAAGACAGAAATACAGGCTAATTACCATAAAAACCCTTATGCTTTAGTGACTTAAATACAGTTGATATAATGAAACCATATAAATAAATTGATAAATTACAAATTTTGTGTGTGTTTTGGCTTTTCCAAAATGAATTAATTGGCTATCAATGTTGAGGCATGCACTTTTGGGTTTTCCTGAGCTGTAAAGAAACTCAGGCACAAATATATTTCAGTATTTGTTAGTGTAAATAGAAAGTATGCCTGAGTAAAACACATTTAGCTGATCAAGACCAGGGCCTGTGGACTTATGTATGGGACTAAATACACCTAAATAAAGATGGTTTCCCCAACTTGTCAGCTGTGACCTTTAAGTTCTCACAAACATTTTGCCTTGTGGCCCAGAAAGGTCATTGTTTTTTCTGTCACACAGTTGGCTTGCACGCTAGTCTAGAGCCCCTGCTGTGCAACAAAAACTTCACAGCAACTTAAATTAGGCTCATCCTTTCTAACTGAGCATGGTGTATGTAAACAAATATAGATTCTCTATAGATGCTTTAGATTTAAAGTGTCAAACTAATAAAAGTACTATCAGCATTATTCATTATAAAATTAACTTTAGTGTATGTGAATGATTCCTTCAAGGTGCTGAAATATAGCTTTACCAGAACATAAATGGGCAGAGTGATACAGAAAACAAAACTGCTAATCTGCTTTAGTCTCTGCAGCAGGGGGTGCTGCTGCTGAAGAAACTGCTTCTTTCAGGGACTCTGAAGGCTCCTCTCCACCCTGCTCAGTGCCCTGCTCATTCATAAGTCCCACTGGAGGAGGTGTAGGTGCAACAGCATGCCTCGGTCGTGCTCTTTGCCGTCGTGGGTTAAGAAAGAGGGCAGGGTCAGGCATTGCCATGGGCTCTGCTGGACCCAGAACTTTCTCAATTGGCACACATTCTCTTGTCCACTCCACTCTGGAGGACACTCTTGCAGTCTTCCGTTTCGGCTTGACCACAGGAGAAGGTGCTCCTGATGGCATTTGAGGTGAAAGATAGTCCTGTCCTGGATCGTAGTGGACACCTTGATTGTGGGCTCTAGCCAGGAGTCCTTGCCTCTGTTGGAGCCGCTGGTGGTGAAGTTTCTGCCTGGCTGCATGCAGCTGGAAGGAGAGATATGCTGCTGCCTCCGTTTGCTTCTGTAACTCTGTATGAAGGAGAGTTGAACAGTGACTACGGCGTTTCAGCTCTTCTAGGAAATGACGCTCCTTTTCTTTGAGGTTGGCTCTGAGTGCCCCTACCAAAGCCCCCTTGTGAGTCAGTTCTTTGCGGAGTTCTCCAATGGAACAATCCTGGTCCTGTAAGCAATTCTCCATGTCTCTGCAACGTAAATTTAAGAGCTCCTCTTCATCTTGTAACTCTGAAAAATACAATTTACATTGCATAATAATTAAAAAGTAGGCCTATATTATTTCTAGAATCAAAATTTTACTTACAAATAAATAAAACAAATAAAAATAAAAACTCAATGCACCAAGAAATACTTCAGACATTCTGTCGCCTCTTAACCACACCCAACTGCATTTACTGTAGATGTCCTAATCGTTATAACCTTAGAGCCTTCCATGTGCAGCTTGCTGCCTTGTTTTGTTCCTAATCTTTTCCCTGTTCACATCTCCCTTTCCATTGTTTTGTTCTTCACAAAGTCTGTAAATGAACACTCCCTCTGAGACTGTGAGGAAAAACTAATGCGAGACAGAAAAAAAGATCGATCAATTTGTCAGAGTTGGTATATTATCAGGAGTTGATTTTTTAAAGAAAACTACTTGAAACTTTTGTGGACCTGAATGAAATGGATCTATTAAAAGTTATGCTGTCAACCTCATATACAAATTTCAAAGTATACAGTAATGTTGCATTGGTTGTTTGCTCTGACAATAAGTATGCACTCTCTTAGCATTCAATTTTCTGCAAATGTGAACTGAATACGAGGCCTGCTGACCTTGCACAGGCTCTTGCAGTGGTAAAGACAAATACAAGGCAAGCTCTGGTTTCACTACAGTAACTTCCGACTGTCAAAGAGCCAATGGATGAACGAATGAAAGGGCTGGGTGTGTGATGTGTGATGTGTGAGGAGGGGGCTGACTGACAGGGATCTCTCTCTGGGGGATGGGTGGCTACCCCAGACAGCAGTGCAGCAGTGTACAAATATGGACAAATAGGGACTTTTACACTATTCTAATGAATAAATGGAAATGGCACTTACCCAGCTTCATTTTTCCTTGATGTTTCACCTTTAGTTCAGTTGTTAACTCTGGCAGTAAGCAAAAAGCACAACCAAGTAAAGAGTGATATTACTATGTGATGTAATCTCATAATAAAGAGCCTGAAATATATGCATTTCTCTGTATTTTTCAGTAGCTTTTTTTTCATCAGCTATAATCACTTTCAAAAGGGCTTACTAAAACATAACAACATAAGTTACTGTGTATTATTATAAGCATTTCAAAATATTTAATTTCATATTTTTAATAACGTGACTTTACATGTTGCATGAAATCATTGTTCTAAATTAAGATAAATATTTATGAAACATTTTTAATTATAAAAGCTATAATGCAATTAACCTTTGCTGACAAACTGAACTTTATGATAAAAGAAAAGAGATAACACAAACAAGAGCTTAACCTTGCATTATTCCTACAAGGTGAGCTGAGCATGTTTCCAATGGTAAATTAAAATTTTAATTAACAAATCACCAATGATAACATTAAGGCAAACACTTTGGTTTGTTGGTTGATTTATGTGTATGTATTATCTATGTTGAATAGAGGGAAACTGGCCCAGACACAGGGAGAACATAACTTTACAGAAGTGCCTTTGGAACCCAGGACCTTCGAGTTGAGACCAACTTTACCACGGTGTCACCAATTGTTACTGTTTTTTCTATAATTCAAAGAACTCTAGATGGGGAAGATATAAATTAAATCTTAATAACAGACCTTAATAAAAATAAAAGATGTGGACATATTATCCTCATGAATCAATATATAGGCTATTAGGTCAAGTCTTTTGACAAAAAACAGCAGTCGTCTAAAACTAAAAAGTGATGGCAACAAAGGCTGCACAACTGTCATCTGAAATGCCCACAAATACACAACCCTTCCCCCCACTTCTCTGCTCAGCATCTGTGGACCACTACCCCTCATGATGGCTTTCACTTTGTGTCAGTTAATTAACCAGAAGTTAATATGCACACTCTTATCTGATGAATGATGAGATCTGTAGTAGAGAGTTCAGAGAGTCCACACAAGGACAGCACTGATATTATGGTTGATTAAATGGTTCTTTAACAGGAAATGATGTCATCTACAGGAATTGTAGCATGACATCACAGCATTCTCATTCTGCCATTGATTGATGCTGCACAAATGCATTTGTTTGGTGGAACCAGATCATACATACAAGTCTAATTTAGATTTAGAGGGCTTGATTAATAGTTGCTCTTACTTTGCTCTTTAAGAAGCATTAACCAGAAGCAAAATTATACAGGAGCCAGTGCTGAAAATGGTGACTGTGCCCACCTGTACATCGTTTTTGCAGGGAGAGGATTTCCAGGTGAAGACTGTGCAACATAGTCAGATGCTCCTGTCTGAGAAACACTATACTCCTCTCCACACTCTGGATCTGCTGAGGTAAGCCACTGTCATCTGCCATGGCACTGCCTGGAAATGAAAGGAACCATGAAGTCATCAGACTAAAGCCAATCAATATTTTATTTTATTTGTGTTAAATAAATTTTTATCTACTCAGCACATGAAAATATTACTAATGGCATATTTTTTCTTTCAAATGGAAAAACATGTGATCTTTATCAACATAATTGTATAATATCTCTAAATTAGCAGTAATATTTTGTATTAGCCTATATATTATAACTGTTGTTATGGATCCAAATAGGCAAAACCAGCCTTGGGAAACCAAAACCAAAGATCTTACAAGGACACCAGAACAGAAGCGTGTATCTTTTGGAATTTGGTCTCAAAGAGATAAAGCCATGGGAGTTCATAACTTCAGTGGGTTAACTGTTTTATACAAGGCTGCTCCTACCTTTGGTGTAAATCACAGACTGAAGATGGCCTATAGCCTGTAAATCACGTGTGTTTTAGGCGTCCACCAGTCGGTTAGGGCTCAGTGGTCATCAGGGCATGTTGTAGTCCAGACTGCAGGCTGCGGCTCACACCCACATTTCACCAAAGAGCTCTTCAGCTTTGACTCCGTTTGCTTACGGGATTTAACGACAGGAAAAGTGCGCACAAAAGCAAAAACAGAAAGATGCAGCGCAGTCATTTGGCAACACCTCCCCCCGCTGCCACATTTAGCTAAAAAACAGTAGTTTGGTGATCAAAAGGGACGAAGAGGTTAAGATGCGCAGTTCACTTCACAACGCGCACAGCCTTCTCCCTCCGCCACCCAAGTGAAGACTGGACAGAAGAAAGATAAAAACAAGGCAGCGCGAACAGAACACGCGAGACTATGGTACGCCGTGGAAAAACGAGCCGGGCTCATGATTGGTGGAGTGGCTCGGAACCGCGGGAGGTAACGCCTGTTACAATACAGTCTACAGGGACTTCTGCTATTATAATGAAAATCTAATGTCTACGAAATACGAGATAACTTATTCTATAAAGTCAGCGCAAATATACAATTGCCAAGAACAGGTTCATGTTTTATTCTCAATAGATGGGTGTATGCTAGATTGAAACAGATACGCTTTGAGTCATTTCAGAACCATGGAGAGAGATCTTTGTCAAAATGAAAAACTATTCAGCGTTGAATAATACATTATTTCTGTCTGAATACCAGAATTAATCTAGGAAAAGAAACAGAAACCTTACCTGCACCCCAAAAAAGACAACATTTTCTTTTTACATTAAACAAATTGTTTATATACTGTATAAACATACACTTTTACAATAATTACAAAATAATCTCTGCCAAAAGATTAATTTATGGTTACAAGATTAACAAAAACAAAAAGTCAATGAAAGAACTTGCTTTCACTTGATCCAAGTTGTTTGTTGCAAAGTTGCAGATATCCATGAGTTTAAAGTCCACAGTATGAACAGTCCTCAATGTTTTTTTGTTTGTTTGTTTGTTTTTTGTGCTGACAGGCAAAATGCAGATGAAATACACAGGTCTACAAGTGGCACAGGAGAGAGACACATACATACACACTGTAGCACAAGTTTTACAATGCTGTAAAATATATGGTGAAGAATTGCAAGTTACTACTCAATTTATCTTTTGCTAATTAACACAACACTTTAGAAACAGTGTTATTCCACAGCAGCACAAATATGGATCACTCCAACTCCATATGTAGTAGCCATGTACAAACACATTTACAACCATTTAAAGTCTTCATTGTCAACAGAAGTACAATACAACAAAATTAAGCTGCCATTAAATATGATTAAAACAATACATTCACAATACAAATGTATTTTATTAAGGCAATTACTCAAATTTAGCAGAGCACATCTTTATCACAATTACACAATGCAGTTTCTTCAATCAATGGTGTCTTAAGTGTCAAGTTTTATCAACTGTCAGCAGCAACAAAACCACATCATCAGCTGCTTAACTTATCTTAATAGTTTACGTTCTGATTTCAAGACTTGTGCTTTGGCAAGGGCAAAAACAAATACAGTAATGGAAATTGTGGTTAAAAAAAACAAAAAAACAATCATGCCAAATACATTTGAATAAACTAATTTCAACAAGCAACCGTTTAGTCCACAAATTTTAGGCAAATAAATTACAACATAAGAAATGCTGTATCCTCCAAAAAAAAGTGCAATAGCAACTACTATACCAAACATGAATGGCATCCAGAGCCTTGTGATATGGTTAACAAATAAATAAGCATTCTTGCAGAAACGGCATATACTGTAATATATTTGTTTTCTTCAGCTGAATAATAATAACTGTTACTGTTTTTAAATGGATCTGGGTGGGAGCATTAACCAAAGTGTTTGATAGGCAATAAATTTGAAGAAAATCCTTACATGATTTTCATAAATCACAATTTTGATTTCATCAGAATTTATTTATTATTACGCTATATAAAGGTAATTCTTCTTTTGGCCTAGGAGGAGTAGGAGAAGAAAAGTGTTGAGCACATTACTGCATTAAACAAAAAACACCGAAACACAATGAGACAATATGACCAAAATAGCACACTGTCACAGGGATTCAACTGGTTTTGTTTCACATTGCCCAGCCTAGCTCTAATGTAAAAAAAATAGTGCTTCAATAAGAGTGCATGATGGCAGCACTACTTTCTGCCTTGGAGTTTGTTTTCCTGACTAATAAGATTTCAAGTGTAATCACAGTCATAGAGCTTCCTATCAGTGAGTTTTGGTGTGAGGCGAGCTCACAGGTCAGGCAGGTCCCTCCGATTTCCACCTATGTGGATTGTAATTGTATAATTATACCTACTTTTTTTTTCCTTCAAAACCACATATCTCCTTGATTGACAGAACAAACTATGCCACTAAAATTGTGAGTAATACTAAATGCTAAGCATGAATATATTGTGCAATTTTCAGCAATTTATGCCAGAATTTCTATTGGCAAGTATCATATTTAAAGTTAGAGTCTAGTCAGTATTAATTGGCATTACTTCAGTTTTAGTCAGGTTGAGAAGTAGCCATGCTTCCAACTATATAAAATGAAGTGGTTAGAAATAAACCATGCTCCTTTACAATAATAGAGTAGTATTTATGTATAAAGATGGTTTGATCAAAACAAATGGGTGTGTGTATAAGAAGGAGGATACATACAATACATTTAAACTGTTATCTGCTACAGGTTTTCAGAGGTAGCAGGCGGTTGTTAATTGAGGAATATAGTGTGCAGTGCTAGTGCTTAATATGACATTTGTAAATGCTTGTTCTAAGCTTAGCTGATTTTATGAATTAATGGTTCAAGAAGTTAAAACAGGCTAGAGGTGTTACTCAATTTCAAGAACACACAGTGCATCTTCAGAGAAAGCTACCATTAGTACAGATCTAGCTTAAAGACAGTAAGGCGTTGGTGTATTGCAAGGCCATGCATTGTTCAGAATAAAAATGGCACTTAAGGATAACTGTACCGCAGTTATTAATGAAATATAGAAGATTTATGAATCAGAGTTTTTTTTTTTGCTTATTTCCATTAGCAAGGTGTCATATGCCAAGCCACACAAGACCATATGATTCCAATGTTTCGTATGACTCCCCTCATCTTTACTCTTACCTACATGTCTTTGTCCTTCTTTGGCTCACGAGTGCTTGTTTTCAAGAAATCCTTCCTGAGTAGCCGATAGAACAAGACAATATTCATGACAGTCATTATGGCCATGCCCACACTGCCCAGTGTGTAGGCCAGAAGAGCAACATTGTCCCTGTTGAGCACCAGCCAGCGGGTCATCCATGCCAGAGTGTTGATCCGAAACACAACATAAGTGCCCAGGTTGATAATGCTGTTAACTCTGTACAATGTGCCCACTGCTATGTTGGCCATTCGCAGCATCAGCCGAAGATGAAGGAAGACAGAGTTGATCTCTACCAGGAGGGCCACCACAGCAAAGCCCACGTAGTTGCAGGAAATCACAGAGAGGCCAAAACAAGCTATCACCTTTGGGAATACAGAAAATAGACAGTAGTTTACGATTAGTAGAAGTTCTAATTTCCACTAGGTGGCAGCAAATAGCCTCAAATGTAGTGAGTCAAAGGCTGAAATGAATTTATTTACACTGAATGTGACCACTTCAATTGACTGACACAATCAATTTGTGCAACCAACTTGCATCCAAAATGCAGAACCTTAACAAAAGCATTTGTAATGTTTATGCCTATGTGGTGCAGCAAATGTAAATCATGTGATCCAGTACGAGTGTGACCCTTCACATTAACTGCTCACTGCTCTGAGGCCAGAGGATGTATTTTACACAATTGTGTGACATGCTGCACCGGGTATGTGAGGAGAACCAACAAACCCCCATGGACACTTTCACTCTTATACAGTACTAGTTTGTTTTACTAGTACTAGTATGTATGTTAAAGTTTATTGATAACTTATTTGAGTTTGGTCAACTTTTAAGTGGAAATAATAATACAATTTACACAAAACACTTATAGAAACCCCAACTTCCCTGTTGTGAGCAGTGATTAATGTATTTTATTTTTTTACTCATTGGGAGGCTCAAACTAGATTAGAGTTGCAGATCATAAAAAATCCTTACACAAGCAACTGATAGGTAGAGGGCATTTGTGTTCAAAACACCTGAAACCACAGAATGCCACAGGTGAGATAAGGTCATGTTACATTTTCAAAGATTTCACGAGTAAAACGATATACCAAACAATATTATTCACAATACAATTTCAATTTATATTTAATAAATCATTGTTTTAAATGTATCTATTTTGTTACATCTGTTCCATAATGTAATATACGTAACACATATCACAACCAATAAAAAACCCCTCCTTAGCCTAAGTACAACACCACACTGATAACAGTGACCCACAGTCACATAACCTCATATTTAGAATATATAACTGAACCTGTTCAAGGACAGAGGCAGTAAACATCCATAAAATGCACAAGGTTTACCTGAATAAAAAAGTTATAGAATAGTTACAGAATAAAACAGGGTATACACATAAAGTCTATGTGCATACACCTGCCCTCCAACAGATCGCACTGCCTCTGGACTGGACACCGCTTCACATTTTCATCCCACCTGACACTGTGAGGTCCCTTCCACCTTTTTTGCCTTTTTCTGCATCAAGAGTAAATGCTTACAAACAGCAGTACCACTGTTAATCGAGGGTAATATTCAGTCACTAATCTAGCTAAGCCCCTGGGTCTATCAGACAAACTGACACTGCACAATCTAAGCACTGACACTCACACAGTTTCACCATTCAGCCTTAGAAATTCAATGGCATAGTCACATGATTGAACCTTGATGGTATCTCAGGCCATTTATTCACTAATCTAGTAGTTCTTGATGAAGTGTCTTTCATTTTATTGAAGGAATATGTAAAATCACTTCTTTAGCTACAGTCATAACATAATTTCAATTTATGGACACAAGGATACACACAGCAGCTGTGCACACATCCTAAACCCAAGTTGCATGGGTTGTTTAAAGTTTAAAAACAAATAGGTCTGAGTGTTTTGTTTCTTGTCTTCTCCCCGTGGACTCAATTAGGTGTTCTTAACACCCCCAGTGAGGGACCTTCCTCCGATTTTCAGGAGCATCCGTGAACAATTACACTTGCATAACGCAAAGTAGAGCATAGTTTTAATGGAAATTAAACCACTCAACACAGAAAACAGCAAAAACTTTAATTTGCCGACTTTCACAATAAATGCTGAATCCCTTTTGTCTACCGGTCATCACCTATTCTCACCTAGATTCTTGTTATATGTACTTGTGCATTTCACAGTTTTTTTTATATTCATGCATTGTCGTACAGTGGGTATTTCTGTCTACATGTATAGCTAAAGTAAATATTGTAATAATATTGTCTTCCCAAAAGTTAGGAATTGTGTCTTTTTCTAGTATTGTCATGTGCTCATTGCCACATCACCCTACGTCCTTTAAAGAGCTCAGCAAGTGGTATTTTCATTGTGTTAAAGTGTGTTGGCTAGTAAATTACTTTCAGCTTCATTAACAGAGTGCCTCGGACCTTTCTGACAGCTTTTTTACTTTGTCACAGTAAGTTTTTATACTACAAGCATGGACATTTTCAGTTTGCTAGAGTGAGCCCTGAGCCCTGTCCTTGAGGAACACCTGTTCTGAATTTTTCACTACAAGAACCCTCTGAAGCTCTCACTGTTCCAGTGTTTGTAATAAATGCTGAATGTTTTATTATTTAAAACTGTCAAAAATTTACATACCAATGTAGACTATAGTACTGAATTGTAATTAGGCTTGTCAAAAGTACTGAAATTCAGATACTAATCTATATCAAAACTAATATCAAAACTAGATACTCATTGGAACAAGTATCAATATTTAAAAAGTTACATCTGTACGAAAAAAAGAACCTTTTCTGAATAGCTTTAGAATAATCTTGAGCTGTATCTGAACAAGTATACGACCGTACAGTACAGCATACACCCATGAACCTCTATGGAACCTACCTGGACAATGTTTGATTATCATCATGGTATCGGAATTGATACCGAGTATCAATTCTATTCCTTAGTACTGAAATAAAGTCAGAATTTTTTTTTTACTGTGCAGTCTTAGTTTTCCTTTTTATTTTTACCATTTCTTTTACCAGTTTTCTTGTTAGTATTTAGTTATGCGAGTAGTGTGTTACTGGAATTGAGCATGAATTAAGTATTTATCTTTATCTAATCAAGCACAAAAGTCACATTTAAAGTTAATTAATATTACATAATGTTTGTACTCGTCTTAGTGTTTTAAACTAAACCATGTGGTTTGTGTTTAGGAATTAAGCAGTTTGAATAACTCACACAGAAAAAGCTGATAAAAAAAAATCCTTTAAAAAGTATTTTGGTTGTTTCATATAAAAAAAAACAAGGCTCCTCTTTTAGCCTACATTTGTTTGCTTCGCTCCTATAATAACCAGTGAGTCTCTGGTCTGAGACTGTACTAAACCAACTAGGCTCCAAGACCTACACTTAACAACTGAGTAAGAAGTGTCAGTCTCATGAAAAACATGTTTGTCTGTTTGAATCTCTAATCTCTTTTAACACTTCACCTCGTCACTACAATGGTTCATTACTGGGGCAACAACTAACAATTATTTTAGTGGTCAACTAGTTAGGGATTACTTTTTCTCTTGTACAAATACATCATCACTTTTTATGTGAAGAAGACCACACAGCCGAAATGTTGCACTAAATAAATTCATTTTTGCGAAGCTTGAAGGCTTTGCTGGGTTTTACCCATTCATTTGACAAACCCTTCTTTACAATGATGTGCAAGGTCTCCTGCTCCTTTTCCTGTCAATTATCAACCAAATAAAGATTATACAGGAGGCTTATTATTGTTATTGTATTGTTATTGCTGATGAAATTCTGAAATTGTTCATTCTTTTTTAACATTTTGATTTAATAATCCTGCTGTCTTTGTTAAAAAAATTGTGTTTTTCATGTGTGTTTTAAGGTCTGTATATTCCAGATAACAATGATCAATATAGGATTGAGGCGGCTAGTGAAGATAAGTCGATTTATTGTTGCAGCACCATTCATGACTGTGGATAATAGCATATACAGAAATTCAGATCGCACTGAACGATTAGAAACATCTTTGATACAAATTAGATAGCCCTTCTGGGAGATGTATGTACTGTATATGAGTTGCATATCCTCAGCAGGTCCAAAGGGCATTAAATGCTGAAAACAATGTCTAGCAGATGTAGTTGGCTAGGGATCAATAACCTGGATGAGCTGATTTGATACATCTTATTACATCACATTTGTAAACAAATACTTCACAGAAAACCAAGGGAATCAAAACCAAACAGTGTTAGACAAAGGTTTGCCCCAAATGCCTCAAAGTAACACACTGAATCTCAGAATGACCTATGACTGGAATCACAAGAGGCCAAGCCTTAAATCCAGGTGATGAGCAGATGGGACAGGCAGTTAAATGTAAAATACATTGCTGCCAAGATACACAACAAACAGTAAGTCCAAAGTCTAACAGGACCCACACACATCACACACTTATCTGCTGAGTGAGGGTAGCCATGATTAATATCATGCGCTTTGTGTTAACCCCTTTCGGCAGCACTTCTGTGATCACAAACGTGGTTAGAATGGAATCACATTTTAACAATTTTATACAGTATAAAAAGATAAATTACCTAACTTTATATCAGAGTAGTGAAATGGAAACTGTAAACTACATGCTTTCTTGACATAATCAAACATCATAATTACTTTCAAGTAACAGGTACTAATTGTATTGTAAGATTTTGAGAATATATATAATATGCCTTCAAAATATTGTGAGAAACACAATATGACTGCTGTATTGTGAAGACAGCTCTTTATATTGCTGTGCTTTGGTGGAAACCCCAAGGTGTGACAACTAGTTAGAACAACTTCTATTTTGCCCCACCCACTGTATTTGTCATTCTACATAATTCTTCACTGAGTATGTCAAAATTTCCATGATAGATGACTGCACCTTCTCCTTTTAGGTCAAGAGGAAGTAAACGGAATAGTATAGTATGTTCTATGTCGAGTAGATTCAGTTTGCAGCCACATCCACATTCTCCAACCACACATGTTTATTAAAATGACTAACTGCTAAATGTTCAGAGCTATAGGGAGACAAAGAAACACAGTAGTAGCATGTACTACAGCAGAGCTTTGATAGGTTGAAATCCATGTGAGGGGGAGGTTAAAGCACCAGTGAGTGGGTAGATGAGGGCGGATGAGGAGAGGGGGTGAAGGGTGGACATAATGTTTTGAGGTGATGTATATGGGGGTGGTGAACAAGGCGCTGTGTGTGATGAATAGACTACAGCCGGGACTGAATGTTGAGGAATTGGCACAAGGCATTTTGTGTGTTCATGTGTTTGCGTGTGTGTGTGTACATTTGTGTGTGTTTCTGGGGTGCCTGAGGTTCATGTGGAGACCAGATGTACTGTGTTTAGTTACATTCACAGAAAAGGGGGACCCATCGGGGTTTCCCACTATGGAGAGAAAATATGCACATTTTACCCGCCAAAAAGCTCATGTGCATATCTGTTTTGGTCCCCTTGCATAATATGTTGTTTATTTAGGGAGAGCAAGACAGCATAGTAGTGCAGTATATATAATTGTAGGGTTATGACAATTTTGTGCATTTCTCTCCTATATTTATCCTTTTAGTCATGCAAAAAGCATTTAAGAAGTACAATATGACTGAGATATGAATGCAAATCCATCAGTATAACATGGGGGAGATAAAGACAACACAGTTCCTGGGTATATGGAAATTATGTCTAACTATAACTGGTTCACAATGAAACAAAACATACCGTACATAGTGTAAAGCATCTGGGACCTTATGGGTGTGGTTGTTGTATGCGCAATAACAAATCTGTATGCTTTAAATACATGCCATAACAACTATAGGAACAAGCCACTGAGGAAAACTGTGTCCATGAGGAAATAAACATCACTTCCAACAAAATTTGCACAAACAGTGGTCTCAAGACGCTAGGGTTCTAGGCAAACTAAACTGCATCAAACATTTTTCAACTTAACCTACGGGGAAAAAGCAAGACAGAAGCAGATGTACAGGATAATCAGGTTTTCAAGGAGTGGAGATCTAGGACATACCAGTTTCATATAGTCATGACAAACTAATCACACCAATTTCCCCCTTACTACTCTTGCAAAGCCTCAACTGCATGTTTCCAGAAGTGACATTCCTTGGCGACTATATGAGACAGTTAAAAGCTCCTCCCACAAATGGCTATTTTAATGTTCCATGTAAAATGAGATCACTCCCATTAATCATTATGAGTGCTAGGACAAGACAAAAATGTTTTGGGAACCAATCATGTAAGAAACATAGAGCCTTAACATGTAGCAATATTGATAGGGAAAGACCATGAGACATGAACAGTAGTTCAGTGCATGAGAAAACCAACTATCCAACTCCAGGCAGTTAATACAAAGGGGTTAATCAATATTAGTTGAAGGGAAATTGTGAATGAAATGTACTTCCATTGCATTAACCATTGTGGAAGATCCATACAATGGAGAAGATGTGTAATAACTGACACTTTTGGAACCAGTCTCATGCTGAGGGAAAATCCTGATTTTACTAATAAGTTATAGTTCTCTATTTCTGTGTTTCACAAATTACCATCTTAGAAAATATATAAATTTAATTTAAAATATGTTCACTGTGTGAAGTATGCATCTGAAGTGTTTTATTGCTGGATAATCAGGTAGTGATGCATTAGCAGGCTAGTTGTTGTTTGCTTTACTGGTGTCTATGGTATGCTTTTTATTTGTACGAGGACAGTGCACAACAATATATTAAGTCATAGAAAAGATGTTGGTGCCAGGTTATAGCATGAATGCTAATTTACATCTGTAGTCCCTAAGCAGGTTGGTGGAAATACTGAGAGTACAGATTCAGTGTATATAGATAAAATAAATAAATAAAAGAAATAAAAAATAAATTAAAACAGATATTACTTATTGTCATAGTGTTGAAATACTATTCTAAAAATAACACACACACCGACACACAGGCACACATGCACTCTACATTTTACTGATTATTCAAATCACACTCAACAATACAAACTGTGTACAAACTTGTTCAGAGCTCAGCCACTTCTTTGACAGATGTGTAAACATTTGAAAACCTGCACAGATTAGAATCTCTGTGGGAAAAACTCAGCTCTGGTTTAAGAAAGTTGAGACTGTAAAAACAGGTATTGTGCTTTTAAGAAAAAAAACTAAAAAACATGAATGAAAATAATGTAAAAATTGTTTCACAAAAGGAAATCATAGATTACAATAGCATTTTAATTTGCAAGTAGCTAGTGACTAAACCGAAAGTGGCTAGACACATAAAGATGTCTGTTTTAGGACCAATTATCTTGTTTTCTTATGCTTATGCTTAGGCTTTGTCTGTCATAATAATGGCCCCTTTGAAACTAATTTCTTTCACAAACATTTGTCCATGTGCAATGCTTAGATGACAAATATGACCGAGTGATGGCTTAACTACAAACATGCTCTGTGTGTGTATGTGCCTTGGAACGAGATAAACCAGTCCTGCTTCATCAAAGATCAATTCCTGCCTTTGATATTAGGACTGGTTGATAATTACTATATCTACTTATGATAGATGGCACAGTACTTTCAAGTACTGTCAAGATATCATTATTTTCAGCACATAATTAAAACTGACGTGTCAGGGGTTGAATAAATAACTTCTATAATTATATAGAAACAAACAAACATGATATAATACTGTTCATTAAAAATACATTTTTATTTCATTTTACAAAAACATTTTTGGGAGATAATGCTAGTTTTATGGTAATTGTGTCGGGGGGATAGAGTACTTTCAGTATTATAGTTTTTTGTCTATATTTTTTTTCAGCAATACTAATTTGTTATTGTGACAGGCCAAGTTGTTATGATACATAAAATGTATGTAATAATAAATTGCAAAAGAAATGTTTTAAAAGCAGATGGCAAATGTTAAACCTGATGCATGCTATATGTTAAAATTGTGACACCATTTAAAATGATCTGATTGTCTTTTGTATTAAAATGTGTATAATTATTTATAATGAACTTGGGCACTGAGGCACTGAAGTCAATCAAAACTACCCTAACATTACATGAATAAGGCCTATTAACATCCTAGTTTCCTTATGCTGAGTACAATACAAGTTCAGTTGGCCTGGCAACAAGCATCAGTATGATTAAATGTAAGTCGAAAGAGGAACAGAACAGATTTGGGAAACTGATGCACGATAAACATTTTTACATTATTTATAAAGATAAGATGATACTTGGTAAATCAGAATCACAGGAGAATTGCAGGCTTTGTTCCTCCTCCCTTTCTTATTCTTTCAAATATGACAAGAAAGACTGCTCATGGTCTTTGTCCTGTATACATTGAACAGGAGGTGTGCACTTGACAGAGGTTGTGGATTGGTTAAAAAGGTTTGAAAACACAATTTTCAACATAAAAATAAATATTGACTGAGGACGCAGACAGGAATAATCATTAATTATTTGGCAACTTTTGGACTAGGCCTACTTTGTTTATAACTGACCCTAACATTTCATAATACTTTGACTTTGAAGGTTCAGGGGTCCATTAACAGCACCACACAAGGCACTTTGAACTTTTTTTGACTTCACATTGAATGTATAATTGTCATGATGGGACCTACCACAGTATGATGAAAGAGAAGTTCCCATGCGCTGCTGAGCTTCTGGTTCAACAACATGTCAAAAAAGTCATAGATGAAATAACCTGGGGAGAAAGAAATACAATGGACAGTTTTAAACATTTGGCCAAGTTGTCAATGATCCACAACAAAATCATTGTGAAAAGGGATATTTGGGGGTTCATTTAAGAAAATCAAGGGTGTCAGGGGGACCCTGCTTCCATGACGACCACAGCAGCTTCCAAGATGTGTGTTAGAGAGGGTCTATTCATATCCTTCACCCCCCGCCTCTCCCCTCTGCCACCGTATCCATGGAAACCACTTTTCAGAATAGAGCTTATGTGGTAGGCAGACATTGAGCGCTGCATATATAGGAACTTATGGGGCCTTATTTAGGAAAATAAGTAGGGATTGACATTGGGGTGTATATGTTATAATGAGAAATATTTTCATTAGCATGAGATAATGCTGCAACAATTTAGTAGTCGACTAATCCAATCATTATTTCTATTGAACTTTTAACATATAAATAGACCGGATAAAGGTAATTACTGAAGGCTTGTAGATAGAGAATATTTATGAATAAAAAGTGTTTTAGAGTCTAATTTCCATTAATTATGTAAACTAGACTCTAAAACACATTTTATTATTGAAACAGTCCTGAATCATTTAATTTGATCAATCACAGCTATTCTGAAAATTGTTGAAATTCTAATGTTACAACATGAACCTGTCATCTAGTGCTGATACACACGTGACACTATATGGACCAAGTGTGTATGTGACACACTTGAAGCAAGGGAATTACAATGCAGTTTTGATTAGAACATTATCTTTAACCAAAAAAGACAAACTTATAATTAAATATTTAAATCTGAACTGTGGAAGAAACACATTTACATTATTGTAGGTTAGTCAGTCATTTCCTCTTCAGAACTGCTTCAGGAGAAAAAAAGATGGATTTGGCAACAACATTCCAATACATTATACCCTTAATATAATTTTAAAAGAATGAGAACCTGATTACATCAGCAGACTCGTTCTAATTCTAACTTAGTTATCTCAGCATAGAAACATCCAAATACTGTGGCTATTTTCTTTCCTTTTTGACTAAACTGAGCTTTCACTGCAATTAATAATACAATATACCTACTCTGTAAATTATTATTACCACAAACCCACAAATGTTACAACTGTGTTGCTAAAAATCTGTTTCACTTATTAGACAAGACTTGTGTTTAGTTTTGTGAAATGTTTCAGACATTGGTCACAGTGAGGTTTGTGGTGAGCCAAGCTGATCGCACATTTGACATTTCTGCATCACTACATTCCTAAAGGCAGTTCAGTGGATGAAAAGAGCGGCCTTTTACCAGAGCACCGGAAGCTACAACTGAATTAAACCACTTGATGCACATTTGTAGCTCAGTGATGTCACGTGTCGGGGTTTCACCCGGTGCCTGGAACCACTAATAATGACCTCTATTGAGCATCAAATACCAACAACAGATACTAGCTCTGCCAGATTCAAGGGCTGGGCTCTGTAAAGAATGTCAAACATCTTGGGAATCCTCAGAGAGCTCTTGTTGGCTGGTATGGATCTTATAAATTTGATTGGATTTGGCAAACTAGTAACTGAGCTACTAGTTCATATTTTTGTATGATTATTATGTGTGAAAAAGGCTAAATAAAAACCTTTAGAGTATAATTTTGGCTGGTTTGGGATAGCCTATTGAACATTTAAGTGAAACTGCATTGCCTACAAACTTTAGTGATGAATGAATAATTCAAATAGGCTACCTCAATGTAGTCATTACAACTTATGTGACATAAGGCTATAATAAAGCATTCATGACCACTCACCAATTGAAAAGGAAACCAATGCATGAGATAACACAGAGAAGGTTTTTATCAAGTCCTCCGCCATCTGAGGGTGATGAAAAAAACTGAAAGAAAATTGATCAAAATGAGATTATCACACCACATTTGATTTGATAACAGGCCTATATAATAAGGGGGAGGGTAATTACTGAGCTACAATAGTATGGATCTTTTAATCTAGTCTACAATTCCCAGATCAAGTAAGTGTAAATTAAAAAAATAAAGAAAAGATCCACAGGTGATTATGCAAATATGGGCAAATTGGTTAATATAAATGGCTCATAAATCACGTGGATAGTACGTTTAATCAACATTAGCTGTAATAATTTGATTTTACTTACCAAAGCACAGACCATATTGCAGTAACAAAACTGTGTACAAAGGAGGTCGCGGTGTTTCTCCACTTCCAGGCATTTCTGTGGGCAGACTCAGGCATGGGAAGTTTACCTATTCCATGATTCACGAGCGTGAATAATACCGCAGAACCCCCAGTTGTCAAAATCACTGAACTTAACTCCATGGTTGTAAGGGTTGTCTCGTGTGGCAGAAATATCACCGACCCCAGATGTCTTCAGGGTGAGTAGTGGGCGCGAAAACACTCAGCGATTGTCAACCAGACGAAAAACAGACGGATATTTGTTAGAAACGAGCGACACAATCCGGTTAACACGCTATGTAAACCAATCTCAACCCAAAGTGTGTTTTGTAACGCGCGAAAAATCCAGTTTCTCTCACGGATTGTCAATTGACTTGGAAGAAAAGGCGTGGACAAAAGCAAAACAGCCTCTTAGTGATTTGGAAATATGTAGTGTCACAGTATCCTTCAAAGTCGCAATAAAGCTCTACAGATGTGGACAGTCGGCGTGGTTATAAGGGCGTGAAGCCTCATCTGCACTTGAGAAACTGCCCTGTTGTAAAACTCATGCCCCTGCCTTGTGTAACTCCTTGACATCAACACAAACCAAACAACGTTGTCTCCCCGCCCTACTACGGGGGGCGGGACCTGCGCGCAGACGCTTTGGGTGCAGTCGGAAAAAACAGGAATGATTAAAATAATAAAAAGAAGACTGTTTTAGCGCCTGTCGACACAATTCTACCACTTTTGGAAGCCATATTCCTAATTCCGGTGGGTGCAACTGTCATCGATATGTGTAACTTTTCTGGTAGAAGGTCCGCCACCTCATTCTTTTCCACAGATGTTATTACACAGCATTACTTTATTGTAGTTGTTGGCACTAGTGTTAGCACAGAAGGTTTATCTTTCTCGTATAAATCAGCAAGTGACAACACCAAATTACAGGTCAGATCTGTGAAAAGGTGTGCCCATTATTTACAGTAAAAATGCATGTTTTTGTTATTATCCCTCAATGTATTCTTAAGCAGTAAAAATCGGTATAATTGCAAGATACGTTTAATTACAGATAGGCAATTCTAGTGAAAATTATGCGGGATAATACACCTTTAAAATAAAGTCTATATGGATACAACATATATATGGATATATCTAAATATGGATACCAGTATATGGATACAAGTCTATACGGATACAATTTGACTCTCTGTAAGGTTATTTTAATAGATTCATGGGATACAAACGGGGCATGTCTAGTCGTTGGGTAGTTCAAGTGCTCCTCGGCAAAAAATGTGAATGGCTTCAATAGTGTTATAACAGAGCAAGCGACGCCCCCAAGTGGCGTAACGTGCGTATTATTGCCTGAATCGTTTTATTTTCTGCAGATTTTGATCACACAAAAGCTCCATCACAGACCCATTAATGTAATTTTCCAATGAACTCTAAAGTATTGCACCAGATATGAGTTCTAATCCACGCATAAAACTGTTTTCATAAAATTCCTGTGGGTGCGCGCATGACCGCTACGAGGCTATTGTTGTGTGTGACCGATGATGAAATAACTGTGCCCAATCTAGTCTGCTGTAGGCGGAGCAGGCGAAGATCACACGACTTTGGATGGTAGGTCCAATCGGTCTCGTCCTTTGATGCCCCATATCTCTGCATCCTAGCTCAGAGGTGACTTGCATCCACAGGCCTAGCACCGTGAAAGTGGAAGGGACCAAAACGGGTACAGACATATGCCAACATAACCGGTAAGGAAGAGTTTTTGTTGAATTTAAGTATTAAAGTATTATTAGTATTACTAGTATTACAAGAATACGCATATTTTCAGCTTTCAACAGGTGGGTGAGTGAGCTATAAGTGTAATATATGGTATAATAGAGCTAATTACCTTTGAACGAGTTCATGGGTTATATGCATCCTGTTATATGCAACATTTTGAGGACTCTTCAGAGGTCTTCTCAGTCAGAAGATGTAAGATTTGATGTTGAATTGTTATTCTTTATGGCAAACTGTCCCAATTTTTATCACTCTAAAATCCATGGATATAGGCATTAAACGGTCAAAAGATCAGAAATAAAAGGGTAGTTCAAAATAGAGTGGTTTTGTTATTTGTGCCACACAGGCTTAATCAAGAAAGAATAAAATGCAAACACAGGAGTGCCCTTTATGGCTTGCTTACACTTGGACTTTTTATTTACAGGTTTAAATAACCACTTGTGCCCTCAGTTGAACAGGTTTTGCTGTGTCATGTAGTTATGGAAGCGTGCCAGGAACCAGGACCAGATGGTTTTTCAGCTGATGAGATGACAAGCTTGGTATGCCAAGAAGATGATCTAAAAGATGGAGAGTAAGTCCTCAAGGGCCATAGTTTGAAACACACATACAATACATACACTAACATTTGTTAAACTAAAGCTATATATTTAGATTAAGGGTGTGTTCACATTTACACAAACACTGCATCAACATTGGGATTAAATGGAGACTAATGCAGCTTGCTGGAATTTATCCTTGACTAAAACAGGACTACAACAGGACCAAACCAGGTCTAAACTAGGACTATAACAGGACCAACCCAGGTCAATATCAGGACTAAGATGGTTTAGATGCACTAATGCCTTTGTGCCATTTTCTGCCCAAAGGATGAAAGCTGTGGAAGTGGGTGATGCCAAAGTGTTGCTTGTACGTACACGTGGCCAGTACACTGCTATTGGAAGTAAATGTTCCCATTACGGAGCACCTTTAATTAAAGGTATTTGTAACGCTACACTCCAGTCTGTTAACATCTGTTGCCCAGTAACTCAATAAAATGGCTGTTCTGCTTCAGGTGTGCTGGTTGGGGACAGAGTTCGATGTCCATTTCATGGAGCATGCTTTAATGTTAAAACTGGGGATATTGAGGACTACCCCGGGCTTGACTCGCTCCCATGTTACAAGGTACACTAGTGAAAAAACAGATTGAGGCATCTTACATTCAGAAAAAACAAACATCAACTTCCAACTCACTATGCAATGTTTACATTTAATTTGTAAGGTCACAGTGACGAATGGACAGGTGTATGTTACCATCAACAAAAAAGTAAGCCACATCTTTAAAATACAGACAAAATACAGACAAACAAAAATATAACAGAATGCTATTTAATTACCAGACAATGATGCAAACTAAGAGGGTGAAGGAGATGTGTAGTGTGACACCAGATCTCAAGCATACAATTGTTTTAATTGGAGGTGGTAAGTTGCTTACTTGCTATATATATATATATATATATATATATATATATATATATATATATATATATATATATATATCCATAGACAATCTATGATTTGTTTTGTTCACAGGCCCTGCTTCATTGGTTTGTGCTGAAACACTGCGTCAGAATAACTACAAGGGTCGCATCATCATGATAACCAAAGATAGTTTGCCTCCTTTTGATAAGCCTAAACTGAGTAAGGTATAGTGCTGTACACATACCAAAGCAATTCTGCCTTTTTTGCACTTAACTGACATGTAATAATAATAAATTAATTTTATTAAAGGCTATGAATGAAGACAGCAATAACCTCCTCCTAAGGTCCCGTGACTTTTTTCATGAGTTTGGTATTGATTTGTGGACCCAAAAGGAGGTAAAGAATGCTGCTTATTTGTTCTTTCATGATATTTTTGAATTAATCCATTAATCCATCAAATTATTTATTTTTGCAGGTAATATCAGTGAACACAGCCGACAAGGTGATGAAACTGTCTGATGACAGCTTGCAGCCTTATGACCAGCTTTTGATTGCAACCGGTTGTAGGTTAGAATAGACCTATTGTTTTATTCAATCAACCAAGCACAACAGCACTGTAACTGCATTTTCTTTTCAATAGAGCCCGTCCACTTAGCTGTCCTGGGTGGGACTTAGAAGGAGTGATGTTATTACAGAGTTATAAAGATGCAAAAGAGATTCACACTTTGTCTGTGGGTCGAAAGGCAGTTGTGATCGGAACCTCTTTTATAGGTGACAATTTATATCTTATGTATCGTCATCCAATCATCAAGAAAAGTGATTTAATTGGTGGTGGCATATTTTTAAACATTATGTAGGAATGGAGGCAGCATCCTACTTATCGAACAAAGCCGCTAGTGTTGCTGTGGTTGGCACATCAGTGTATCCGTTTGAGCGCTCTCTTGGCCGAGAAATTGGCCAAATGACTATGCAGGTGAGAATAAATAAACTCAATTGCAATTTGTAAGAGATTAATGAAAGTTGCTTTAAATAAATCATTGTATCTTTCTAGATGCTGGAAGAGCATAGTGTAAAGTTTTATATGAAAAGTGGAGTTTCTGAAATCAGAGGCCACAATGGCAAGGTAATAATAATCAGTTATATCTGTTGTATTGTAGCAAAGAACAATTTAATTTGTAATGTCCCGACTCAGGTGAAAGAGGTAGTGCTTAAAGATGGCCAAGTCTTGGAAGCAGATGTAGTGATTTTGGGAATAGGTAATGTTTGTTTGTCTGCAAATATGTCAGTTGTAATAGATAAATATTTAACAAAAGTATCTTGTCTCATTCTCAGGTGTGATTCCAAATTCAGACTTTTTGCAAGGAAGTGGGGTTGAAATAGACTCAAGGAAAGCAGTCATTGTGAATAAGGTACACATGCAATGAGTATTATTTCAATAAATTTATTATTAATATTTTATAGTTAATGTGTTATCAGTAATATACTGTAATGCATATATTTCTAGACTTTTGCTCTTCAAAAGATACCTTTTCTTACAGTTAATGATGACCAATGCCCCAGATGTTTTCAGTGCTGGGGATGTTACTGCCTTTCCTCTTACAATTCGAAGAGACCAAATAGTTAGCATTGGCCACTGGCAAATGTCACATGCTCACGGTAGGAGACCGATACAATCCCCAAAGTTAAGGATGGGCAATATGGCACACAAAAAAAAAAGAATAACATTTTGTCCCCCCCCTCATATTGGTCTCTGTTTTTGACATTGAATAAAAATGTCTTTCTCTTTACACTGCTCCAAAACACATGCTTTCCAGAAGATTGACTGTAGACCTCTCAATAAAAAAATATAATTGACGATATGACTATATCCTTCTATATGACTGAATCTCAATTAAAATTTGATTAAATACCCAGCCCTACACTAAATATTATTGTGCAACATTTCAACTTTGGTTTAGGTGTATTTCTCTTTTTGGCTTATAGGAAGAGTGGCTGCCCTGAACATGCTCAAGAAAACAACTGAGATGAAATCTATTCCTTTCTTCTGGACTGTGCTACTTGGCAAATCAATCAGATACACAGGTGAAGCTAAATATATGGGTTTATTTTAATTTTTGAGTAAAGATAAGAAATCTCATGCCTTTTATCCATTACAGGTTATAATGAGGGATACACAGAAATTATATTCAAAGGCACAGTGGCGGAAAGAAAGTTCTTGGCCTTTTACATAAAGTAAGGATTCATACATTGTACACATGCAAGCAGTACACACGTTTTGCTTATTTTACAACTTCCTTTATTGACAGGGATGATGTGGTGGTAGCAGCAGCCAGTTTAATGTTTGATCCTGCTGTAGCTCACTTGGCAGAAATGATGGCTTTGGGACAATGCATAACAAAAGCCCAAGCTCTGTAAGCATACAATGAAAAATAGTTCACGATTGTTTGTATATTACTGTGTATTAATGTGACTGTAGTGTTAATGACTTGTTTTATCTCTGTGTCTTTAGTGCTGATGACCTGAGCTGGCAGATGTAAACTGATCATTTCACAGATAAGAAACAAGAGTAAACATGGGTGTTTGCTTTCTCACTGCCAGATCTACTATACTGTGCGCAGGTCTTTTAATAATACGGGCTCTTTGCCATTTAAGATGCCTTATTTGCTACTACAAAGATGCAGAGTTTAATGTATGTGTGTCCTTGTTTATGAAATGTGCTTTAATGATAACTGTTACACTCATTTAATGCATAGAATTTACAATTACTAACTCAGGTTTTCTCAGGTGGTGCTTTTTAAAATTAAAATCAAAACGTCACTATAAAAACATCACAATTAATGCTTGTGTTTGTACCAAAAAATCTACATTATAACTTGAACATAAATGTTCAATTTATAATGTAAATGTTTGATATTATTAAAATGATTCTGCTTGGATTTTTTTTTTTTTTTTTTTGTTTTCTGTATGAAATACAGTACAAGTAGCATATAGTTTCATGTGTTGATACATTGTCCACAAGAGAGCCCTGAAGTATTAAGTGTGAACGCTAACGTTGACATGTCTTAACACTGATAGCCTTACAACTTAGAGAAAAACAAAGGCTCGATATAGGCCATTTAATACTTTTCCAAACATGTGCTACATTTTTGTCCATGAGTGTTTTAAATAATCACACACTGCATCAATTACTTAAAACAAAGTTCACATTTTTTATTGTGTACACAGAACACAAAAACAATTGTGTATTGTTAGAATTAGATTTTTTTAGCTTAGACAATCCATCTTTGAACAGAAATGAGGGCTTAGACATGATTAACATAACTCAAGAAGAACTGAAGAAGCACCAAAACGTCTGCACTCTAAAACTTGTGTCTAGAATAAATTTTTTCATCTGCTATGGTATGGATCGTTCTTTGACAACTGAGGGATTACAGATATCTTACTGTTTTTTTGTTGGCAGCAATGTGTTTTTCTTTATTTGCATGTTTTAGAGCATTGCTTCACAGAAGATCCCAGCTTGTCAGCCAACAGGAAAGGATTAAGATGACAGTTCTACAAAAAGAAACAAGACCTTTTTATACAAATGTATCTGTGAAGTAATTTAGCAATAATACTAAATGAAAAAATATTTTCTTTCCAACAGGGATACATATTATGGTAACTTGAATACATTCTATAGGACATAAAATTTATTTCTCTGTACCTGCTGTGATGGCCTTGAACAGGTGTTTGGTAAATCCCGAATCTCAATTTTGAAATCAGGGGAAAAGCGAGAGCTCTGGAGAATTAATGCCATCTCTCCATTTACTTTGTTTGGAGCATCTTTCTGTACAACAATTGAGAAATCAATAATTTGTTACAAGATCACACAGTACATTGTAATTACCACCATGTCAGGCCAGTGATGTTATTCACTTTGATCTGTTACGGTGAATACCTTAAAGCAATGCAACGAATCAAAGTTCAGCTGGTCCTGGAACTCCTCTATAGTTCCTTTGTATGTAACTTCCGCTTCAGCACAGACTGGATTTTTCGGCAGCTTGAAAAGCCTGTAGGTTCCTGATGCAAACTGAATGTCACCTGCCAATTAGGGACATTGTCAAAGGGTTATTATGCCTCTATTGGAAATAATGCAAAATAGTTAGAATAAAAATTTTACCTATTTTTACTCTGAGCTCGTCATTGTATACAATAATATGGCTGGCAGACACCAAGTAGGGTGAACTGAACCCCACACTAAGAGCCAGTGTAATTAAGTCTTGCCAACAGAGAGCCCCTGCCATCCCCTCACCTTAAAAAGAGAGGCACTTTATAGTACCGTATTTGATGTGTCATGGTTATAAAAATTTAATTTGAGCAATACATTGTACCCCATAGAACTGGATCTTGTTTCATATGATCTGGAACAGGTTTGCTGGCGTACATGTCACTGAAGTACAGCTCACCTCCTTCCTGTGAGCAATAATAATAACTACAATAATTCAGGACAAGGACATATCAAATTGAACTATGAATGAATCTGAACAAACCTTCAACACACTGTATGCTTCCTTCAGTGCAGAGAATTTATCAGGACATAGGCATATTGCACAGTTTGACCTGCAAAAATGAGAAAAGCATAGCCTACAACATCCCAGTTCACTAAAGACTACAATGAGCAGATTTTGATCTTACAGAACAACATCAAAAGAATCATTCTGTAAGCCTGCTTCTCTCAGCTTCTCCATGCAGCCCTGAAGAAACGTAACATTAGGCTTACTATAGCCAAACTTCTCCTGGTGGTATTGGATATACTGCTGTGATACAATGATCTGAAAAACACAAAAAGAAAAACACAAAAAGAAATGAAGGAATGTTGTGTATATATATATATATGTGTGTGTATATATATATATGAAAGTGAAAACAACTATGATCTAGCGGAGATCACAATTATATAAAATGTCCCACGAACGATTATTGCCTACCCTTTTCATCATGACAAAACATATTATTGTTTATTATCCTATTTCTACTCTGTGTTGTATTCTGTACCTACCATCTCCTCTGTAATGTCAATTCCAGTGACATGTCCATTAGGGCCAACCAGTTTACTGAATGCAAAACAATCTCTGCCAGAACCGCTGCCAAGGTCCAAGACTCTGCATTCCTCAAGCTTTGCGGGGAACGGAAGTCCACAGCCAAAAAATCTGCAAGTGTTCACATCGTTTTAATTCACTACAACAACAATTTCAAATAAAAATCCTTCTAACATACTTTTTGATCACCTCTGGATGAACAAGACTCAGAGCATCTCTGACACTTGTTGGCATGGAAGAGGGCTTACTGCAAGAGGCAGCACTGGTTTGCAAGTCACAAGATGATCCTAGTTGACTGCCATAGTATTTCTGCGTTACAAAAAATTGATAATCAACCATCACATCGATTTATCTCTTTATGTTGTGCTAGACAGTGTATTTCATGTTAGGTTACTTCTATTCATTCATTTTGCAATAGGCTAGTTTATACATATAGTTAACAGAAATGGAAGATATGATAAGATAAGAGTTGGAAAAGAAAGGACTCAGTATAAAGTGGACACATAAATTCCAGAAATGCATTGGTCAATTCGCCATAAATAGAATTCTTATAGACAAGTATTCTTCAGTTTTCCCGGTAATAAAGCAGTCCCTTACAAAACGTACCTTGACATTTTCGTGAACGTCTTCGACAGTTGCCATTCTTTTCGCCAACTCTTTATAAAATTTGATCTTTGCAAATAGTTTTGAACCGTGTCCAAAGTCCAGGTGCCCTAAAATCAGTGGACGGTGCAGTGGACTGCACACGCGTTTCCGGTCTATTCGATTCAATTTCAAAGTAAATTTAGCTTATTATAAGTGATGATTATTTAAATAATTGTGAAAAAGCCAGTTTTGGTGTCACACAGACAGACTATATAATCATTTGGTCCTACGTCCTTGAAGTTCCCCATTCAGCAAATGCAAATTTAGAAAGGACCATCGTCTTCATCAGCCTGTACACGAAAGATAACTTAATCGAGTAATTTTGTTTGAGTTATTGCATTTAATGATGATATTAGAGGTTACAAGTGTAAACCATAGCTTGATGGTGCAAACTCGCAGCAGCAGGGCTTGATGAAGTTTCGTGTAGCCGCCGCTAGGGGGTGTATACAGTGCATTGGCCCTACACCGGAAATACAAGATCATCCGGGCACTTCCGAAACGCGCTTCTCCCGATTTTACGCAGAGCCTTTGCGCATACTGCGTACGCCCCGTACTCTCACCCCGGGGTTTGCGGTGCTTTGTGTTGGTGAATTGCGCTGAGGTTCTGGCGCATGCACCGTGTGGCCGCCATCGTCGGTCCTGCGTGCAGAACTTTTCAGAGAAACAAACAGTGGTCAAACGTGAACAAGTCATCACTTCTTAGAAAGCGGAATGTAGTGGTCGCTGCTCCAAAATAGTCTTTAGTGCGAATTAGCCTGGATATTGGAGGTTGGTATTTTTGTGCTTTTGGTTTTGGACTGCATGAGTCGCTCACCGCTAGCTAGTACTAGCATATGGCTAACAATGCCGCTTACACAATATTTATAGCACATTTCTCAGTCTAAACTCTCATTTAACAGTATTTGGATATGTATACATATACTGTTTTTGTCCGAAAATATTCTTGAACATGTAACTATTCATTGAAATGTGATTGTGGATAGTTAGCCAGTGAAGCTACATTGAAGCTCTCAGTTTTAGCACGAACATGCAGTTTATAAATTTTCTTGTGTCTATAATGTAGTATGCTTCAGTTTCTGCTTGATTTTTAATAGAAACTAAATTATTTAGGTGCTTTGATTAAACATAATGAATGTGCTTTCTTTTTGTTGTTTTTCAGTGAGGCGTCATGGCTTCGTTTCCATTTAGGGGTTTACCTGCGGGAATGCCTCCCGGTGTCCCTCCTCCTGCACCGGTACCTGAGTACATGACCGAAGAAAAACTACAAGAAAAGGGTACGTTACAACCGTGTTAAAAGTTGAATCTTGAAAACATTGTTAACATGTAATTACAATGAACAATCTGATTTTCACAGCACGAAAATGGCAGCAGCTGCAGGCAAAACGTTATGCAGAAAAGAGAAAGTTTGGTTTTGTTGACGCTCAGAAGGAAGACATGCCCCCTGAACATGTGCGCAAGATCATCAGAGACCATGGAGACATGACCAACCGAAAGTTTCGCCATGATAAAAGAGTTTATCTTGGGTAAATAAAAAATATGTTCACATAGTGGTATTATTATATATGCTGTCGAACAAACTGTAACAAAGTTTGTCAACAGGGCACTGAAATACATGCCCCATGCAGTGTTGAAGTTATTGGAAAACATGCCAATGCCATGGGAGCAGATTAGAGACGTGCCAGTTCTCTATCACATCACTGGCGCCATCTCTTTTGTCAATGAAATTCCTTGGGTCATTGAACCTGTCTACATTGCTCAGTGGGGGTAAGCTGCTGCTGCTCTTTTTTGCCTTCTTTCTTTGGTTTAGACAGTTAAGAGTGGTCTTTTCATACCACACATTTCTGTACCTTGCCTTTGTTCTTAATTTTTTTTTTCTCCAGCACAATGTGGATTATGATGCGCCGTGAAAAACGAGACAGGCGACATTTCAAAAGAATGCGCTTTCCTCCTTTTGATGATGAAGAACCCCCACTGGATTATGCTGACAATATTTTAGACGTTGAGCCTCTAGAGGCTATTCAGATGGAGTTGGATCCAGAAGAAGATGCTTCAGTTGTGGAGTGGTTCTATGAGCACCAGCCTCTCAAAGATACTACAAAGTGAGTACTTGCATTAATGCTTTGATTATGGTGTCGATATGTGGAAATCAATCTCACTGTATATTGCAGGTTTGTGAATGGAACAACATACCGTCGCTGGCAGTTCACACTTCCCATGATGTCCACTTTGTACCGTTTGGCTAACCAGCTTCTTACAGACCTTGTGGACCTCAATTACTTCTATCTCTTTGACCTGAAGGCCTTCTTTACTTCAAAAGCCTTAAACATGGCTATCCCTGGAGGACCAAAGTTTGAGCCCTTGGTTCGAGACATAAATCTTCAGTAAGGCCTTTGATTATTAGATTTTAATAGGTAATAGTTTAATATCTGTGTGAGATTGTGTAACATATGATCTGTTCTGTTGCCTAATCTATTCAGAGATGAGGACTGGAATGAATTTAATGACATCAACAAGATCATCATTCGTCAGCCAATCAGGACTGAATACAAAATTGCCTTTCCCTATCTGTACAACAATCTGCCGCACCATGTTCACCTCACTTGGTAAGTATAATTCCACAACCACATAAGCTTTTTAAAGCATATTTATCAATGGGGATTTATTTTTGCAGGTATCACACACCCAATGTGGTATTTATCAAGACTGAGGATCCTGATCTTCCTGCTTTCTACTTTGATCCACTGATCAATCCGATTTCGCACAGGCATTCTATCAAAGTAAGTTTGGTGAAAATGGTGTTTACGGAGGTACTTGGCTATTGAATTTAGCATGATTAAAACAAAGCTTACAAATCCTGTTGTAATTTTATGTCTAGATTCAAGAACCACTGCCTGATGATGATGAGGAGTTTGAGCTTCCAGAGTTTGTAGAACCTTTCCTCAAAGAAACTCCTCTGTATACAGACAATACAGCCAATGGCATTGCATTGCTTTGGGCACCAAGACCATTCAATCTAAGGTCTGGCCGCACCAGACGTGCCATTGACATCCCCTTGATCAAAAACTGGTAAGAATTAATGAAAGGGAGATATGTTTAACATGCTGAGAGTACGTGGATGGCTCTAGTGAAGTGTGTGTACTGTACATAACTACTTGCTAGCAACTTGCTTATAACATTCATGTTTTTGGAAGAACTGAGTGATTAATACATCAAATTGAGTATAGAGTCAAGGTTAGGAAAAAGTGTTTAATCAAAGATGATGTGTTTACAATAGCATCCATACAAAGGCCAGTTTATGTCTAAAATGGTTTAAATGTTTGTGCATGCTTGTAATTCTCTTCTAGGTATCGAGAGCATTGCCCAGCTGGACAACCTGTGAAAGTACGTGTGTCCTACCAGAAACTTCTGAAGTACTATGTGCTCAATGCTTTGAAACACAGACCTCCCAAAGCCCAGAAAAAGAGGTAAACGTCTAATCTTCACAAAAATAACACAAAAGTATATTCCAAAGTTAATGACAAAAAAAATCTTTCATCAAAGGTACCTGTTTCGGTCATTTAAGGCCACAAAGTTCTTTCAGTCGACCAAGCTAGATTGGGTGGAGGTTGGGCTTCAGGTGTGCCGACAGGGCTATAACATGCTCAACCTTCTTATCCATCGTAAAAACTTGAACTACCTCCATCTTGACTACAACTTCAACCTGAAACCTGTGAAGACACTCACCACAAAGGTATAAACTTCGCTTAGTCTTCTTGTTTGAATGTTGCAGTGTCTCTAACTGACCACATGGTTTTAAACCCTTAGGAGCGTAAAAAGTCAAGATTTGGCAATGCCTTCCATCTTTGCCGAGAAGTTTTGCGTCTGAGCAAATTGGTGGTTGACAGTCATGTGCAGTATCGCCTTGGCAATGTTGATGCTTTCCAGGTATTCTTTTTTGCAACCAATACAAATTAATACATTTCACAAATTATTGTTCATTTGTTTTTGGCACTTTTTCTAAACACGTGACTGTTTCCTACTTTATCACAAATTGATCACACAATGGTTGGGTGCTATTTATTTTTTGTGACTTACCTAAACACAATGTTTGTTTTAGTTGGCTGATGGGCTACAGTACATCTTTGCTCACGTGGGTCAGCTGACTGGTATGTACCGTTACAAGTACAAGCTGATGAGACAAATCCGGATGTGTAAGGACCTAAAGCATCTGATCTACTACCGGTTCAACACTGTATGTAACACTCTCTCTTTCAGCAAATTATGTACTTTCGTAATATTAGTACAAGTACTTCAAAATATTTGTTTACAATTTAGGGACCAGTAGGAAAGGGTCCAGGTTGTGGATTCTGGGCTCCTGGCTGGAGAGTGTGGCTCTTCTTCATGCGTGGAATAACTCCGTTATTGGAAAGGTGGCTTGGAAATCTACTAGCCAGACAGTTTGAAGGTTAGCATTTATCATCTGGTTTGTGCTGGTTGTTCTGAATATAGACTGGTCAGTAATGGTCTTTGTCCATATAGGTCGTCACTCCAAGGGTGTTGCCAAGACTGTTACTAAGCAGCGTGTGGAGTCTCATTTTGACCTGGAGCTGCGTGCGGCTGTGATGCACGACATCCTGGACATGATGCCAGAGGGTATCAAACAGAACAAGGCCAGAACCATACTTCAGCATCTGAGCGAGTCTTGGAGATGCTGGAAAGCCAACATCCCCTGGAAGGTTTGTGCATGTCCAAAAGTTTGTATTAGATTCTTTGACAAAAATTGACAAACTGTGGAACCACTTGTCATCTCCAGGTCCCAGGTCTACCTACTCCAATTGAAAACATGATCTTGAGATATGTGAAAGCCAAAGCTGACTGGTGGACCAACACAGCCCACTACAACCGTGAGCGAATTCGCAGAGGAGCTACTGTCGACAAAACTGTGTGCAAGAAAAATCTGGGTCGACTGACCCGCCTGTACCTCAAAGCAGAGCAGGAAAGACAGCACAACTATCTGAAGGTCTGTGTTGAAAACGTGTTGCAAGATTTGACAAAATACAATTTTCTTTAAGGTGTAGAAATCTGAATGGGTGGCTATACACTAACTTATTGTCAATTCCTATTTGTTTAATCCACTTGCAGGATGGCCCCTACATCACAGCAGAAGAAGCTGTGGCCATCTACACCACCACTGTCCACTGGCTTGAAAGTAGGCGTTTTTCACCCATCCCCTTCCCTCCACTGTCATACAAACATGACACAAAACTGCTTATTCTGGCACTGGAAAGACTCAAGGAAGCTTACAGGTGCAGACAGTTTAAGTGCTTCATATATGGTGCTGTATTTTAATCAACTACTGAAACTGTAAAACTGTTGTTTTTCAGTGTGAAGTCTCGTCTGAACCAGAGTCAGAGAGAGGAACTTGGGTTAATTGAGCAGGCGTATGACAACCCACATGAAGCACTGTCTAGGATCAAACGTCACCTGCTTACTCAGAGAGCCTTCAAAGAGGTAATGGCTAATGGACCTAATGCAAAGATTTAAGCTTATCAGAATTCAAGAGCAATGCAAATCAAAGCACCCAAACAAGCATTTACTAATTGAATGGTTATTTTTCATCATTTGTAGGTGGGCATTGAGTTCATGGATCTGTACAGTCATCTGGTGCCTGTCTATGATGTGGAGCCCCTAGAAAAGATCACAGATGCCTATCTGGATCCAATATTTGTGGTATGAGGCAGATAAGAGACGACTGTTTCCGCCATGGATCAAACCTGCAGACACTGAGCCACCACCCTTGCTGGTATACAAGTGGTGTCAAGGTTGGTCCAGCACGCACACTATTTAAAACAGTTCAAAGGAAAATGGTGGGTTTATTACATCTTTTCTTTTTTTTTTTTCCAGGCATCAACAACTTGCAGGATGTATGGGAGACTGCTGAGGGAGAATGCAATGTAATGCTGGAGTCTCGCTATGAAAAAATGTATGAGAAGATTGATCTGACGTTGCTCAACAGACTGTTGCGTCTCATTGTTGACCATAACATTGCTGATTACATGACTGCAAAGAACAACGTGGTTATCAACTACAAGGTAGAGTAACTTTACTCTTGACAAAAGGAAAAACTTTACTTCTGTACTAATGCATCTTCTTATTAGGACATGAACCATACCAATTCATATGGTATTATCAGAGGACTGCAGTTTGCCTCATTCATTGTCCAATATTATGGATTAGTAATGGATCTGCTTGTCCTGGGCTTGCATCGTGCCAGTGAGATGGCTGGACCTCCTCAAATGCCAAATGACTTTTTAAGTTTCCAAAACATACCCACTGAAAGCGCCCACCCAATCAGACTCTACTGTCGTTACATTGACCGCATCCACATCTTCTTCAGGTTTATCTTTTTTCTTTGTTAATGTGCATTGTCATTTGGCAGAAACATTTTCATTCCTCTTTGTTTACACTAGGTTTACAGCTGATGAGGCCAGAGATCTTATTCAGAGATACCTAACGGAGCACCCAGACCCAAATAATGAGAACATTGTTGGTTACAACAACAAAAAATGTTGGCCACGAGATGCTCGGATGCGACTCATGAAGCACGATGTCAACCTGTGAGTGACTGATCATTTTTAAATGAATACTCTTATTTTGGACAAAAAGCATAACTATTTTATATTTTATTTTAGTGGACGAGCAGTCTTCTGGGATATCAAGAATCGTCTCCCCAGGTCAGTGACTACTGTTCAGTGGGAGAACAGCTTTGTGTCAGTCTACAGCAAGGACAACCCTAATCTGCTCTTCAACATGTGTGGCTTTGAGTGTCGCATCCTACCCAAGTGTCGGACCAGCTACGAGGAATTTACTCACAAGGACGGTGTCTGGAACCTGCAGAATGAGGTCAGAGAAAGCCTATTGTCATTATATTTAACATTCTAATTGAAAGTGTCACCCAAGGTTCGATGACTTTCCTTACGTTGGAACTCACATGTCTACAAAATTTGAAAAGGTAACTAAAACAGTATATTTTAGTTTTACATCAGTTCAATTGCTGTTTGTAGGGAAACGCTGAAAGAAAAGTGCAAAAAGTTCTAAATGGAATACCTCTCCTTTTGTCTCAATACTGAAAGTTCCATCCAAAATCCAGAGCCAATTTACACACAAGTAAGGCATTTTTTGGCAGTTTAAAGGTGCACTGTGTAACTTTTCTGGAGGGATTCCATTCTTTCTGTGAGTTAGGCAAGACTTTTTTGTTGAATCTGAAATATTATGATGTTGATGTTTTAGTGAAATGATCCTAACCTGTCATATGCATGTTTAATAATCCAAAAAAAAAAAAACCTAAAAGGTAGCAGAACTTGGGTCTTAAGGGTAAACGGAAAACAAAAATACAATTCTTAGCAGCAAGGCCTTGTGTGAGCACGAGTCAGCAAACACAGCAAATCAAACTGCTGAGGCTAGGAGGATGAAAAGCTCTGAAAATTGAAAGTGAATCCATTTTGATGAGGTCCTAATTTTCTTTGACTTCAGTTGTTGAAAGACAGGCCCGTGGTCTTTGTGAGGTGCTCCTTTTTCTTGGTCTCTCAGTATACTGTGGTCCTCTCATATCTATCGCAATGGACAATGGAGCCATTTAAGATGTCGTGCAGTGCCTGAGTCACCGGACAAAATAATAAGTACAGACATGATGATATTAATTAGCCTTTCACCACCAATCACCTTTACAGAGCTGGTCCACAGAGAGCCGCTTTAGCCTGTCACCGTGATTAAAACATTTCATTTGTCTCCCTTAAAGGAACATTAAATAACTTTCCTGGTGGAGGGTCCATCAAATAGAGGTCTGCCCGCACACACATTGTGCAGTCCCACTCCTGCCCACAAAGAACTGTAATGTTCCGCTGCCAAATCCCCCAAATTGAGCATGTTCGCTTTCATAAGCTCTATCAAACACGAAGAGGAATTGTTTAAAATGTGCGCAAGATTAGACCACATACACAAGTTTAGGCTTCTTAAAATGTTTTTATTAATGCCAAATAAACTATACAGCACAAATGATGTATGATAAGCAAACATTAATCATTTGTATATTTTACTTGACACTCATATTTAGTTTCCCGCACCGCACTGTTTTGCATCAGTGCAGAAGAAATGGCATATCCATAGAAACAAGCAGGTGACGGACCTCTACCAAAAAATGACATAGTGTACCTTTAAAAGCACTCGGGCAGCTGTCCAAACACCTTTTCGTCTAGGGAAAGAATAGTGGGATTTTTATGATGCATACATAAGCATCTGCAGCTTGCCCTTTATGGATACGGGTTAGCGCACACTTCGCACTTCTTTACGCTTTGTGGTTGAAAATAAGACCTCATTGACTCTCTTACAAATGACTGGAAAAATAATGCGCTTGTATTTTGTAGTGCGGTTTTGGGCAGGGTGAAGGTCAGCAGCTGCCAGGGGTAGACGAACAATTATGGGCAACAAAAGTCCAGCTCCACACTGAGTTTTTCCAGCAGATAGGCAGGTCTAAAGTTGTTCCATTATCATTGTTAGTCAAAGCCACAATCCAAGGTCACCAACTACTACTTTCACATTCGCGCTTTTTAAAACTGAGTCCATTCACTCACATGGCAAAGGACAATGATTATCAGCGTGTTAAAAAGATGTCCTTCTTTTACAAAATCCTGTTTCAGATTTAGGCCCGTCTTGATCATACAATTCAAAGAGAATATAATGCTTAAAATGTGCATTCTTTACTGGTGGAGAGTCAGTCAGATGCTTTTTTCAGTAGACATGTTATTGCGGTACTTTTAGTGTTCCACAGCATGACATTACATTTATCTCAAGTAAGCTCAAACGGCCAGATTACAGGTCAGATCTGTGGAGAGGCAAGCCCACTCCACGCATGATTTTCAAGTAAATAAACACACATGTAACTGAGTAAATATAAGATAGATAGTTTAACGGCATACAACATTTGAGACAAAGCAGCAACATCTCCAAGGAGACAAGCAGGCGACTTACCATCCACCAGAAAAGTTACAAAATGCACCTTTAAGTAAATATAGATGCTAATATTGAAACCAAACCATAAAGCAGAATTACCCGCAAAAAAGTATTCTAAATTTACAATATTGTTAAAAATATGAGCCGCAATAAATAAATGAATGCAACACTTAAAGGTGCACTATGTTCCTATGTCATTGCTCCACAATATGACATTAAACAGCTTTACCTTACCACAAACAAAGCAATGTGGTCTACTCCATTCAGCATAGTGAAGACTGCAGTGAACGCTACATTGGAGAAACTAAACAGCTACTTCACAACAGGATGTACCAACACAGACGAGAGAGCAGCAGTGGACCTCAGTCTGCTGTGCATCTCCACTTAAAAGCCACAGGCCACTCATTTGAGGACAGCGAGGTACAGATTTTAGCCAGAGAGAAAAATTGGTTTGAGAGGGGAGTGAAAGAATCAAAAGAAACAGAAAACACACACCAAGATTCCTGAAGAGCACAAATGCAAGATTCCTGAAGTCAGCAAGTGCAAAATGCAAAACAGAGCAGGGGTGGTGAAAAAACCGAACATCCAGCCATAGCACTGTTTCACAAAACTCCGCCACACTCGTAATCCCAAGGACAAATCCCACAAGAACAAAAATGCAATGCCATCTACGATCCAATGCAAATCATGCAATAAATCATTAGGGGAAACATTCCAATCCGAAAAAAGGAACACCAAATAAAAGGAAACGTTCACCAGAACACAAAAAGACAAAGCAGAACAGGAAAACCTAAAATCCGCCATATCAGACCACTTAAGGAACAACCACATTTGGGACGGGGCTTCATTGGATCAAAACAACAAGTTCAAACGCTGATCAGAAATCAGATAACCGTGATGACGGAGCGTTCCTCCTTTCACACACCTGGGACACCCTCCTCCAGAGAACACCGGGCGACGGGAGGCGTGGTCAGTCTGAGCGACCTGCCAGGTCCATCAGGTGACCACGCCTACAGGAAGTAACAACAGCTGATATATGACACGTCACCACCAACACCGGTGACAGTTCTGAAGATGGCTTGCAGCTAGCAGCCGAAACATGTCAACAAGGTAAATACACTTTACTGCATTGTCTTTAAAAAGAACCTAAGAAGTTAAAGTATATAAGAAGACATAATGAACATCATTGGCCACACACCAAGATTCCTGAAGAGGTGCAAATGCAAGGAGCAGTCAGACCAGGGTGAAAAAATGCATAGCACACTCGGTTGGCCGATGTCCAAATACCTTTTCATTAACAAAATACAGTTTCGTCAAAAAAAGCCTTCATCAGATATTTTTCTTGTCTTGGACCACAGCTGAGTGAGTTCAGAGGGCTGAACTCACTGGGTGACCTCACTTTGGGACCTCCCATTCATTGAAGGGGTATATGGGCACCTGGGCTGGCAACCATTTTGTGTGCTGTGATCCAAGACAAGAAAAATATCTGATGAAGGCTTTTTTTGCCGAAACCTTATTTTGTTGATAAAAAGGTATTTGGACATCGGCCAACCGAGTGTGCTATGCATTTTTTCACACAGGGGAGTGAAAGAAGCCATTTTTGTTAATAAAGAGAATCCTTCTCTAAACAGAAATGGAGACTCAGACACCATCTATCTCCTATTTACAACTCCATCCTCAAACCTAATTCAAAACAAACAAGAGAACAACAGGTGTAGCCAGGTCGGGTCCAGAGGTGTGGAAGCTCCATTATGGCCATGAATTGTTCTGCTAATTAGACCCCACACCCTGTACAGGTCAATAGGTCAAACTAACTAACAGAAACTGTTAAACAAGTAGGTGTGTTAGTTTTAGGTAGTTAGCTCCTTCCTGCAGATATAAGGAAGTGTCCACCAGCGTCTGACCAGAACTGAAGAAGCAGCTTGGATGAGCTGCAAAACGTCTTCAACCAAACTAACTTTTGTCCAGTCCGACAAACTGAATTTTTCTCCTCACAGCTTTACCTTACATTTATTAAATTGCAAGTGGTTTTATTGCTCCACGACACTTAGAAAAACAAGTATTATGATTGCGAGCGGGGTTGCCTCTCCACAGATCTGACTTGTAGTTACACAGTGCATCTTTAAGTAAATAGTTTGTGTCTAAAATGAGTTACAGAGTTTTCATAAGTCAACCTTCTACGGCTCAAATCTTATTGTAGTACAAATAAAATAACCAAAATGTTCCCACTAGTACAAAGAAGAAGTACCCACGGTAAATACTGACCTCCAAAAAATGATTATCCCATCTCTTATGTATTGTAGTCAAGATAGTATTTATCCTGACAGGCCTACTTATACTTTTACCGTGTGGGTCTGATCTAAACCACAAGCACCATTTAATGAAGTCATTACAGCATCGCTTCGCCTCACTGGTCCATTGTCAGGAGACACGCTATAGACAAAGAGACCGGCCATCTGCTTGTTTGCTGTAGCCATTATTAATATCCCACAGCTCTCCTCTTCTCCCTTTCATTGTTGTGATTCAGATCACGAAAAGCTAACATGTTTTGAACTCAAAACAATAGAAAACAATGGCACTTCTTCACCTTTTACACCGCCTTAATGCAGCGGTGTAGGTGGACTGTGCAACTTTTCTGGCGGGGGGGTCCATCACCTGCTTGTCTCCATGAAGATATCATTGCTTTTGGAATGTTCCACAGTGACAATAAACACATCTATCTAGCATTTATTCATTACAGGTGTTTCAAAAATACAACAATTCTCTCTGTGAATAGCGATGTTGTTTAATCTCTACTTTGGAACATTTGACAAAGCAAAACCATCTCCATGAGGACAAGCAAGTGGCAGCGTCTCCACTAGAAAAGTTCCACAGCGCAACTTTACGTTTCAAAGACAGTATTCAAAATGTCACTCCGCAATTCGATGTCTGTTTATTATATTTGAGCGTTCACACCTTTTTTCGCTTATGACTCATTTCTTTTGAGATTGAGTTCGAAATGACAACGGCAGCGGCTCGCAGATGGAATGGGAAAGGCGGATTGAGAGGGAAAATAAGCATCTGTTGTGGCTGTCTGTCAAAACTTATTAGTTTCTGCTTAGTCCTAATTTGAGAAGAGAAGCATGAATGAAAACATGTTAACAGTAAGTGACAGGGCAAGCGTGTCCTCGTGGATAGCCATCAGAGAGGCCCATCTCACTTCGCTGTGATATTATGGACTTCCACTGTTTCTGAAAGACAACTGATTACATTGTATTCTCCAGAGAAATATTCCCAAGGTACAAAGATAAAATGTGCAAATGTTGAATCTGATCATTTTTATCACTAAACTAGACCTGTAGAACTCACCATATTACAACACAAACCTGCATTTTAACAATACCAATTTTAACTGCCCCCTCTGTATATGTGAAACCCAGCAGTAGAGGTTAATATGAGGCTCTATATTGGTTCAGACCACAAACTGGAGTTCACATTCACACTCGAGTTCTTTAGGTCTTTATTTCAACAGATTTAATCCACGTTTAGGTTTTTCTCTGGAAAATGTGTGCACATCTAAGCTTGGAAAACAATTTATCTGATGTTAATTGACCAGTGTGTGCTCATTGTGATTGTCTAAGCATTGTTCTTGCATGTTAGAATCACTATTTAAATGTTACGTTGCATCTGATTGAATCCCAACTCTTCGCTGATTCTCGTTAGTGTTAGTCACAATTCTAAATATTCAAACTATTTCGATACCAAAGAATAGACTCGATACTCAATACTGATTCTGATACCACAATTATAATAAAACTACTATTTAGACAACATAATGTCATTTTCTTTGTGTAATCCCACAGTCGCCCATGGGTGTAAAATCATCTTTGTGCTCTTATACTTGTTCTGATACAGCTCAAGATCATTCTAAATCTATTCAGGAAAGATTAATTTGTGTCATGTGAATGTGGCTTTTTTAGTACTTGGTCAAATGAGCATTTAGTTTTAGGATCATTTAATATGTGATTTTCAAAACATTTGCCAGTGTTAGTCCTCACTTGGTCCTGATTTAGCTTTAAAATATTCTGAAAAGCAATGTGTGGAAATAAATATCTGACTAATTTCTCTCCTGCTTTCAGAGTTCCCTGGGAGTCCATTCAGAACATGGCCAGTCTGCACACGCTCAACCTGGACCATAACCTGATCGACCACATCGCGGAGGGGGTCTTCGGGGAGCTGTATAAGCTAGCAAGACTCGATATGACCTCCAACAGGCTGCGCACCCTCCCGCCTGATCCCCTCTTTGCCAGGTACTGCTTAAGATTGGCCTTTCTTCCAAATGTTCCTCTAAGAAGTGGCTTATAGTGTGGTTTTGAGGTAGACTGCAGAGTCAGGGAAGAGCCGCTGGCACCGTAACAAGTACTGTACTGCTGTGAAGGCATTTCATTATTTATGGAAATGTGCAACACAGAGACTTAGCCCACTGTCTGCTGCTTTTGTCTCATCTGCANTCTCTTTTGGTAATTCAGCACAGAGCCTAAAGTTGTCTTGTTATTTGCATGTATAAGAGAGTTTTTTTTTTTTTACATTTCTGTGTATCTTCTTTATCCTTTCAGGGAGAAGGCCAGTGGTTTTGAGGAGTCAATGAAATGGAAGAAGCTAACTAATGCTCAGAGGTCTGGTCTCAATCAAATCCCCAATCGTCGTTTCACACTTTGGTGGTCTCCCACCATTAACAGAGCCAATGTAAGTACTGCTGTTTATTACTTAACTTGATTAGAAATGACACATAAAACATTTTTCTCTTTTTAGGTGTATGTCGGTTTTCAAGTGCAGCTTGACCTGACAGGAATCTTCATGCATGGCAAGATCCCAACACTGAAGATCTCCCTCATTCAGATTTTCAGAGCTCACTTGTGGCAGAAAATCCATGAAAGCATTGTTATGGATCTTTGTCAGGTAATATGACTGTAAAACTACACTAATGGGACTATATGTATTTGCACTTTTCTAATGTAAGTCATTCATGTTTCTGGTTAACAGGTGTTTGACCAAGAGCTTGATGCTCTTGAGATTGAGACTGTGCAAAAGGAGACCATCCATCCCAGAAAGTCATACAAAATGAATTCATCTTGCGCAGACATCCTCCTCTTTGCATCTTACAAGTGGAATGTCTCAAGACCATCCTTGCTGGCAGACTCAAAGTATGATTTGTTGATGATTTCTTTTTAAAAAAATTTTTAACAAACTATATAACACATGTTATTCTTTTGTAGAGACGTCATGGACAGCACCACTACACAAAAGTACTGGATTGACATTCAGTTGCGTTGGGGTGACTATGACTCTCATGACATTGAGCGCTATGCCAGGGCCAAATTTCTGGACTACACAACAGATAACATGAGTATCTACCCGTCCCCCACTGGTGTGCTCATAGCCATTGACCTCGCTTACAATCTTCACAGGTAAGGATTATAAATGTTTCTCTCTATTTAACTAACATCACAGTCCATTATAAAGTAAACATCATGTGCAGTTGTTTTGTGAATTTACCGATTTATTTTTTTTTTTCATGTATAAAGCTCCACACTATTTACACAACATGTATCTGCATTCTTTCTCCTATTGCAGTGCCTATGGAAACTGGTTCCCTGGAAGCAAGCCTCTGATCCAGCAAGCCATGGCCAAAATCATGAAGGCCAACCCTGCTCTCTATGTGTTGAGAGAGCGAATCCGCAAAGGTCTGCAGCTGTACTCTTCTGAGCCCACTGAGCCTTACCTGTCATCCCAGAACTATGGTGAACTTTTCTCCAACCAGATCATCTGGTTTGTAGATGACACAAATGTGTATCGTGTCACCATCCACAAGGTGCTTTACAAAAACACATCGAACAGTTTGTTTTCTGAAGTGAGTTTGTTTTAATTGCACCTGTATTCTTTCTTCTCACAGACCTTCGAAGGTAACTTGACCACGAAGCCCATCAATGGAGCCATTTTCATTTTCAACCCCAGAACTGGCCAACTCTTCCTTAAGATCATTCACACCTCTGTGTGGGCTGGTCAGAAACGTTTAGGCCAGGTATTGCCACGTTTCTGTTTTATTTTATTTTTTCAATTGGACAGTTTTTTGTGTCCATTCATGATCATTAAATGTACTAAAGCTTCAAAATTACACATTTTTAGCTTGCCAAGTGGAAGACCGCTGAAGAAGTAGCTGCCCTGATTCGTTCTCTTCCTGTTGAGGAGCAACCCAAACAGATCATTGTCACACGGAAAGGAATGCTTGACCCTCTTGAGGTGGGACCCTATATTACACAAAATTTATACAAAAATGCTTTCTCTTGATTACAGTGTTCTTAATCTTAACCTGTTTCTTTGCAGGTGCACTTGTTGGACTTCCCCAACATTGTAATCAAAGGTTCTGAGCTGCAACTTCCCTTTCAAGCTTGTCTGAAGGTAGAGAAGTTTGGAGACCTGATCCTTAAGGCCACAGAACCCCAGATGGTGCTGTTTAACCTCTACGATGACTGGCTGAAGACCATCTCATCATATACAGTAAGACTAAGTAAAACAGTCTTATTTTGTGTAGAGGAATTTATTTATATTTGGAGGATTTGAATTGCTTCATGTCATAATACTGGAGACAACAAAAAAATTGTACATTGAGATATGAGTGGTACATTGTGATTAGGAATGCACCAATACAATTCCTGGTATTGAATATTGGAGAAAAAAATTGCTGGATTGGATATCAGCTTCCAAATATTGGTTCATCTAATATCCTAGTTGGGCATTTCATTTGATGTAATAAGACGATTTCCTGGTTATAGTTGGCCCAGACCTTATTACACAAAGTTGTTTAGCACTTACTTGTGGAATAATTAGTAGATAGATAACACATTTTGATCAGTTCTGTCTTTGTTTGTTTTAAGGAAATCAATGTAGCTGTCAGTTTTTATTAGTTTAATATCAGTTTGACTTGATACTTAATGGCATACTACCAGTATCAGAATCGAAAAAGATGGATTAGTGCATCCCTAATTGGTCGGTTAGAGCTCAGTACTACCTCCTCTGAGTTGGTGCTCATGGACTGGTATAGCTTGTGCAGATGATATATCTTGAAGTCTAATGGTATTGTGTAATACTAGGCATTCTCCAGACTGATCCTGATCCTCAGAGCACTTCATGTCAACAATGACCGTGCTAAGGTCATTCTCAAACCGGACAAAACCACAATCACAGAGCCCCATCACATCTGGCCTACTCTGTCTGATGAGGAGTGGATTAAAGTGGAGGTTCAACTCAAGGATCTTATTTTAGCAGACTATGGCAAAAAGAACAAGTAAGATTTTAGGACTTTTTTTAATATATATATAAAATGTGTTTATAAAGCAAAATTTTGTGAGTAATTTGTGAGGCTTTTTGTATTCCTTTCCTTTTTCCAGTGTGAATGTGGCATCACTTACACAGTCGGAGATCCGGGACATTATTCTGGGCATGGAGATTTCAGCTCCCTCACAACAGCGGCAGCAAATTGCTGAGATTGAGAAACAGACAAAGGAACAGTCACAGCTGACAGCTACACAAACCCGCACAGTTAACAAGCATGGTGACGAGATCATCACATCAACCACCTCCAACTATGAAACCCAAACTTTCTCATCCAAGACTGAGTGGAGAGTCAGGTATGTCCATACTGTAAGGTACATTTGTGCTGCATTGAACATGTACAAATGTATTTTTCTTTTCTCTTAAACTTTCAGGGCTATATCTGCTGCAAACCTCCACCTGCGCACAAACCACATCTATGTCTCCTCTGATGACATCAAAGAGACAGGCTACACCTACATCCTGCCCAAAAATGTCCTCAAAAAGTTCATCTGCATTTCAGATCTTCGAGCACAAGTACATTTGCATTTACACCTTTCTGTAATTCTAAATCAACTCTTTAGACATGTGTATTATGACTCATTGGGCTTTATGACATGCAGATTGCAGGATACTTGTATGGCACAAGTCCACCAGACAACCCTCAAGTTAAAGAGATCCGCTGTATTGTGATGGTGCCACAGTGGGGAACACATCAGACCGTTCATCTGCCCAACCAGCTGCCTGGCCATGAATACTTAAAGGTAAACTACTATATCACTTTTGTAATGTATGAAATGCTATTTCAATGTATAAAACTGACAACATGTTTCTACCCTAGGAAATGGAGCCCTTAGGTTGGATCCACACACAGCCAAACGAGTCTCCTCAGCTGTCCCCGCAGGATGTCACCACTCACGCGAAGATCATGGCAGACAACCCCTCGTGGGATGGAGAGAAGACCATCATCATCACCTGCAGGTGTGTTTGCACTTACTGGTTATGTTCAGGCTTCAGTCAAATTTTTAAAAGAATTCATCACTTTTTAAAATCCTTTGTTTGTGTTTTGCACATAAACAGAAAAAGAACAGAAAAAAAAAAATGTTTTCAGGTGTTTGAACTCTTTAAATGCCCATTTCATCATTGAGGATTCAAGAATAAAAGGATGATTTTGTTTTTAACAGCTTTACTCCAGGCTCTTGCACCCTGACGGCTTATAAGCTGACACCAAGTGGCTATGAATGGGGTCGTCAGAACACTGACAAGGGTAACAACCCTAAGGGCTACCTACCGTCGCACTATGAGAGAGTGCAGATGCTGCTGTCTGATCGCTTCCTGGGCTTTTTCATGGTTCCCGGCCAGGTGTCCTGGAACTATAACTTCATGGGTATGTGTAAAGGCTGTTTAGAAAAACTAAATTAAAACACAACATTTTATTGTTCTCTTTTAATCCTTTGTTTCAGCAGACTTTTTAAAACCGTAAACAAAGCATTAACCTTCTAAAATTTACTCTGTAGGTGTACGCCATGACCCCAACATGAAATATGATCTGCAACTGGCCAACCCCAAAGAGTTTTACCATGAAGTCCACAGACCCTCGCACTTCTTAAACTTCGCCTCACTGCAGGAGGGCGAGATCTACAATGCAGACCGTGAAGACATGTATGCTTAAAAGTTGGCAGTCAGCATGAGATTCACCAATGTATATAACTTTCTTAATCATGAGTCAGCAGTTAAATAACAGTTTAACTGTGATTTTTGTTTTTAAAAGTGAAGGGTTGAAAGACCTTTTAGAAATGTTTATGATTAAATGTTCATTCCTGTTTTTGTAAAAGTATTGCATAAATATGCAGAATTTGTGGAGTTTGGCATGTTTGACAAGGTATATTCTGTGTAGCTTTCTGTACGCAAGTAATGGTTCAGTTCATATTTTCAAAATGTGCAAGGCTGCTCCATTCAGAAGATTAAAATGTTCAGTTATTTTGGTGTACTAGTCATCTGGCATTGTAACCTGGATTTAAATAAAGATCTACTTTGTCTATTTCTGTTTAATGCCGTGTTTATTATAGCCATGATCTCAGTTTTGTTACTGCGCTGCTGGGTTTTACTCTTTGTCTATCAATAATTCAATAATGAGCTGAGAGGAAATGTACTGCGCTTTGATGCTCGCATCGATCCTCTGAGTCCGGACCATGAGTTCTGTTTTACTTTTATGGTCGAGACCAGCCCTGAATTATTATTTCTGACGCTGTTGCCCGTGTGTGTCCCCTGGGGGAGTAATACGGAGCCTTGTGCACCTTTTTAGTATGGTGTAGTGTCGACTTGACCCTCGGTAATGACGTTGTATTGACGGAAGCGGACTATCCAACCACACTAAACTTGCAGGTTGAGGCGTGTTTTACTACAAGCTAACTCCAAGGGAACAGCTCTTGGACTTCCCTGGTAGACATTCACATTACTATCTGTTTCGATTGGCCTATAAAGAGTATGTGAGCCGTGCGTGGGCTATGAAACATGGAGGTATCCGAACCGCGCGATGTTTCTCAAGATAAACCCACGGAAAACTGCTTTGACAAGACGATTTCGACTCTTACGGTGAACGATGTTTATGAAATCGCCAAAGTCATTAGGTTCTGAAGTGGAAAAACTTATCGACGGCTACGGCAAAGACAGTGTTGTGGGTCTTGTACCCAAAATAGTGAAAGTGCTTGAACTTCTGGAGAGGTACGCTTCGTGGAACCAAGCCCACAAGCTGCAAGAAGAAGAGCTGCTCAAGACATTTGAGACCATCCAGCTCCAACAGCACAAAAAGCGTGCGCCCAAAGACAACGAAGAGGTCATAAAACACCAAAGAGGGGTAAGGACGATCACGTTGACTTTACGCACGTATAATGGTGGCGTTACGTGCTTTTAACAGAGCTGCATCTACACAAGATGGTAAATGGTAAATGGTCAACATTTTTCTACAGCGCTTTTCCACCTTCAAGGCACTCAAAGCGATTTACAACAAGGAACCACTCACCCATTCGCACACACATTCATACACCAGTGTACGCAGACACTGTGTCATATCAAATAATATGACAGGCGCTTTGCTAAGGCGGCCGTGCCCTCAAATTACCATAGGACGTCGAAAAAAACACCCAAATATGGAGACGTAAAGCATTAAGTGATCATTGTATGTGGTGGCATTTCAGTCGACATCCCCTCCTCTCCTTTCCGCCACAGGTGTAGAGCTTTTCCATCCTAGCTGCACCATACATTCTGACAGTCTATGAGCTGCACACACATGAACAGATCTAGCTCTATTTGCTACGTTGTATTTGCATTCTTAATCCTGGAAAGGAGTGCACAGGATTTGTTGTATATATCCATAGCAATTGTATTCAGAAACAGAATATAATTTGATTTATAGGCTATAGCTACAATGTTTAGTGTGTACTGTTTTTTATTTTTCAAGCCTCAGTTAGTTTTATCCATCACATCTGCAATGGTTCAACAACAAACTGTCACACCCATGTGGACACACTGTTCTAGCCAAATCTCCACACTCTTCAGAGACTAGAGCACTCAAGGCGTAGTCAATCCAAGCTTTCTAAGTAAATCACATTAAATGCTGTTTTCATACAATTGTGCGTGTGTTTCTGAAGCAAGAAGAGCAAGAACAACAACAGCAATGGAAAAAGAAGTGCGAAGAGTTGCAGATCCAGGTACAGCAGCTGCAGGAGGATAGGGAGGAGCTACACAATCGACTCAAAGGCAGTTATGCAAAGGAAGGTATGCTCCTGTCAAAACGACTCTTTGTCCTACTAATGGCACAATCTTAACACACTGTAGTTTTTTCAGTGTTTTTATTTTTTATATACAGAGCATTCAACGGTAAATAAGCTTAATGGGCTACATAAAGGCTTAATAGCGATAGATTACCAGTTTTATTTAAACCAAACTCTGCTACAGTTGTGTTGAATTGTGAATCATTGAGTCTTCATACAAAAAATACTACACAAATTTTCACTGTACTTGACTTTTTGTGTGTATCCTACAGACCGTGTTCAGCGGCAGGAGCGAGAGGTGATGCTTAAATTGAAAGGTGTTGTGGATAAACAGCGAGATGAACTCAGGGCCAAAGTTCAGGAGATCTCATCCGTCTCCAAAGAAGTAGAAGCAGTAAGCTGAAAATGAATACTTCTTGTTTATTAGGCTACAAACCACTTATTATAGTGGTCACTACCACCAAACAAAGATAGCTAGATATTTGGCATTAAAGATTACTGCCACTGTTTATGTGTGTGTTTGTATCTTAATGAATGCATGTGACTGTATTTATACTCGCACCATGGGTCAAAGCACCAGCTTATACTGAAAGGCATGTTTTTCTTAGTTAAACAAGACTCCCTGTTTGCCCAAGCGGATACCTCACATATTTCCATTACTGAAATAAAGAGTGCTGGCATTTTGTGGAATGTCAGTGCACAATTTTAATCTAGCTTTCAGCTGCCATTCACTATATGCAAACACTTGTTCCTCTTTCACTTCAACTTCTCTGTTGCTTATATGTAAATAGCACAACTGTAGATGTCATTAATACAAATATTTGAAACTTTGTGTTAGAATGCTGTGTGTTTGTGTGTAGCTTCAGGAGCAGCTGGAGCGATTTATGAAAATGAATGCAGAGTTGCGACACAAGCAGAATGTGATGCAGGTCCAGCTCAAGAGCACAGTGGAGAGGAAAGCCGACATGGAGGCCGACCTTAAGGAGAAGAATAAAGAAATTGAAAGCCTTCTTGCGCAACTGCACAGAACCAACAGCAGCCTTGTACATAATGTTATCTTATTATTATTCAATCTCAAAAGTCATATTTGATGTATATTTTGCACTTAAAAATTTTACTTCTGTTGTTTATTTTAGTCAAGTTCAAGACAGCAAGCTTGTGATTCAAATAAAAATGAGGACCCCAAGGGCCCTGACCAGCCATGTTTCACTAAAAAGGAAGTGCGTGACATCATTGTAGAGAGGAATGAGCTCAAGACAAACCTCTTTCTGTTGCAGGAGGAGCTCAGTTACTACCAGAGGTACAGAAACTTTGATTTGAGTTGATTTAGGATAAAAGCTAATTGTACTTTTTTTTTTCTAAAGGGAGATTCTGAATGAAGAGAGATGCCCCGGCTTTCTTTTAGAAGCAGTTCGCTCTGCAATAAAGAAAAAAAGAAAGCTCATCAAGGCCAAGATGCTTGGGATACCAGTGAATGAATGTAGCAACAGGTCACTCATCCTTCACTCAACTGGCACACTCACATGGTTCACAAGTTTGTCAGTTTACACTCATTGGTCAGATGATATCCTGTGGCACAATGTTAGAGCACATTTATAGCAGTATTTTAACCTCTTAAATACTATCCCTCATCATTATCAACACTGGTTTACTTGACATAATACCCTGTTTAAATCAAAGTCACGTTTTAGTCACAGGTCAAAAGTATTAATGACATAACAGAATTACAAAATAGATACACAAATAAACATATATATAAACATACCCACTGCAAGATATGTACATATTTTTATATCACAATACATCACAACTTTTATATGTTCTCTATTTGTTCTTTCTCAGTGATGACGAGGACAAGAGTCCACAGTTAGGGCATTCAGAAGTTGACGGTGCAGTGGATGATGATTCAGATAAACCAGCCGAGTCACGTATTAAAAACTTGTAAGTAATATTCTCCTTTACTTGTCCAGTCCAGTTGCCTATGATCCAGAATATACACTTCTTCAATACAACAAAGATGTGAGTCTAGTCACCGGTGAATCTCTCCAGTATGGGCGTAATTAACATGTTGATTAGCCAACTGGGGACAGGCGTGGTCCGTTGTATAGGAAAAAATAAAGGAAAAAATATCACAAAAGGCTGAAAAATATTGTGGATTTCTGCAGAATCTATGAGCTAAGCACTAAACTCTGTTAATCTCAGGTGAGATATATTTGATTTTATTTTAAATGATGGGTGACTAGGGTTAGGGTGAGTTGTGTCACTGAAAAAAGCAAATTTGATAGCATGATCGCATTTGGCCAGGCTTGACACACAACAGAAGGCATGGGGACCAGACCTGTACAAAAAATATTACAACCAATCCAGAGATTTTTATTCAAAACCAGCATCTCAGACACAGCACTGGTTATGACAGTGGCAGCCACAAGGCAAGATTGTTAAGAAATTAGATTAAACTAAAGTGCATGAGGAGAAAAACAACATGTGACAGAATTCCAGACAGTTTCTGAATAGTTGTAAAGTGGTAAATGAAAACATATAGTCAACAACATTTTTTTGTTTGTTTGAACAATTATTTGTATTCTGGCTCCTTCTATTGTTCATTAACAATGTATAATGTTTAAATCATTGTTAATTTTATGAATTTTTTAATAATTTGGCCAATCCAGAATCCATACCAATCCAGACATTTTAACATACATTTTTTATAGAGGCATATGCTTAAGAGAGAAGACACAGGCAGGTCTAACAAGTGATGTTGAGTAAAAACAGGGATGCTGGGCCTTGGTGTGCCCAATAAGAGGTTTCTTTTTTTCCAATAATGAAATGGTACAACAAAATAAAAGTCAGAATTACTGAACATTTCACAGTGCTGTGAAGCTTTACAAATTAGAACAGTTTGAAACAAAAGGTCTATGTTTTTTGTGTTATCTTGACTGGATAAAATAGTGGTGGACATAGCAGCCGTGCAGATGAGTGCAACTTCATGGCTCGAGTGATGCTGCCTCTGCCCTCAAGGCCCTTCACACAGAGCTATTTTTAGCTGTAATCCCTCTCTCAATCTAAAGCTCTGACTGGTCTTTCTCTGTTTGTTGTACTGCAGCTTTGGCTTCCTGACAAGATCGGGCAGCACTCAGAGCCCCACCCACATGAGCAGCTCCGCCTCCACCTGGGAAATCATTGGGGACGCAGAAGCTGATGGAGACACAGAACAACAGCAGACTTCCTGATCCAGCTAATGACTCAAGAGATGTGAGATCCTGACAGAAAAAAAAATAACAGTGTTAGAACTTGAAAAAATACTAGCTTTATAGAAAAGGACAACTTGTCAAACCATTTATTTAATTTTGACCATTCTTAATTGACTCAGTGTTAAATACTGTAAAACTGTATTTTAATTTTAAAAGGGACATATGTAGTTTTATCCAGTGCATTCATGTAAATAGTGTTAACCTTAATCAATTAGCTCAACATACTGCTAAGATACCAAAGAACAAGCAGAGAAGTATGTGACATTTTAATGGTTTCAGTGATCACAATCTTTCTTCCACTAGAGGGCATTGCTGCAGTTCTATACTGAGACAAATGCTAAGTCTAATACCAGTGGGTTTTTGGAAATTATATTATATTTGTTGTTTTTTCCAAATATGATAACAGTATTGTCTATATTTGTATTAACACATTTTATAATTTTTGAGATGGTAAATCTGAACAGGTTGATGATTATTACCTCTGGTGCCAAAAGCATGTAAATGTATTCCATACAACATGTGCTTCCATTTGAAAATGAGTTGCACATTTTTAATGACAGTCATTTTCATGGCAGTCAGTGCTGTGATCTTTTTTCTCACTATAAATGTTGATGTTGATAACATATTTCCACAATATTTTTTTTAAATAATTGGTAGTATTGAAAAGATTAAGAATCCCTGCATAGCTCTATGTTGCACAAAATAAATATAATTTAATCAAAACATGAATATACTCTTTCTCTTTACTCTTTAATTGGCTCTTTGGTGGCTGGTGGCTGAGTGGCTAGCACTCATGCCTCACAGCAAGAAGGTTCTGGGTTCGATCCCTGGGTCGCCTGGGCCTTTTCTGTGTGGAGTTTGCATGTTCTCCCTGTGTCTGGATGGGTTTCCTCCAGGTGCTCCGGTTTCCCCCATCAACCCAAAACATGCTACATAGGTCTCCATGAAACAGTTGATAGTCATGGTCAGTTAAACACAATCAATTCAATCATTGTGTCCTTAGGCAAGACACTTCACCCACATTGCCTAGTATGAAAGTGGTGTGTGTGTAAGTGATGGTGGTGGTCGGAGGGACGGATGGCGCCGAGTGGCATGGCAGCCGCGCCTCTGTCAGTGTGCCCCAGGGCAGCTGTGGCTACAATAGTAGCTTACCATCACCGGGGTATAGAGTGAATGAATAATGCTGTATGAATGAATAATGCTGAATAATGTTGTGTAAAGCGTCTTTGGGGACAGAAAATGTCTGTGAAAGTGCTATATAAATAAAGACTTACTTAATCTTTTTAAATTTTCATCTTCATTATACTCTATGAAGTTTATTCACCTGATGAGGTCACAGGTAAGCTTTTAGTTTTTACACATAAATGAGCAAAGACCAATAGTGTTTGGCCATCTTTAAAAAGCTGTGCATCTAACTGAATAGCAGGAAGTGGGCCCTGACTTCCCGAGGAAATGAGAAACCTCGACCCCTTGGACAACTCACGGGAGAGAGAGGGGCAGAAAGGCAGGGATAGGTGGAGGGTGAACAGAACAACGCTGCTCTCCAAAGTTTGGAACTAACGAAAAGGAACAAGAAACCAACATTTGTGGAAATGAAGCTGCTCTTTCAAAGTCTCGCCACTGCCCTTTGCTGTTTGCTGTCTTTATGTGCCAACCTGGATCCTGGTGGGAAAAACGTCTGTCACAATCCTAGGTATGATAAATTATGTGAACTTTAATTGTTTTGTAAGCCGATTGTAGACAGGTATTTTATTTATATTTTCACATATCAAACCAAATATATGCCAATGAGATTGTTATTATATGTGTAGGGACCCCTCCACCTTGGTCTGTTGTACTGGATGGAAACAAGTAGGAGAAGAGTGCACTAAACGTAATGTTAACTGTATTGTACCAAGTTATTAGAGGTGTTTCAGTTTGACACTCATTGCTGTCTCCGACATACAGCTGTGTGCGAGGGGGAGCAGGCCTGCCTGAAGGATGAGCTCTGTGTGTATCCTGGAGTCTGCCGCTGTCCACCTGGCTTCTATGGAGCTCACTGTAAAACACGTCAGTATCAACATCCTGTTTGTGTCACTATTATACACAGTCTACTGTTTCTGGTTATTGTTACAGACCTTATTTAAATCCAGCATGTCATGTAATAATAATAATGTATAATCCATTCAACTTTTGGTGTTTGCAGGTTGTCCTGGAGAGTTCTGGGCATCAGACTGTCGACAGGTGTGTCCTTGTTATCCAAATGGCCGTTGCCACGCTGTTACCGGAGAGTGTACCTGTAACGTAAACCGATGGGGCCCTCTGTGCCAGCATAGCTGCAAATGTGCCCGACATGGCCACTGTGACAAAACCCACGGTAACTGCAGCTGTGATGATGGCTGGTGGTCCTCCACATGTGCCAAGCCATGCCAGTGTGTGAGCGGGAACTCTGTGCGTCCCAGCTGTGAGCAATCCACTGGGCGCTGCCAGTGCCACAGGGGCTTCTGGGGCCTAAAGTGTGCCCTGGTGTGTAACTGCTACATGTCACCCTGTAGTCAGCGCACTGGTGAGTGCGAGTGCAAGGAGGGCTGGTGGGGGCCCAACTGTGACCGCCGCTGTAACTGTGACATCACTCACAGCAAGTGTGATCCCTCCAGTGGCCACTGTCTGTGCCATCCAGGGTACAAGGGAGACTACTGCAACCTGCAGTGTGAATTGGGCACCTACGGCAGTGGCTGTAGAATGAGGTGTGTATGTACTGAGTAATTAAATAAGTCTATTCCTAAGCCAATCTTTTGCGTTCTCAGGTGTGGCCACTGTAAAGACAACCAATACTGCTCCACTACTGATGGTGCCTGTGCAGCCTGTGCACCGGGATGGAACGGCACACGTTGTGACAGCCCATGTCCATCAGGTTTTTATGGTGATGGCTGTAAGTTGACATGCGCACGCTGCAGGAAGAACGAACCTTGTGACCCACAAACGGGCTACTGCTGGAGGTGTGACACTGGGTGGATTGGGCCCAGGTACATGGACTAAATTGTGTTTTAAGAAATAATGTCAGTCAATATGTATTCTGTATATATATATATTATATACATATAGACATATATACATACATGTGTATGTATATTATATATGTGTGTGTGTGTGTGTGTATATATGTGTATATATATATATATATATATATATATATATATATATATATATATATATATGTGTGTGTGTATATATATATATATATGTGTATATATATATATATATATATATATATATATATATATATATATATATATATATATATATATATATATATATATATATATATATATATATGAAATGTATTTTAGAAGAAAATAGGGTCAGGACTTTCTAATCCTAACTCTTTACCATAATATCATATGACTTATCACATAGTAACAAGTAATGTTAAATAAAAGTACATTGTTTTCACAGATGTCAAAAACCATGTACCAATGGGACATATGGTGATGCTTGTGCCTTTCAATGTAACCCCTGTCTTAATGGGAGTTGCCATCAAGTCACTGGAAAATGCATTTGTGAACCAGGCTTTCACGGTGAGAGGTGAGTTGACTTCAGCATCCTAAATGGAAATCTTTTTCATATCAGTTAATTGTGTCCTACACGTTTCAGTTGTAACATGACCTGTCCTACTTTGCATTTTGGGCCAAACTGCTCCTCTGTGTGTGAATGTGGGGAGGGACTTGGCTGCAACCCCATCAGTGGAGCTTGCCCCAACAGTACATTCTTCTGTCTCATCTATTGTATATCTAATACATGTATGTATGCAGCCTCCTTTTAATGCATGTTTTTCAGGTTCACAAGGCGCTGTGATCGCAGGTGTACTGGTACCTCTCTTTATATTGCTTCTTCTTGTGGTCCTTTGTTGTGTGTGTTGTGGGGGAGCTCCAGTAGATAGCAAAGACAGGTCAGTCTCAAGTCTGTCAGGTCTGTTATTATGGGCACATTATTATGGATACAGCTTCACTTAGACTTCTACTTGTTGCAGGGCACTTGTTGCTGAGGGTGGGCTGTTGGTGCGTATTAAGTATCATGTCTACAGCGTACTAGCCAACATTGGTGCTGCTTTGCCTTGTGTCTCTGATTGGTCCAATGGTCTCCCCCGAGTCACTGGTAAGCTCAACACTCCCTAACCCTAACACACCCTTAGTACTGTTATTTAAAATTCTAACTCTAATTTTAATGATATATAATTCAAATATGGGTACAATGTAAAAAATACAAATATAATTACTTTCTACCTATAGTAAATCTACAAAGCAAAGATAATTATATTTTTACATTTAATTTGGAAATAATCTTTGATTAATGACTATAATATATATTTTAAATAGAAGTGCTACAAATCTAACACATGTTTTGCACAGTGTCACATCATGATCCAGAGCTGACGTTTAATCACAGCTTCATTGAGCCCCCTTCTTGTGGCTGGGCAACAGAGGGCTCCTCCTTTGAGAGTGATGAGGAGGAGGCAGAAGCTCTGTATTGTGTCCCCCCAAGAGAAGGTAACACACTGCTTTATGGGGTATTTATAGATGGGACAAAAATATAACCCACTGTTTCCCTTAAAAACATAGCCAAGCAGTATAATTTATATAATAGTATAAGAGGTACTATAGGTACTCTTCTACTAAGACATCACTAAGACACAAATCTTTCATGATTTGAACTTTCTAGCTGATAAATGAAACTTATTATAGCAAACTTGTTGTATGATACCACTACTTTGGGGGTGGGGTTATGTTTTGTGTGATTTTACATTTATATTCTTATTTTGTTTCAGACATCCCAGCAGTGGCAGGAGGTGAGTTTCAGGAGATGAGCTCAAAATGCAACATGTTCTTGGACCCCTCAGGCTTCAGCAGTGAGGACATTAATTCACCTTTTAACATCCCGCGAACATCCAGTCTTGCCAAGGCCAAGCGCCCTTCTGTGTCCTTTGCAGAGGGCACACGATTCACCCCTAAAGAGAGACGTGGCTCTGGTCAGGAGGTTGCCACACCCTCTGGACATCCACGCAATAAAGCCAAATCCAGCTGGGGTGTTTTGATGGTCTCAGCCTTACAAAGCCAAGCTGCAAAAAGTGTAGACGAGAACAGAGGTGAGGGCAGTAGCTTGGAAGAAAAGGTTAATGATCAGGAGATAGACATGGAAGGGAAGAATGAAGAATTAGAGAAAAGCCAAAGCCCTCCATCAGGTGGCATTGTTCCGGACAACAGAGCAGGAAAAGGCAGGGCCACATTCCACACAAATGCTCATAAAAGGTGTCATGCCACTGCATCTGATAGTCAGGTGACTGTCTCCAATAAAGTGACCACAGTGTACGTGACAGTAGGTAAAGCAGGGCGACCTGGGTCAAAGGCTGAATCCAGTTTTGAGGGTCCAGTCCAGTCTATGTTGAGACGACTTGGAAGTTTGCAGCGACAGAAAGACCAAGATTCAGACAGAGGCAAATCTAAAGGAGCTGAGGGCATCACTAAACCCCCTCGAAGGAAGCTGGGTGCTCGGGTAAATCTATGGGAGCAAGGGGAGCACCCTGTAGCGGACACTAGCATCTGTAAACCAATCAGAAGAAAGCATGCTCAAAACAACCCTATAGAAACTGCAACAGGTGATCAGACTACTTCAGCAGACACTCCAAAGAGACCCTTGTCATTCATATTAAACAGTGTGCCAGAGGTGGCTCCAGTCCACCAAGGAGGAGAGGAGGAGGGGAGAGGTGTGGAAGAATCAAGTCAGGGTCCAAGTGAAAGCAACTATCTGACCGTGGGCCCAACAGGCCATGCACAAAGTGAGGTGATCGTAAATGACAGGGCAGTTGGTAGAGATGGTGAAGAGCCCTGCTATGAAAATGTTATGGTAAAACAATTATGACTTTGTAGGCTTTGGTCCAGTATAACTGTGATAGTTTGTATTCGCCTCAAATCAATACCGTAAAACATATTTATAATATTTTGTACAATATATTCTGCAACTTTTTTTAACACATTATTTATGCTTTATTTTTATATAGAAAAAATATAAAGGTATTTTTTATGTGATTGTAGACTTGTTTGGTGACATCAATACGAGGGTATAACCAACCACCTAAATGCACTAAGATCATAAATGAAATATCAATAAAATATATAATAAAATAATTTTTCACACCAAGCCATCTCAAACTTGTCTTGCCATGTAATATCAACTGAGTAGGTTTAAAACTCTGTGCCAGTGACTTGAATATCTTGGTTAAATTAAAGTTTAATTTTAATAACTAAGGCCAACTACTGTGAAACATATACAATTATTCTTTGTTATTTTTTCCATTTAAAAGTCTATTTGGCTTACAACATCATTGTGAATTGGCTTGCAACAGTTGTGAAACAGTCAACAAAATGTAATTCAGTATGTGTAGGTTTTTGTTTGTTAAATAAAATATATTGACAAACATTTTTATAAAATTGCATTTTATTTACTATCACATGTATAACTTGTTTCATGTACATATGCAAAAACAGATTTATTTATGTTCATGTAATCCCTCAGCTGCCCAGGTAGGAGCCACAGCAAAGCAAAAATTAAATTCTGTCAACTGGACAAAAGTTTTTTTTTGTCCAGTTGACAGAAGTGAATTTCTCCTTTGCTAAAGATTTCCTAATGGCTTACTTGGTGTCATTGCACTTTGACCTGTGCTATCACATAATGGGAAAAACATGACTGCAATGAACTTTAGTTTGACTAATCTAGGCTAGAGTATACTAGTGTACACATCAAAACATGTCATGATGTGTTAAAGAGTAAGAGTTATGTTATTGATAAATATATGTAATTAATTAAAAAATACACAATAGGCAAATCAAGGTAGTGAACTTACACTCAACAACTAGAGTAGCAGTATTTCACCATTTACTGATCTCCAATATTGCAAAAGCATGTAGAAACTCTTTAAATACAATTTAATTTTACACTACAGTACTTTATTCACAATTACTTCTCTGCCCCAGTGGTGTCTGAACAGCCGAGCCAGTACTTGGCAATAGATCTGGGGTATGGAGGCATGGCTGGATCAACTCTCTTACTCCTGAGGTCCACCCTGTAGTATTTCTCTAGAGGCACAAAGACAAAAACATTTAAGTGGAAACAACAGGAAGCATGAGAAAAGTGTCTCTAATTCACAACGATATGGTCTTTATTATGGGTTCATGTGAAATGCATCTTAAGAAGTTTTATGAAATTACTGGCTTCCTGTAAACTCACCTTAAAAAATCTCTTTTCAACAATGAATAGCTTGTTGTCTTCAACTAAGAACATCACTTTAATTTCATGATAATGACTACATAATGTCTGGGGGTGGTTAACAATTTTGTCATCTTAATTGGTTAAAGGAATACATTCTTTTTAAATCAATTGCTATTACACAGTTATGTTTATAATTTGTTAAAATATTGATCATGGATATGTTTGTTATCCTTTATTATATGCTTAAATAATATATACCTACTTAGTCCTGATTTAATCCTAGTAGTTTAATCAATTAACAGAGAAAATCACTTATCTCATAGCTGGAAGTTTGCATAATATATTTTTCAGATGCATAGTGAGTAAGAGAAAAATTCAAACCTCCTTTAAAGAAGTAGACTGTCTGAATTGGCTGGGTCCTCTGGAGAGGATCCCAGAGCCTGCTGTTTCCCCTGCTGTTTCTGGAGTCATAGTTTCCTCTGTTGTTCGAATTGTATCTGTCCCAGCGCCGGTCCTGGTCCCAATCTTGGTCCCATCCTCTGGTCCAGTCTCTCCCAAGCCTCTCCTCCATCTCCATCCTTCTCTCTGCTAACCTCATCCCCAGCTCCATGCCCCTTTGTGCGAAGTCTTGGCCCATGTTCATGCCTCTTTCAGCCATGGTGTCCCAGTAAGGTGAGCGGTTTTGCCTGCGACGACCCCACTGCTGACTATATTGGTTCCACTGTTGGCGGTCATCATTTCTGCCCGGAAAAAACCTCAAGGGCGAAACATAAATTCTGCCTGCCATTGCTGCATCCACCGGGGACTTGAGGCCTTTCCAGTCTTTGTCAATGAAGTGATGGTGGTCATGGTGCTGGGGTACTTAGGGAAAATAATTACAATTTAACCAAAGACCTAACTAAGCTTAAAATGTGTAAAGTTTATAAAGGACTTACAATCAGAAAAGAGCTCACTGAAGAACTGCTCATAGTTTCCGTAGTAGACATCTGTGTAACGTCTAAACATTGTAGCTGGTGATCTCTCAGACATGCCGATACACTCTTGATGGGACGGCTGATGCACAAATTCATAGACGTAATACTGGTCTCCTGTAAAGCATGTAAAACGAATACATTGGTAACCAGTTACATATTTTATTATTACGCATTCAAGGAACACTTTGCTATTTTTACTTAACTGCACCTTGGCCTGTTACCACTTGTGGTCAGATTTTGATGCACAAACCTTTAAAAAAGAAGACTTTCTCTTTTCCGTTGTGCCCTGGAGCAGGTAGTGCAAATGCGGCATCGACATAGTCAGGAATCTTGTCAAATCCTACACTGATGTCCCTGGGGTAGTCCTCATCCAGAACCCCATTGTCAAACCTCCAATACTTATTACCCTTTTAAAACACAGTTTATTTGACATTATAATACAGTTTAAATATGAAAACAAATCAAGCAGTCATTACCTTGAAAATGTAGGTTTTTCCCTGGCAGTTCATTCTTGTAAAGGCAGCATCAATTGGCCCGCTGATGCCCCATACATCCTTTATGAGTTTTGGATAACCAGGAAGCACTGACTTCTGGTCCAGTACAAAAAAATACTCCCCTGTAAAAATAATACATAATATAGGGGGATGTTGCTATGGCTGCTTGATTACTCTTGACATCTTGGTATCATTACGATTACATTCTGGGAATATAAATTAACTGTGAAAACTCTTTAGTCAATTTTTAAAAAAATTTTTGTCATCCAAAAGTCACCTTACCTCTGAATGCATAAATGGAACCATTCTTGACTTGCATGAAAGAGTCAAATGGTCGCTCACTGCACACCTCTGCATCTGGGTCTGGGGGTGCAGTGGTGGGGGGTTTAGTGGTGGGTGAGGCAGTGGTGGACTCTGCATTTGTGCCATTCACAGTAGTCTCTGTGTCTATGGACTCTTTTTGTGGTTTATTCATCTCTATTGTGCTCTCATGTGTGTGTCTGGAGTTGAAGTCCACAATAGTGGGCTGTGTAGGTCTTTCTTGGGGACTGGTGGTAGTAGAGCCATGGTCACGAGCTGATAGGCGTTGGGCAGGAGTGGTACTGTCAAACAGCTCATCATCTTCTGCAAAAACAAATGTGTCTCCTCGTGCTGAAAAGAAATGGAAAGCAGCTTGTATGACTACAGGGAAAATATAAACAAGTGCAATGTCCTTTAATAGAAGAACTCCTAATAAGTCTATTCTGATAAAGGCAATTTTGTGTTTCAGCTAACTAAAATCAAAAATTGTACTAATGTTAGTTTTATTCCATAGGTAAAAAATACTTAGGAATACACGTGTTCTAATCAACATATCAATATAAAAAAAAATGCCCTGTTTGCTCACTTTAGTCAGTTTCAAATGTTAGTGGAGAATATTGTAAAGATGTTTCTTACTCATCATTCCACAAATAGATTCATAGTCAAAGCAGCAGCTTTTGTAGTACTTGCACATGGAGTCACACTGGCATTTCTTTGTAGAATCAAAGCCATTTTCACAACGATCCATACATGACTCTAAAAGACAGTTCATTTGAGTAAATAGTAAATAGCAGTAAGAAATAGTCTTGAAACAGTACATCATTTAACATGCATCATAAAATCTGCCGTAACCATTAATGCAGTAAGAGCTGCAGTGCGTTGATACTTTTGAACTAGAAGTCGGCTATAAGTGGAATTAGTAGTTATTTGAGCATACTAGTTATTAACAATATAAAATATAGTATTATTAGTAGAGATAGTAGTTACAACATGGTTAATATTAATCAACATTTACTTTTTGTTTAATCTTTTTTGTTGTAAATTTGAATGCATACTTTGAGTAGAATTTTTTTTTACATTTGAGTTGAAAGTCTATAACTAGAAACATACAAATTAAGTTGATCTTCCATATAATTTATTTCAAACTTACCCTCAGAAGCTGATGTAAAAGCCAGCAGAGGCAGCAGCAGTAGCAGGGCCCTCAGCCTCATGTTGAGTCTGTTGTGTGGAGGACAGAATGCGAGTAATCATGAACTGCGCGCTCCCAATCATTGGAAACATGTGTCACTCACCCTGACCACTTGTTTGCCTAAATCACATTTCCTAAGCTCTTTCTGCCACACTAAACAAACTGACCCAAAAAGACAAATCAATAAGAATACTGGCTTCAAAGTAGTTAGGCTACTTTCAGAATTCTTAGAAAATAGCAGTATAAAGATCTAGTTAACCTATTTTGCTTCTGTATTATTTTTACAACACATGGTATAGCCAGTTATAATATGCTTGAGGTAAATTGACAATAAAATCGTATAAGAATTGCAATCTCTCCACCAGGGGGCTCCTGTTGTTTACATGCCTGTTTGGTGTGTGCAGTGCGCATGCTCCGTGCTTGAGTTGCTGATGATGCACAGGTCAGGGGAGGGGTACGGGTCTGCTTTTCTTGTCCATCCCTCCATCACCGGCCGGTGGATTCCATTGCTGATGTGCATCATCAGCTCAGACTCTGGACTGTTCAGGTAGGCCGCGGTGATCATATCAAAGGTCCAGCTACGAGGGCCATTTGAAATGAACAAGAATAAGGTGTTTTTGTGACAGACCTTGAGAATTACCTCGAAGACAAAGACAAGAACATTTTATTTAATTGCCTGAGAGAGTGTAGGCTATGCAAGCCCTTATCTGTTTACATTTGGTGAAGCTAAACTACTACTGATGGAGATAGGAGTAATGGTGTTTGCTGAAAGCTGTCACCTGTGATCAACATCAGAGGCCTTGAACGCATCTCTCCGCGCGGCGCAGAAGATTAACAGGCCCCTCACCACAGACTTGTGTCTTCCGGTAAATGATATTGTCTCTGACACTTTTCCTGTGGAGGATCTACCGACATTTATTCATAATGTTCAGTTCAGAGAGACTTACTGTGCCGGATTATGTGAGTCGATTGCATGGCAAGAAGAATGATCCTCGAGCAGTTTCTCCGGGCATCAATGCAGACGTCCAAGCGGTATTAGACAGCACTCTGCCCAACCTGCGATGCGCCATCAGAAGACTTAAGACGTCCAAGGACACCGGTGATTCTGATGAAACCCGCAGGGCTATTGCAGAGATCTATCAGCTGGTGGAGGAGGCATGGGTCCTGCCCGCTACGGGCCGCCAGGTGGCTGAGGAGATCTGCAACAGGATCCGATTGGATGGGGGTCTGGAACTACTGCTTCAGCTGCAGCAAACCCCGGCTGTGGACATTACGTATGAGTCTGCCAAACTCCTGGAGCAGATCCTGATCTCAGAAAACAGGTAGTTTAACCCTCATTGCACTCCACTAATAACATTTATAAGTGATTATGTCTCATCATGTTTTTACCACACGTTTTCTGTCTTGATTTGCAGAGATTATGTTGCAAGGCTTGGACTGGGAGTAATTCTCAACTTGACCAAACAGCAGGAGGATGCCCAGCTGGCCCGCAGTGTTTCTGGGATCCTGGAGCACATGTTTAAACACACAGAGGAGACATCGGTCCACCTCATCTCAAACGGAGCTCTGGATGCCCTTCTGTACTGGTGCAGGGGCACAGACCCCACGGTATTACGACACTGTGCTGTGGCTCTGGCAAACTGTGCCATGTATGGAGGCCATCGCTGCCAGCGGCTGATGATCGAAAAGCAGGCAGCTGAGTGGCTTTTCCCACTGGCCTTTTCGAAAGAAGATGAACTTATCCGCTTCCATGCTTGTCTAGCTGTAGCAGTGCTGGCTGCAAATAAAGAAATTGAGAAAGAAGTGGTCAAATCTGGCACTCTGGAGTTAGTAGAGCCGTTTATTGCATCTTTAGATCCAGATGATTTTGCCCGTAGTTTACAGGACAGTGCTGACTCCATGCAGGGAAGGACAGCTTCCGATTTGCAGCACTTACTGCCATTGTTGGATGGTACAAGAGTGGAGGGAAAGTGTATTGCAGCCTTCTATCTGTGTGTGGAGAGCAGCATTAAGTCCAGACAGCGTAACACGCGGGTACAAGTCTTTTCCTTACTCTATACTAAAACGTTTACACTTTTTTAAACCAACATTATTTGTTTTACAGATATTTCAAGAAATTGGAGCAGTACAAAGCCTTAAAAGAATTGTTATGTACTCTAGTAATGGTACAGCTTGCACCCTTGCCAAGCGTGCATTATCTATGATGGGAGAGGAAGTCCCAAAACGCATTCTTTCATGTGTGCCCAACTGGAAAACATGTGAAGTTCAAACGTGGCTTCAGCAAATAGGCTTTAGTGCCTACTGTGATCGTTTCCAGGTGTTTAAAACATTGTCCCAATGTGTCCCTGTTCATTACAAACATGCTTGTTACCTACTAATGTCTAAATGTCATACTGTAGGAGCTGCAGGTTGATGGTGACTTACTGCTGACCATAACAGACAAGGATTTGAGCCATGATCTGGGCATGACTGCAGGCCTCACCCGCAAGAGGTCAGTAACACAAGGTTTAAATCTTAGAGTTTCAACAAACAAATAAAAAATATTGCCTTTCTTTTAGATTTCTGAGGGATCTTCATGTGTTAAAAATGTATGCAAACTACTCCACTTGTGATCCAAACAATATGGCTGACTGGCTTGCAGTGGTAGACCCACGTTTCAGGCAGTATACTTATGGTTTAGTGCAGTCTGGAGTGGACCGTGCCACTGTCCAGAGTCTGACTGACCAGCAACTGGAGAAGGACTGCTGCATATACAATGGGGTGCACAGAGCCAAGATCTTAACAGCGAGCCACAAGCCTCTAAAATCTTCTCACACTGATGCCCAGCCTGCAGGTCCTGATGTGTTCATTAGCTACCGGAGGACTACTGGCTCCCAGCTTGCCAGGTAGAACTGCAAATGTGCAATAATGTGTACAACTACAAGTACTAATAATTCTTTCTACTTTTTAATTAGTCTTCTGAAAGTGCATCTTCAAGTCAGAGGATATAGTGTATTCATAGATGTGGAGAAGCTTGAGGCTGGCAAATTTGAAGATAAACTTATCCAGAGTGTACAGCGTGCACGCAACTTTATACTTGTGCTCTCTGCAAATGCACTAGATAAGTGCATGGGGGACACAGCCATGAAGGACTGGGTGCACAAGGTCAGAACATATATCAGTTTAGACCATCAGATTTAAACTTTAACTGACTGAATATTGTTGTTTTCTTATGCTTTGCAGGAAATTTCCACTGCTTTGAGTTGCAATAAGAATATTGTTCCTGTCACTGATAATTTCCAGTGGCCAGAACCAGCATCTTTGCCTGAGGACATGAGATCCATCCTGAATTACAATGGCATCAAGTAAGTTACTGTGCCTTTAAACGTACTACAGTAAATTAAGTTAGACTCTATTAATATTGTAAACCAAGTGTACATTTGATTTGTGAAGACTGATTTTTAATTTGATTAAAACAGCCCACACAGAACTAGTATTATAGTTAATGTGTCAGTGCTATGTCATAATAGTAATTATCTGTTACTGTTGGTTACTTTCTTTATTTACTTAAACATCTGATAAAATAATATTTCAATATAAAATGTACCTGTTCCCTACAGATGGTCCCATGAATATCAGGAAGCTACAATTGAGAAGATACTTCGCTTCCTCAAAGGAAACCAAGACCACGCTGATGGCCCAGATTGTGGCAAATCCTTAAAGAAAAAATGAGGGACCGAGTGTTATTTAAACCATACTATGGATGTGGCTTTGCTTAAAATGCACGCAAATTGGGTATTCTGGATAACTAATGTTTATGAGAATGCCAATATGTATAATTTGAACTTGAACTAATTTGAAATATGTTAGTGCCCTTTTTAGTGCCAGCTTTTCATTTATTTATAATCAGGGATAACTGCCTTGTGTTCTCAGGAAAATTTCTCTGTTTAATTTGCCTCCACCAGCTCATTGCTATGTAGTCTGTAGCACCAATAGCAATTAATTCCTCAGTGCCATTATTAAAATACTGTGTGGCAACTGACCAAAACCGTTTTATAGTTGTGTTGGCTTCCTACTAAAAACTATAGTTAGCCCAATAAAACATGTAAGGAAATTACTATTACTCTGCTTTGGGTATTACTCTGGATTTATGTACAAGAACTATTACTTGTAATTATACTGACCTGTATTGGAAGTGAAAGTGTATTCTTGTTAGCCAAGTATATTTATTGAACATGTTTTGCAAACAACAATATGCACTAATAAACAACACTCTTCAGATAAAATAGCAGCTATCAAGGTGCGGATATAAAAGCGTGTAAAATAATTCAACTATCCAAAGACAATTTCTGGTTGTATTGTAAAATAAATTCAGAATACTGTGCTCCCTTGTTACTGTATTTTATTATAAACACATAAACCACTTCATTTAAAACATTGCTCTAAAAACACTAAAGATCCCTGGGCACTTGTTTACTGATTTCATAACAAAATTCTGAGTTTATTGAGGTTAACTGGTTTAGTAACTCAATATTAAACCACTTAACCTCTAAATGTCCCTTTGAGAAATTTAGTACACATCTAGCAGCTCTAATTCCCTCATTGTGCATCAAGGACCTGACCTCTTCACATATGATGTGTGGCCTGGCACATAGGGACTATCTTGTATTTGTGGTCAAGCAGGGGCTGCTCAGGCGTATTGTTCGGATCAATATCATTTACTCACAAAAGCAGGAGGTGGGCCAACACAGAATGCCCTGACTGCCACTGAGTGAATAAAAAGTGGAATAAATTGTAAGCAAAAAAAAAAAAAGGAAATTTGTGTTAGTTTAAATTGTTGATTTAAAGTCTATAAATAATCAAGAAATAGGTTATCCATATCACATATATCTCGAGGACTGGTCTGCAGATCAACACGTAACCTCATTTATTATGTGTCAGGTTGTTCATGTCTTCTTTGGTCCAGATACTTCAGTGTGCTACATTACAAGAGGACAATTAGAGAATTGGAGACAATGAGATTTTGTCTTGATTAATATGGAAGACTTACCAGATAATACTAAAAGGGATCAGCAGAATGATGGCCCCAAATAAGAATGGAAACCCCTTCATAAAGTGCAAAGTGGCAGGGAAAAGGGAGTTGAAGACACCGCTTCCTACCATAGAACACATGGTTTCCACACAGGCTATAGATGCAAATAGTGCTCCTGGTATGAGGGAAATGCCAGAAATCATATATCATAATATACAAACTGAACATTTAGATTAGTCAGAGAAATTACAGTGACAAACCTTGTTCTAAAGGATCAACCAATTTGGACAGCTTTGACCTAATCACAGGAGTTGTTGTCATAAAAAAGATCAGCAGACCATAGCCTGGTGAAATATAAAAACACAGTCTATGTTAAATTTATTTTTTATATTTATTTTAACTTACATATTCTACTTTAATAATATGTTTACTGGTAACCACCAGTTGTATTATACACACAATACAATACATACAATAAAACAAAACTGTGTTGGCCCTCTTTATAAATGAAAAGTTTAAGTTATTTCCACAAATAATATTCACCTGTGAACATTAGCGGCGTGGTGTTTGCAGCAGAGAAGACCAACAAGCCAGAGATATTCGAGAGCAGCCCCACAAGAGCCACCCAAGAGTCCTCCAGGAAGCGCATCATTATCTTCAGCCCCAGTAGACTGCTCAGGTAGGCCAGATGTAGAGCTGCTGATCCATAGCCAATGAGCTCCGATCCCCAACACAATGGAGAACTCAACTCAAACAAAACATAAAGGTCTCTACAGCCATAGTGAACACCTACCACCACAAAGAAGCAAAATGTATAAAGCCACAGCTTGTATTTGTGAAAACAGTCAGTGCTTTGACTCCCCCCAGTGGAGTACAGCTTCCATAGTGCTTTGTGATGGCTGGTGCTGAAGAGCCTGACAGAGAGGTCTACCGGCACAGATTCACAAACAAACAAGTAACTGTAGAAAGCTGAAGCCAGTCTTGCAGCCAGGACCAGCCAGCATGGGGCAATGTACCTAAAGAAATTATTGGACAAAATAAGTAACACTTTAGTGCAACTCTCACACAATTAGGCATTTGTTTAAACTACTAAACACATTTTTATAAAATGCTGCATATCAAACTTATCCACAATATAATTAATAATGATTTGTTCCCTTTTAACCTCTGTTATGAGGGAACAAAGCATTATTATTAATTTTAACTTTTACATATTTTAACACATTACAAATGATTGGTGTAACCCAAACACTTTCCTACCCTTGTGCTCTCATCCACTGTCCTCCGATAATGCTGGCCAGCATTCCAGAGAGTCCTAAACACGCTTCCAAGATAGCAACTCTGAAGGTGCGGGTTCTTTTGTCACTTATATCCGCTATGTATGCAAAGCTACTGGCCAAGATGCAGTTGAAATCACCAGAAATGCCACTGATCATTCTGCCCAGTAAAAAGTACCCCACATGTAGTCTTGTGTACATAACCACCAGGTAAACCAGTGTCTCTAGAGCCAGTCCCAGGCTTGGGATGATGAGGAGCGGCCTGCGCCCAGCTTTGTCACTCCAGGAGCCCAGGAATGGCACCACCAAAAGGCCCAGCAAAAATCCTCCAAGATTGATGTATAAATTCCAGTGAGCGACTAATGTCTCTACCTCCTAAAAACACATTTAAAGGGGACATATTATGAAAATTCAACTTTTATGAGCTTTCAGCCTTTGTTATAGTGGTGTTCTCTCATTAGCTTAATATCAGTTATATTTTGATGCATTCACGTGTTTGAGTGTAGGGCTAATACTGTATTGTCCTGCATCTGGAGCTTGAATACTCAGAAAATAGCCGCTTTTTAAAAATATGTAAATGAAAAGCCACTTCCTGCCTAAGGAGAAATGTAACTAAGAGGGGAGGGCTTATCAATTCTGGAGAAAGTCACAGGACCATCAACTAGCTTACTAAGCCGTTTTTAGACCAAAGAGTAGTAGTATAGTAGCCTATAGAAGAAAGCATGTAGGCTGTTATTATTTATTTATTATTACATAATTTATTTGCTTATATTTTTTAATTAAGTTATTATGCAATAGTATAACTTGAACTTTTTAGTTAAAGACATTTTCCATTTTTTTGTTATAGCTACTAAGTTCCTATTTTTAGGGTATTTCTGGAGAACAAAATACTGGAGACTCTTCACTTGTGGTCAGACTGTCCACCATAAACTCTACATTAATAACCATAATAAACAGGTTTGTTTTTGAGTATATTCACAAGTTTTAAAGATAGCCCACCTTCTGCAGCGGGTCGACTAGCAGGGAGCTGTTGCACTCTGACTTCTTGGAGTTATTGTAGCCCACGTCCTCGCTTATACGGTCCCACAAATACTGAGTGAACAGCGGCCCTTGCAGAGCTATTGAAAATGTAGAGAGGAAGATCACAGGTTCTACAGTGACAGGCTTCAAACACGAAAACGGAGGCTTTGAGGAGCGCGCAGGTTCCTCTTCGGGATCAGCGCAAATCTCCGAAGTTTCCTGCTCATCGATCTCAGGGACATGGTCGAGAATTGCGACGGTGTCTGGCTCATCCATGGTCAGCGTGACAATTCGCTAGCTAGTCAATTCTTCACCACTAATCTTACTTTGTCACTAGACTGAGTGGTTGTTCCATGTTGGCTGCAGTCTGTTTTGCACTATTAAAGTACTGGGAAGTGACTTTTTAAGTAGAGTGACGCCTACTGGAGACATGGCGACAGAACATCAAAAACAGACCTGGAGTTGTATTTTGTTTCATTCACACATGTTTAACGCACAAACCCTGCATATTTAGGCTGAGTTCTTCTCTCAAACAGAAAACACTTCAATACACCTTGTGAAGTCATGTGATATGCCTACAGGAAGAGGTCCACTGTGTTTTTAAATCCAATACACCTTTACTAGAGATATTTGGACACTTTCAGCCCTAGAATTGCCAGTCTCTACTGAACTAAAAGTAAAGGGTATCCATTAACATGAAAACTACCAGCTGCATGATATCACAAGGCTGAACAAAGCATTTTGAGCTTTGGAATTGTAGACAAACTAATAATGCAGGGTTACTCAAACATGTATAAATGAAACAAAACCCAACATCAGGTATGTTTTTGAGGAGGTAGCAACATTATAACATGGCTTAGAGCTCACAGGAGTGAATTTTACATAATATAGGTCCTTTATAAAGTGCTACGGGAAACACTGGATAGATACCTAGATACCTTGGGATAGTTGTCATGGTGAATCCCGCCAGGTGGGCGTGGTCACGTGAGCACAGACGTATGCTGGGTTCTTTAAAAAATGACGCTCACCTGCACAGGTAAGGGACCTGTCACCAGGTGACCAGGCACCGAGGAGCCGAGTCAACTAGCTAAGAGTAAAAGTATTCAGGGAAACTACTCCTCAGATCAGTTAAAAGTAACTGGACGAAACATCTGATTTGTCATTTAAAGATAATGCAATTGCGAGGATGAAACGTGAAAAAGTACGCAGGTCTGGTATTTTCAGTGGGAAGAAAGTACAATATCTGTTAATAGTGACTCAAGTAAATGTATTACGTCATAATACATTACGTCATTATAATGCTTGTGACAGGCCTGCCCTCAGTGTACGTAACACGATGATTTATGACAGTTATGAGCTATATATCAGTTATTTCAAGTGATAAATACAAAAATTGTGGTAAAATATTGTCTCCTACGTTTATTTCATTGTTATCACCTGTTGTTCGGGTTTTACATGGTTTTTACATGGTTTTCGTAAATGGTTTTACAGCGCCTCTCTCCTGAAATGAAATGAAATGTTAAGTTAAATCAAAACAAGTTTATATCTCTTATGGCAACGCACAGGCATTCCACGGTTGCCAGTAGTTGCATATATAAACCCCAGCATTGGAATTTTCTGCCATTCTGCGTCTGCACTCCGAAAGGGAAGTCACATTTCACCGTCCAAAGCTAAGCTAAGCTAAGAACTAATAGCGTTTGTTTTTCAGCATAACCTGAAGTCAAAGAGCCTCAAGTCCAACCACCTGAACTCTCACATGCCCCTGGTCAGATTATTTTACCTTTTTAGGACACTCCGCACTTAATTTAATTCATATAAATACTAAATATATTTGGTCTAATGCTAGTAGTAGTAAGCGAACTTTTGTTTGTCGACAGCTTCACTAAAGTCACTCTTGATGTCACTTCAAACGCTGCTTTATGTCAGAGGAAGCTCTCATGGCCGTACGCTATGGAAGCCCATTTCCGCCAGTAAATAAAAAATAAAAGCCTCACAGAAACTCATAATTATGACTTTTAAACTCATAATTACGTTTTACTGTCCGGACCCAACCTG